CCCCCCAGGTGTCGTGATCTCAACTTCATGTCCTTGAACAGCCCTGTGCTGCCGATTGGGTTGCAGCTGTGACCTTGGCGACTCCTTCAGACCGAGCTGAGACGGGGCTGTAGCCTATAACATGTCGTTTCCTGACATCTCATGTTGCTGAATACGATCGATGCTGCAAGACCACGCACGCAACTCCATGTCAGAAGTGGGAGTGTGAGATGGGGGGATGCTTCTACATGCGCAGAATGTCCGCGAAAGCCTCCACAGCGGTAAATATGAGTACTGCCGCCGTGATTGATCAAGGCCGTCTTGTTAGACCCGGGCTACCGAGATTGATCACATGTTGGCTAAATTGTCCAGAATCATCTTTTCAAAGCCTCGGACTCTGGCCAATTGCTTGCCCGTGGCTTCTCCTGTGGCCGAGTGTTGTAATGACTGGTTGATATTTTATCCCGTTAATCACGCAAAATTGGAAGCTGCCCTCTTATATGGACACTCCACAGTGGTGGATTCACAGCTCTAGTTGATGATAACTGATATTATGTGTGGTATTGTAATGTCCTTTGCGTTAAAACGCTTTGTACACGTATCTTGGTCTTCTTGACGCTGTCTAGGCCGATCTGGACCTTGGGCAAGTTGGTGTCATAATGCTGGCTCTATCGTATATTCCAAATGAGAAACGAAATCGGCCATCAGCGAATTTCTATCCGTTTAATTCCCATCTCTAGAAGCGAGCACTTCCTTTCCATGAACCAGTTGGGGGGGGATATCTCATAACTCATCACCTGATATCGTCAATATGTGTATACCCACTCATGAGACACTAGATAGATTCAAAATACATCACTTGATGTCATTAGATCAAGCAAACTCATTCAATACATTGTTAAATCAAAGCTTTGGAATCCTATTCTTTGTTGAACCATCTGTCAAATCTCGTGAAATGTGTACTGTAGGAACATAGACTGACATTATATGACATCTGGAGTAGATTTCCTCCGTTATTAAAAGACGGGAACCTGGACCACTAAAAGGAAACTGCCATGCCTATGTTATAAAACTACATATATGGAGACATCAAGTCCAGAGAGAGACACATCCTATGCTGTATAGTTGGTTCCTAATCTTTGCTAGCTGCTGGCGTGAGCGGCACTTAGATCTTCATCACTCCTCTCTTCCCTGCTGAGTTTGACATTTATCAACTATGAGTTGGATCATGATCCCTGGGAAAATAATCCGTCTTATTGCTTTACTCCTTGAAAATTTCACAGGGTCTGCTGTAAGTATTTTGTTGATTTGGTATACTCTCACAATCTTCTACTTATGCCTGATATCTCGTGCCGCGGAGATGTGACAAGAAATTGGCAAATATGTATGTAGCCAATGGAATCTAGCATCAAAATCACTCGAATGGTCTTTTGTTCTCTACAAACGTCATTAATTGGGCGTTTGTTCTCAGAGTTAATAAACGTGGCGACAAGACATGTCAGAAACCCCTCGAGCCTACGGCAATAGGAGAATGTATTCTTGATGTTTCTTTGCAGTTCAGTCAACAACGAGTAACGTTCTACAAGAGCCGCATGGCCTTGGAGTCGTCTACTTGTTCGCGCTCATCAGTTGACATGGTAAAGATGTCTGTTGTACCAATACAGCATAAAATCTATAGAATTAATGCCGCACAGGCAGTCTTACACATCCCATGACATGATTACAAGAGACAGGACAGAATTGGATCTTGCTCTTTGGTGGAAAAGGGCTTGAGCCACGAGGTTAGGAAGCGAGACTCTTGCTCGTACTTCGTCATGATCGAAGCGAAACCGGATATGCCAGTAGCCGGCTGGGCCAGGAACAAGCTGCCATCCAAGGCATGTGGGATGGCAAGGGTGGCTCGGACTCTTACTTCACCCCATGGATACCTTGGCTCTTTGATCTCGTTTGCTTCACCGCACTTCAATACTCTCCGCTCTGGTGTGACACGACGATAACGGCTCCAATGCTTGTACAAGAAAACGTCGGGAAACACCTTGGCACCCCCCAAAGTATTCGTGGATGTCGCAGATTGATTTGATGAAATGGGCGTCGGAACACCAGGGAGAAGCCGATATTGGCGGCTTGTGCGTGTTATTCCATCGCGCGGCATCCCATGCACCCGAATACTTATTCAGAAGCTTTGGCCACTTTGCCCTGTCTCGGAGTATAAAATGTGGCCGTGCCATGCTTGCTTGACGACCTTTGATGAATGCATCCCGCGAGTGGCGTTCCGGCGATAGTGACTTGAGATATTGCGTATGACAAAGAGGAAACTGAGTATAGTACTCGGTAAGCCAGGAAAAATTACTGCGTCACAAGGTCACAGTTCGACAGGGTGCGGAAAGGATAGCGAGACTAGAGTCATATAATTTGACAGATTTGATGTTGTTGGGCCTCAAGATGTTCCCAATCGAGGAAACTTGCTGTTGGTCGCCCAAGGAACCAGTGTAGCCGGCGCCTATGTCTCATGGGGCCATCACCACTCCGTACCAGGATATATTGGCTGCCTGGCAGTGTGATATATACGGAATACCTACACCTGTCTAGGATCCTTCGTGTGCTTGTAGACGCCTCGGATGAGATGGGTAAACAGCACAATGACAGCTCAATCTACCAGCGGCTTTGATGCAGGAGAATAGACTTGCAAGTGGAGAGAGGAGACTGCTTGATAAGACTCCAAGACATTTCCAAGCATGTCGCACGTGTGTACTCGAGTGTTTCGCCACTGTGTACAGACAAAGGTAGGTACGAATAGAGGAGGTTTCAATGTCCATCCGGGTACGCCAATTCGCTAGGATGATGCTGGAACAGAAGAGTCCGCGCCAGGGGTTGCTTTGCAAACAAGATATACCTAGATATGATACGAACCGGCTGGAGAGATGTGATTGCGGAGCCGACGGACATGGCTGCTGGGAAGCTTGTTAGCGCGCCGATTTGAGAAGAGGCGAAGGCTAGCAGTTGAACGGAGTTTGGACGAAATTACGATACTTGTAGTCTGGGACTTGGTAGGTCGAAATCCGTCTGGTGAATCATCTGATGCTGCTGTGACGGGCAGAGTCATGCCATGCCATGTTCACGGGCGGCGGCTCGGAGCTGTACGAGTACATATCGTGTCTAGTCGTGTCGTGTCGTGCTGTGTCGTGTCTAGTGTCTCGCATTGTCTTGTCTGATGTTGTTCGTGTCTCGTCTTTGTGACTGAGGCACAGAATTGCATTGCAGCACTCGCAATTACAGTGCGGGACTGGACCAGCACAGCCGAGCTTCAGTCAGTCTGTCTGTCTGTCTCTCTGTCTCGGCGCGATCCTGTGCATACAGCACTGTACTGGAGGTACTCGTAGATGAAATGAATGGATGAGGTTCAACTGCATCCCTGATCCCAGCCCCAGCGTCCTTAGCGGCCGGGACTCAGCGATTAGACCCCTGCAGCCAGGCGTGATCGAGCCGCCGATTGGCCAGGCTGCGGCGCGCACCTGCATTTGGCGCGCCCAATCAGCAGGCGCGACACACCTCGGCGCTTCGACAGCTCTTGCCATTGAGCGCCTGGGCCGGGCCGCCCCACTCTGGACCGCAGCCCCAAATCGCCAGAAGCTCCAGCCATGCATCTGGGCTGCCCCCCCTCTGGTTCGAACGTCTCCAAGGCTCGAGATGCTGATTGATTTGTGGCGATGGAGAGTGAAGAGCCATATGGAATCGAATCGACTGTGGCAAAGCACAATCAATGGACGAACCATGGCCAGGGCTCAGCAGCGCTCGTTCTGGCTGCCGCGGGCGCGAACGAACTGGTATCACAGCACGGCTGCAAGGTACCGTGCAGTCTCCCAGGCCCGGCCCTCGCACAGAGGCCAGATCGCCAGCGTGGAACCACCGATGCAACGGTGAAAGGCGCCGCAAGTCGGGGTAAGAAGCCCCGGTTGCTCTGCTAGACGTAGTACGAGGGCTAATGCGCAGGCGTATCAGTTGGTGCTGCTACTGCTCCGTTAGGTACGAGCACTCGTACTCACTTACAAATGTTGCTCCGGGCAAGACAGACATGGGATACGGAGTCGACGCAGAGCAAGTCGAGAAGCCCTTCGACACCTCGATGCCTCTGGAAGCTTTGATAGGCCCATATCCAGATGTCTGGCCAGGGTACGCGGGCAGCCTGAGAGGCTAAGCAGGGGGCTTTCAACAAGGGATTCTCCTTCAGCAGCGGTACATGGCCCGCTAGCGCCTGTACATCACCTGTCTTCAATTCGTCCGCCTCGAGGATCTGAGCCCATGATTCCCAGTCCCAGTTGACTCTGAGGCGACTAGCAATCGCCATTGCCTCGCCTCGCCCTTTTCGCCTCACTGCTTAGCTGGGGCCCACCGCGGGCGCACGCGCGTAGCAGACGCAGAGCCTAACCCGCGGCGGCTCGTTGGGACGAAACGGAGTGGGAAGGGGGAGAGAAAAAAGAAAAAAGAAAAAAGAAGAAGAAGAAGAAGAAGAAGAAGCGAAAAGGCTGCCGGACACATGGAAGCGATGGAAGCGATGGCAGCGTTGCAACGACGTCTGTACCTGTTACTCTCTGCTCGCTACACGCGGTCGGTAGCGAGAGAGGTAGGTACCACTACCACGAAGCCGCACATGGCCAGCATGTTTTACTTACCAGCCGTTGATGCTGCAGATAGCTGCAACACGGAAGCCCAGGTATCTTGTCGGCATGCGCATGTACCTGGGCTGCGTCGACGCGCATTGGCCGGTCCTTAGCTGCCGGACCGTATCCGTTCCATCCCAAAGACGGCCGTTGGCAGCTTTTGCACTCTAATTTTATATGGCAGCCAACCCCATCCATTGACAGGCCTCAACCACGGCCGCATAGGCGCCATGCTCGCCTGGCTCCTCTCCATCGGACCCATCACACCCCAGCCTGCTCTTATTACCTACCTATCCAACCCTCCTCTCCAACCTGTCCATGTCCATCTAATATTCTAGCAGCGACCTTCACCGTGCGTGAGTGGTGCATGTCCCTGCCGGATGTACAGGTCTTAGGTTGCCTGCGCGTCGTTTACAAGTAGCCGTCTTGCACTTGGGCCGCTCCGATATTTTCTTTTTTTACCTCCTCCTCCTTCCCTCCCGCCATCCCCATCTGTGCTGTTTCACACAGCTTGCCAAGGGTCATCAGAGGAGGATAGACAAGGCCTGAACAGACCGAGAGAGAACGGACGGAAGATCCGTAACGTCTTTCTTTGTTTCCATCAGCGTGACCACCATTACGCACCCAGCCAAAACTTCTCCTGCATCCGCCTGCATCACCTACTACTCCCAATCCTCCAACAGGAGCATCCCCTAGGCGGCACGAACAAGCGCCGAGCTAATCAGATCAGCCCCTCCTCTAACGCTGCTCGGCACATCACAGAGAACCGTCATTCTTCTTGCCTACGAGTTTGTTCTTTATATGCAAAACCGTGACGCTGCCCTCTTCCGCTAGGCTGCTTAGCCTTCTTCTTTCAAACCTCACTTCGTGGCCTATACTACGGCCGAGCCTTGCATTGTCAAACCTTCCTCGACGACACATCGTACCTCACATCTTGTACCGTCATCGACCAATTCGACATTCCTCCTTCTCGAGCATAATAAACATCCACCATCCTCGGTGGCCCGAAAGAAATCTAGAGCGGCTGGTGAATTGCAGTGTTGAAGAGGCTTGTGTCCGGGAATAGGCAGGAGCTGGGTTTCATGTGATGATTGATACCTAAAGAACGCCGCAGCTTGCCGCCACTTTGTGGGCTCACCCCAGAGAACGCTCTCAGAGAGTCGGACCTTGGCCTGGCCACGGGACTGTGACACCGAAGCTGGTGTTGTCTCACGGGCTTGGAGTGCTTCGCATCTTGTTGGAAGGGAAACTGCCTCTGCGCTGGCAGAGGTGTAGGCCGACTAAACGGGCCAATATAATCTCGGACTGGACATAATTGGCCACCGTGGAAGCCTCGATAGCAGGACCGCAGCCATGTCTTCCGCGTCACATATCCATACCGTGTCCAATCGGTCCGGCAAATCGTCGACCGCACGAGGCCGTCCAGCACCGCCGGAATTCGCACAAATGCCCAACATCAAGGACCTCAGATACTTTATCCCATCAGCCGCCACGGCGGCCATCTACCTCTATGCCCAAGGCCCATCAATAGTATGCTGTCATCACGACACTCTCACCATTGACCGGAGGTTCACACGGCACGTCGACGATGTCCAGCTTCTTGCCGTGGACACCCAGAGTGAAATGGGCGCTGGCCGTTTTGTCGTGAGCTACGACGCCGGCCAGACCGCCATCGTCTGGGATCTGATGACTGGCGATGAGATATCTCGCTTTGTTTCGTACGAGACGCTTACAGTCGCCTCGTGGATGCGCAACGGAAACGTTGCGTTTGGTGAGAGAACTCGCGCTATTCTCGGGTGGCTTGCATGGCCTAGCTAACATGTTGGCTTATAGGAAACACGCAGGGAAACATCATCCTTTTCGAACCAACAACATCCGAGCACATCTCAGCTCGGACCCTCGACCAGATTGCAGTGACAGCATTAGCTCCTTCATCTGACTGTCGGACCTTTGCCATCGGGTAAGTTACCATCACCATTGGCCGCAACGTGTTGTCATGTACTGAACCAACCAACCTCAGCTACCAGAATGGATCACTCCTAGTCGCCACTCTACAGCCTCGCTTTACCATCTTGCACAACTTGACGACTTCGAGAGGTCCATCACCTATTGTTACCCTTTCCTGGCATGCGTCGTCCTCGAGGCAAAAGTCAGATATGTTGGCCGTACAGACACACGATGGCGACCTGCGGGTCTGGAGCGTGGCCAAGTCGTACAACGCTGAAGACCCCGCCAAGGTGATCAGAGTGCTCCAGAGGAACGAGAACATCCTGTCTGGCCCTAATTGGATGGGGTGGTCCAAGAACGGCCGCATCATCCAATACTCGGATTCGTATGTCCCTCCAAACTGGCCACAGCCTAAGCGCGCGGCGACCTGCTTCCCGTTGGCGGTTTTTGTGCTAATTGATCAAACAGGGAAACATTTTCGTGGGACGTAAGGACCAAGCATGTCACCAAGGACTCCATTCCGACCCTTGAGCATGTAAAAGGCCTGGCCGTCTACGGTCCCGGGGCCAGTCTTTTTACCATTGGGCCAAACAATACTGTACAGCAGTTTGATCTCAACTCTCCGGCCATCATGGTAGCAAACGTGCAACACCCGGCTGGTGTCCTTCCACCATCGCCTCCCACATCAGAAGAGACCGGAGGCAGATCGGTGCACTCCGCAACCACCATCCATACCTCAGAGTCCGAGTCAAGCTCCGTCCCTCTTGAGATGGGCATCTCTGAAAGCGATGATGACCACCTATCCCCCTTTCAGCGGCTGGCAAAGCGCAATGCACCTGAAGTGAGAAACGAAGTATATGACTCAGGCAGCCAGGCCTCCAGCCACTCATCCTTGTCGAAGTCTTCGGCAGGCTCCCGCACACCCGGACAGGCTGGCTCACTGAGATCGCGAGGAATGACAGAGGGGACATACATCTCGGCCGGTTCATCCTTGCACACCTCGACAGTTGGACGGCGAGAGGTGGACAATTATTCGATGGGCTACACGCTTCCTAGCACGAGTGGTCCGTCGTTGGCCTCGTCCAAATCCAGACATCGCCCATCTCGCTTGCGGCACGAGGTGCCTAGGAGCCCTGATGATGCCAAGGTGCAGGACTTGTTCAAGTACACTCGCTCACGCCTAAGCGATCTTCCATACAAACATCCGATACCCGCAAGCCAAACTCATCCTACCAATGACGACTTGCGTCGACAGATGCTCAGCACCATCTTCGGATGGAACAAGGAAGTAGACGACTTAATTCGCGATGAGATGAGTCGTTATCCCGCAGGATCGGCAAACCGCATCTTGCTCGCAAAGTGGTTGGGCGACATCGATTCAGACATCATGGCCGCTGGCTCTCAGAATATGACTTCTCAAGACTGGATGCTGTTGGCCTTGAGCGGAATCGGCGGCCAGGCATCTCAGCACAAGCTCGGCCGCGTTTACGTCCAACGCCTCTTGGAGAATGGCGATATTCATGTTGCCGTGACGATTATGCTTGGCATGGGCGACTACAATGATGCCATTGAAGTCTACATCTCGCATAAGAGATACATGGAAGCTCTCATCCTCACTTGTGTGGCGTTCCCAAGTGTCTGGGAGCGACAAGCTGCCATTGTGCGTAAATGGGGCGAGTGGTCTGTTAAGCACGGTCAGCAACAGCTGGCGATTCGTTGCTTTGCCTGCACCGACCAAGAATCCTCGGAGCCTTGGACTTCACCATCGGCTGCTCAGCTCAACTTCCAAAACATCACGCCGAGCATCCCCGAGATGCTGAGCCCTCCGCTGTCTCCCCCCGGAGTCCAGAGGGGGCCTCAACGCAGTGTCGCCAAAGCGTCGGCGCTGAAGCTGATCACGTCGTTTGGAGACCAAAATCAAAAGGCCAAGTTTTACTCGCAGGCCGATGGCGGCCAAACACCCATCGCGGCCGGGGTAACGCCTATTGCTGAATCGGCCATATCTCCCGGAAACGGCTTTGATCCTGCGACTGCGTTTCTTCGGCCATTGGGCAACAGTAGATTTAACACGCCAACGTCAGCTCGACCCGCCCAGAATTTTAACCGTGGCCGATTATCCTCCATTGGAGAGGCCACTCTTGATAGGAACAGTCTAAAGCCCATTGATAACACTGCAAAGATCGTTGACGCACCCCCGCAGCGGGCGGGCCATTCCCGCAAGTCGTCCGCCACTCAAGACAATATGACGACGGGTCTTGCGATGCAGCGCGCTGCTACGGCCAGCCCCATGATGATGCGAGACCAGCATCCACGTGTCGTTCAGGGGTACTCGGGAGAGCGGCCACCATCCCCTGACCAGACCATCATGAGCAGGTTACAGGAAGTTCACTCGACGCAGCGGAACGGCTCCCGTGATCGGATTCCCTCGCATCTGCATCTGCAGCTGCAGCCCCTGGCGCAACCGGCGGATGCCATGTCTCCTGACCAGTCTGCCGCCTCATCTAATCGCTTCCACTGGCCGTCCCGGACACGTCGTGGTACTGGTCCTCCTGTTGCCGGATCTGTGGCCGGCTCCATTACATCCACCTCGAGCGCTGGCCGGAGCCACAAATCGAACCCCCGGCATAGGGATGATTATATCCACAGCCTGGAGGCGGCTCAGAGTTACTCGAAGAGAGCTGGAAGCAGGACAAGGAGCAAGGAAAGGACGAGAGATGTGTCCACCGGTCGCCACGGCAGCCGGGAGCGGCGAGCCAAGTCGCGCGATCCTTCAGAAGAGCGCGGTAGAGCTTCGGCCAGATCTTGGACAAAGGCCAAAAGATCTCCCACGTCCCCCGTACCAATGTCACCGGAAGACTTAGCCATCCTCAGCACTCAAACTTATAACAATAACGTTGAGCCCCTGACGATACGGAAAGCGAGCGTGATAAGGGGTAAGACGAGCGGGCGAGCGTCTAGCCAAGGAAGGAGCCGATCCGCTCCGCGGTCACCCCCCTCGCCAGTGCCGCTATCGGCGACAGCTCTGCATTATCAGGGATCGGAAGATGAGGAAGATTTTAGAGCTGCCATGCAGGCGCAAGAAGAATTCAGAGCCAAGCACAGCAGGAGCGTTGGCCACAATATCAACTCTCCAGTTGTAGGCCGACGGGAATACGCAGAAAGCCGACGAAGAGAGACACCCGAATCTCGAGAAGCCGTCCCGACAGAGTTGAGCCACACTGTACACGTACGAGCTGCATCTACCGAGCACGCCGGCGACTTGAAGAAAATGAAGGATGAGAGGCAGCGCAAAAAGGAGCAGGCCGCACGGGAGCTAGAAGAGCGTCGAAAGTCTCTTGCAAAGCGACAACTGGGCCCTCAGATCCCCCACCCGAGCGAGATATCTCCTGGCATGCCTCCGATTCTGGTGGAGGCCGAGGATGAGACACTCCCGGATTACCTCCCTCCTCGCTCTGCAACAGAACCTCCGAGGAGTATGTATGCGCGAAATGGGCCACATATTGGCCTTCCTGCTACTCCCAAGGCGATGAGACTCATTGTCCGGTCGGACGATAGCCAGTATGAAGACCTCACCCCTCCACCAGTTCCCGCAACATTCTCCCAGAAGTATTCCCCGCAAAGTTCACCAGGGTACTCTCCGCATTACTACATGGAGAAGAAGAAGGTGGTGCAGAGGGAGGAAGAAGATCAGCAGCAACGGCAGTATCAACCACCACCGCCGCCGCCACCACCTCAGCAGCAGCAGCAGCAACAACAACAACAACAGGAGGAGGAGGAGCCACTGACACTGCTGCCATCGACCGTTTATCAACTGCCGTCAACGGTTTATCAACCCCCATCTCGACCCATGATTCCGCGAAGCATGTCGGCACCGATTCCCGAAGAACCCTCTCGTAAAACTCGTTTCGGGAGAAAGGGGAGTGCCAATGAGGGCAGGGGCCTCGATGACATTGTAGAGACGGAATGGCGCCGACAGGTGAACAACCTGGTGCCCCCACCACCGCCGCCTCCTCCTTCGGCGCCTGCTACTTTCTTGAAGGAGCTGCAACATCTCGCCGTTCCTCCTCCTCCCCCTCCACCCCCGCTGCCACACGTCCGACGCCAGCCGCCCGTTGCTGGAACGTTGGCCTCGGGTATGATTGAGATTGTCATGGATGACACCGATACGGAGGACCCCATGATGGCCGCTCCCAATGACGGCATGGTACCCATGATTCCTCCTCCCGAGCCACCTGTCAAGGCCCACAATCGCGGCCGCAGCCTCGGAGAGGGCAGCCTTTCTGGCCGCATGGCGAAGACGAACGAACGTCTCCGTTCAGGCAGCCGTAGCCGAAAGGAGGGATCCATCAGCATCAAATCACCCCCGCTTGAGATGTACGGCGATGGTGGCAATCCCTTCAGCCAGCTCAGATCGCCTGTGGCTGGTATTCCGCCTCCCGTTCTCTACGATCGAGACGCCATTCGATCGCCAATCGAGGGGCATGGAAGAAAACTGTCGTCGGCTGGCCTGCACGGCAACGGGATGTTTTAATTTTGATAACGACAACTACACCAAAGGTTCCCCCTGCGCATGACGATTTGGCGTTCTTGCCATGCTTTCTTTGCTTCCAGTTTGGTTTTGGTTTTTATTAATCCCCAAGATGCGAATGCTGTGTTCGTATCATCCTGTGAGTTCAAAATACGGGGTCGATGTTTTTGAAGGGGTTCTCTCTGGAGGAATTTATTTTCTGGCAGAGATATGTCATGACTATATTTGATTTCTTTCTTTCAATTCTGCAATTTCTTTTCTTCCTTTTGCACCAAAAAAATTGTATTCTTTCTGGTGTCTTTACATTGCACTTGTGCAATTTTAGAGGAGAAGCTTTTTTTCTTTAAACCTATCTTATTTTGTGATATATGCATCAAGGGGTTGTTGTTTTTGGATAGATGGCCTGTGGATTCGGCCTGAATCGACATGCACACGCATGCGGGCATTGAATATCCTGGATTGGAGATGCTTCTTCTCGGCACTTGCCCCCCTCTTTCGCTTCTTTTTCTCTTCTTTACGATTGATGACGGATTTGGGCAAAAAACAAACAAACAAGCAAGTGAAGCTGGAAGACGGCGACGTCTCATGGCAGCAAGACTGGGGGAAATGTATGGACATGCGGTGCAGGCAGAGGCAGGAATGCAGGGCAGACTTAGTTTTTTTATACAATGCTGCCTCGCGGCAAATTTTGGCTTGAGGTAGCTGATGAAAAATTGACGTCTTGTATCAAGCGCACGTTTTGTCATATTGGTGTCTGTGTACTAATGACAATTGATGTGGTGCATTGTTGGTACGCATATACTTGGAGGTTGGTGATGGCTTCACACCCTGTGACTGTGGCAGATTGGTGCGAGAGGGAGGGGTTCAAGTGCCGCCACAACACCACATTGCAGCAATTTTTGCGTCAAGCTGGGCATCTAGGCGGATACCCGAATGACTTGCGAATCCTCTCGTATTTTTTTTCTACTTCATACCAAGAATAAAGCAGCGTCAAAAACGAAAAAGAAAAAAAAAAAAAAAGGAAATAGTAAAAAAACCAAAAAAATAGTGTCGGCATTCTCCGTCTCACCATTCCATCCCACGCCCTCCGCGATCGTAATCCAGCCCGCCACGCGACGGGGGAGAGTCCTCTGCAGAGTGAAACCTCCCTCAAGTGTCATCTCCATTGCTTAGGGCCGAACCGACGGTCGCAAGTTTCCTGTGCGAGCGGCTGGCCACCGCAGCGTTCGGGCTGGGCGTCGAACGGAGGGGATCTGACGGGGGTGAGATTGGAAAAGGCGAGTTGAGCGAGAGCCTTCACCGTTTGACCATTACAGCCGTTAGCAGGGGCTTGTAATTTTGTTTATAAAGGGGGGGAGCCCTAGTTGGGAAGATTGTTGAGCCGGGCCCGGGGGGGGGGGGGGGGGATGTGCTTGTACTTTAGTGGGTTGAAGGCGCTGTAGCTCTGCTGAAGCATGTGCTAGAGCTAGGTACGGAGTACTGATAGCTTCAATCTCCACAGCTTTCCGACTTCCAACGCGGAACATGGCATCGTCGACACCACATTCACAGCCTTGATGCGCAGGCTTGCCTCTCGTTACATCCTACGGCCTACACGAACCTGGGCCCAATCGACTTGGTTCTCCCATAGAATGGCCCGCGCCACTTGATTGCCGCAAAGATCTCCGTCCGCCTTCCCAAACCCTCCAACAGCTTTCCCGAGATAGACGGACGGACGAGACAAAGGCAGATCCCAAGGCCAATTGCTCTATACCCTGCTGCTATACGAGGCGATATAGAGTCACATCGAGTTCTTTACTATTCACCAAAAAAGAGAGAAGACAAGAAAAAAACAAACAAATCACGATGCTCACCACGGCCCCTCGCCTGCGCATTCGCCGCCCCTCCCCCACGACGGCCGAGTTCACCGTCACCACGCTGCCGCCGCAGACGCTGCCCCTGCGCCTCCTCTGGCTCCTCCTCGTCTTCCTGCGCATCTCCCTGTCCGTCACGGTGCTGCTCGTCCTCTACGCGCGCTGGGTCCAGGAGCGCACCAGCTGCGGCTTCGGCTTCGGCGCACCGCCATCATCCACCTCGCCCTCGCCCTCGCCACCGCCGCCGTTCCTCTCGCTGGGCCGTCTCGTCCTCGCCCTCGACGCCTTTCAGGGCACGCCTGCCGGTGCGATGCTGGCTAGAGCCGCGGCGGCGGTGTCCCTCCCGGTGCTGCTGCCCGTTGCTGTGGTGGTGTTTTACGCGCTCAGCCTGAGGGTGCACAAGCAGGAGAGCCTGCTCGTTCTGAGGGGGCTGGGCGTGCAGACGTGCGAGAGCCCGGCGACGTACTTGGCGGCGGCGGCGACGCGCTTCATCCCGACGGAGAAGATTCAGGATATCCTGGTGAACGAGGCGTTTCGCGGGTTCGAGGTCAGGTATTATCTCGTGGTGGTGGTGGAGGGCGAGGAGGACGTCGTGGTTGTGTTTCCGGGGTTGTTGCCCAAGAGGAGGATTGTCGAGACGGTGTGGAGGGGGGTGAGGGAGTGTTTGTATGAGGGGAGAGGAGAGGATAGAGGGTTGGCGAGCGATAAGTGAAGTTGAGGATATTGCATAATGTGCTCATGAGATGATGCTGTTCTTATTTTACATGGTGGCGCTTATAGAGCGCACTTTTGGTATTGTATTTCCAAAGAGTCATGTATTCCAGAACCAAGAAATCTATATACCCCCTCTTGATTTTTTTTATATAGTTCATTTTCTTCGTTTGCTTTGGATTTACTCATCGGCCATGGAGGTATCGCTCTCGTCCGCCGTATGGGACCTGAACCCCCTTCTCGCCCTCATATCCTCTGCGTCTGCATATCCCTTTCGCTTCGCATACTTGTCATTCTGCTCATCCGCAGACTCCAGCAGCTTCATCTTCATGACGCCGGGATACTTGCCGCTCAGCCTCCCACCGTTCCCCCCCTCAAAGACCTTTGTGCTGCTGGCGCTGCTACTTGGCGCCGCCCTGGCCGTGGTGGTGCTGCCGCCGTTTCCCTGCTGCGAGACGTGCTGCAGCAGCTGGCCGGCGAGGATCTCGTCCATCTTGCGCTCCCGCCACATCTGCCACGTGTCGTCCATGATGCCAAACTGGCCGAACCGCCCGCTCGGCCCGTCGTCGCCGACGTGCACCCACCGCAGCGCATCATCCTCGCGATGAGCCGCCGCGGACTGGCTCAGGTCGGACGGGAAGATGCAGTCCCAGAGCACCAGGGGCACCTCGTCGGCCATGACGTAGTTTGGGCGGCGCGGGTTCCTTTCCACGTCGAGCAGCTCGCTCACCAGCGACGGCTGCTCGAGGCCCTGGCCGACGAGGAAGAGCACGGCGACCATGTGGCGGATCTGGTGCCACAGGAAAGCCGAGCCGCGGACGTGGAAGTAGTAGACCTTGGGGTACACCTCGCCCGAACCCAAGGCCAAGTCTTCCGGGGCGAAGCCGGCGGCTTTGAGGTACGGCAGGGCGGAGGCGGCATCCTTGACCTCGACAATGTCCGACTCGAACATGCGGCGCTTGAAGTTTGTGATTTGCTTGGCCGGGTCGATCTTGCAGAGGTTGCGGAAGTCGTGCTCGCCCTCGTACCGCTTCGCCGCGTCGCGCATGGCCTCGATGTCTAGCCAGCCGGACTTCATAATCTTCCTGGTCCTCTGCTTCATGGGGACGCCTTCCACGTGAGAGGGCGTCGGGGCAAAGGCCGGCTGAGTGAAGAAGTACCGGTACTGACGTTCCCTGCACGAGAAGCGGGCGGAGAAGTCGGGAGGCGGCGCGGGACACCAAGCGAGGATGCGGATCTCCTTGGGGAGCAGGCGGTTGAGGACATGGGGATAGGGGATCTCGTCGCGAATGTCGTCAAAGGGTTTCTCCTCTTGCTGCTGCCGATTCTGATCTGCTCCGGATTCTTCTTGAACAAACTCCCCTGGCGCGTCCTCGTCGTCCTGGACCGGCTCCCTGGGCAGAGGCCTGTTGCTGCGCACCCTCAGCCCAATGACCTGCCCAAAGGCGCTGACCCCGCGGTCCGTCCGGCCGCACTTTGAGTACTCGCAGCAGTCAAAGTCGACGAGCTTTTCGTCCTCGGGGAAGATGAGGCACGCCTTGGTGAGGGCGTTCCACAGCTCCTCCTCGATGGACGGCTGGTTGCCCATGGCCTGGAACTCGAAGCCGCCGTAGTTTTTGCCCAGGTACGCCAGCTTCAGGGCAATGTAGCGGGTGGAATACTTGGACGGGTCCATCTTCTTCTTGGCCTTGGGCATCTTGACCGGCGGAGCCACTGCCTCGCCTTCTCGTCGCGGCTGTTTATGTCGCTGTTGCTGTAGAGAGTCTTGCGTTGAACTGGGAAGCAAAGATGCGGCCACCTGTAGCTGCTGCTCCAGCTCTTTCACTCTCTGGACGAGACCGGCTTTGGTCCAGTTCTTGTATCTCCCTTGATCAGACATCTTCAGCCTCCTCTCGCGGACTAGATCCAAGTTGTTGACAGTTGATAAACGGCAGTGAAATCCTTCTCTAGCCCTGCTAGGCCAGCTGGTTATGGCACCTCCACAAATCTTGCGGCCTAGATTCCCCTGGTGGAAAGGTCGCATGTGATGAGTTTGTGTAAAGTATTTGATATTTCCATAGCCAACAGGGGTTTTATTTCTGGCTGCCTTGGGATTTTTTACATCTTTGTGTTAATGGCTTCAATTGGTGGTTTTTTGAGTAGAGATGTATGTGGCTTGGCGGCCAGTGAAGTGTGGCTGGTGAGATAAGTAGCGCCACTCTAGTTGTCAATGCTATTACGAGCGTCTCTTCTTCTCATCCTCTCTCCGACCCAAATGCGCCAGATCTTCCCCGGGAAGAAATGGACGATGAAGCCGTTCAGATACTTCTCGTAGGAGATGAAAAATGCGGCAAAACAACGTTTCTCTCGTTTGTAGCGACCCATCTTCCTATAGGGTAGTAATAAGCACACACTGACGGGCGGGCTTTCATCGCAGGCGAGTCAGCGCTGGCGAGAACATCAACCCGATCCCGCTGCTCCGTGACATTGACCAGCCGTACATATTCTCGGTCAAAGTAGCGTCCAAGAGCCTTCGGTTCGAGTTCTACGACACTTCCAGTCCCGAAAACTGGCGCCTGCTGGACCCGGACGTCATTGTCATCTGCTACGACATCAGCCAGCGCCTGAGCCTCATTAACATGAAGAGATATGTTGGTATTTTCTTTGAATTGCCCTCGATTTCCCTATCTATCCTTGTCTCTGCAATCTCTGCTATATACAATTCATAACGCTGGCCATTAGTGGATCAATGAGGTGAAACAGTCCTTTTCCCGCATGGATTCGCTGCCGGTGGTAGTGATGGGGCTGAAGAGGGACTTGCGGTCTGAGAATGATCCGAATGGCATCATATACCCACAGGATGCCTATCGAATGGCCCAAGAGATGAGAGCAGATCGTTATGTCGAATGCTCGGCGGTGACGGGAGAGCTGGTGAGGCCTGCGTTTGAAGACATCTGCAAGACGGCTGTCGGGACGACAACGGAGAAGGGCGGACAGAGCGAGGGCGGTTGCACGATGCTGTGATCCTGAGCGATATCCTGTTTGGAATCTTAGATGGAGATGTCTGAGTTTTTGTTTCTGGCAGCTCATTCATCTTGAATAAAAGAGAGAACCGTGCCTTGCCTCGAATTGACGCTTGGTGCTTGTAATTTTTAGTGGTATCCATGGCATTTCATGGCTCTGCGGCTTCATCTGCGTTGCCGTTGGCATTAGGATCCGCCGCCTCAAACTGGCCCAAAACTTGCAGAATAATGGTCACCATCTCCTCTTGCTGCTCGTCGCTGAAGCGCTCCGACATCTCCTCGATGACGGTGTTGAGAGCCGCCACCGAGGCCGGGCGAAGGTTGAGAATCATGACGACCTCGCCCTTGGAGAGCTCATACGGGCTTAGGCGCTCAAGCAGCTGGGAGATGCAGCCAGGGGTGTATGTGCTGGGCTTTTGGCTCAGCGGGTTGGGATATGACTGCAGATATTGGATGAGCTGAGGAAGAATGGTTAGTTGTTGAAAAACAGTCATGTCATCTTGAGTTGTGACGAACCTCTCTGACAACCGTCTCTAGATTGGGAGGGCCACGACGCTTCCTCTGCTTGTATCGGTCCTTTTGCTGGGTCAGATGCTGCAGCACCTCGTAGTTGGAGAGCACGGCAGCCTGAGCTTCGACGACCTTCATGGTGGTGGTGGTGGTGGTGATATATGCCTTTGCCTCTCCGGCTGAGTAGAGCAAGACAACAGACCAAAGAAACGCCCTCCAAGTGAACGACTATGGCTACAAGACTCTAGATAGTACAATGTCTTGTAATGAATGATTCCCCCTTGAGCATCAGAAAAGACACACCACGCTCTTATTGAGCTGCCGCATCCAAATCGCTGCTACACGCTTGATCTAAGAAAAGATTGGACGACGGCAAGCATTTTCTCGCGACCATCCGGCGGCCCAATCAAAGCAGCGCCAATTGCCCCTCCTAAATATCTGTGCAGACCGCCCAAACAGAATTGAGGCCGCTAAAAATTTCCTCGCGTGGCTTGTGCCATTTGATGGTCAAGATCAATCCCTTGTACAGTGTGGAATGTCGCACTGGCACCATGTAGCGTCCAGCATGCAGCCTTTTATTAGTACCTCTACCCACTGCCTAGAATACTATCACATGCAGGGAACGGTTGAGGTGAGGGTGAGGGAGAGGAAGAGAGAGGCTGGTGAGGCTCGTGATGGGCATTTCAGAGGGCTATAGCAGTATTCATAATTCAAACACTCAACTTAGTAGTACGAGGGGAAACTCGAGACGACATCTCAGTGAAAAAAAAGAAAGAAAGACGCTGAAGCTCGCGAAATTTGCCATTGACGGATGCCGAATTTGCACCAAGGCCAACAGGTACTAAGCTGCACTAGCCCGTGTTGAAACATGGCAACCCTGCATCCAAGTCAAGCTTGAGACCCTGGGAAGATATCAAGCAAGGCAAGCAAATGCCTCACGAACTGGCCTTGATGAGGGGGAAGGAAATAATACGGCACGCCATCACTAAGTTGTTTGTAGGTGTCTGTCGGTTATTTTGTGTGAATGTCAGCATTACGGTGGATGTATGTTCTGTTTCGTTTGCTTGACGTCAAGCACGCCATGGTTCCATGCTGGATCAACGCCTCTGGTTCCCGACCAACTGTAAAGCGGCCTTTGCATTTGATTGTAAAGTAGGAGCAATTGCGCAATTCCCAACATCGTTGTTCAAACAATACGCCGACAACTCGCTAGGCCCGGTCCTCTGAAATAGTCGTCACCCTCCAGTGAGCGCTATTCATTCGGGTTCGTGGCCCAGCCAGTGGCGCCCACCACTCTGGCACATTCAGCCATCTGATGTCCTTTGTATGGAGAATGGAGAATGCCTTGCCCGATATTGAACACATGCGCCATCCATCACGGGCACATGCAGGCAGCAAGTACTGGACTTGTTAATGAATGACATGGATTCCGTCAGCGCGGTTGAACTGGGCTCTCGTGAGGCTGCTCGTACTCGTACAAGTCCTTTAGTACCAGGTACTCTTTCGTCTCAATGGATGTACAGAGCCCGACACAGTGTACCGTCTCTTCCCCCGCCTAGCACCAAGTGGAGGGGCGGCAGCGGGGAAAAGAGACCCTGCCCAGGCGCAGTTACAGCGCGTTTGGCCCTGTGCCAGTGCTGCACTTGGCCTGAACTGCGCTGCATCTCGCTGAAGCCTGCCCCGACCCCACTCATGCACGTCTCGGCAACAGACGCAGGCCGGTATGCGGTAGGTCAAGTTTTTTTTTTTCCCAATGCGCATTCAGATTTTTTTTTTTTTGAGTTCCGCCCTCCTGCTAGCCGTCGAATCGGCGTCCTGACTCAGAGCCTCTCTCTCCTCTAATTTTCTTCTCCTTCTCCTTTCTCTCCCTCTTCCATCTTCCCTCTCCTTTTATCTTGGTCATCATGCTGCTGTAGCATCTTTGCGCTGTTCTGCTGCCGCCGCCGCTGCTTCGAGGCTCTGCCATCGCCGCCTTGGTCTTTGCTCCTTGATTCCGTCGCCTACCGCATCTCCAGCTTCGGCCGCAATCGGCAAAGATCTCTGGACCACGGCTTTTGCATCTGACGTCGGCCTGGAACTCTGCTCCCCACACGGACGGCGGGTCTGGCTGAAAAAACGAGCATCGCCCAAGCCCTCACGCGACCCCTCCATTTCTCTGGAATTGCTCAATTGGAGACTCTTCTCTTGTCGTCATCCCTGCCGTGCCGTGCCGTGCTGTGCTGTGCTGCTTGACGCCGTCGCCATGGTTCGAAACATTGTCGTCCTGGGAGGCAACTCCCACCCGCAGATGACGGAAAACGTCTGCAACTTCCTTGGTATCCCTCCTTGCGACCGCATCCTGTCAAAGTTCTCTGGCGGCGAGAGTCGCTGCGAGATCAAGGACTCTGTCCGTGGCAAGGATGTCTACATCATCCAGTCTGGCTCGGGCCATGTCAACGACAACCTCATCGATCTCTGCATCATGATCTCGGCGTGCAAAATTGGCTCCGCTAAGCGCGTCACCGCCGTTGTGCCTCTCTTCCCCTACTCGAGGCAACCTGACTGGCCCTATAACAAAGCCGGCGCTCCTCTATCGAGGTCATCCGAGTCTTCCAAGAAGGATTATAATTATACTTTCGAGAGCGTCCCCCCTACACCGCGGCCCGGCGGACCGCGAAGCGCCGGCCTCTCAAATGGGGTTAATGGCCTCACCGAAAAGCTCTCCAAGAACTCCGAGAATGGCCATCGAGAAGTCAACGGCGACTCGCTGCCAAAGCGATCAGACACCCTCTCCAGCGTCGGCTCTAATGGAGTCTACCCCGACCTTACAAAACGAAGCTTCACGACTCACGATTACGAGAATCAGACCAACATCAACGGCTTCCGGCCCAAGCCTGGTTATAAGCAATGGGTGGCCCAGGCCGGCACTCTTGTTGCTGATCTTCTTACTTGCGCTGGCGCTGATCACATCATTACCATGGACCTTCACGACCCTCAATACCAAGGCTTCTTCGACATTCCCGTCGACAACCTATACGGCAAATTCCTCCTCCAAAACTATATCCAAACCCACATCCCCGATTACAAGGAGGCGGTCATTGTCTCCCCCGACGCAGGTGGCGCAAAGCGAGCGACCGCCATCGCGGACAGCCTCAACATGGACTTTGCGCTCATTCACAAGGTAATATGACCCCATGATCTTCTTGTTCGAGACTCATTCTTTACCCCCCTCTAGGAACGTCGCCCCATCAAGTTTACAGACCACCGCAACGCCAGCATGATGCTGGTTGGCGACATTGCCAGTCGGGTCTGTATCTTGGTCGACGATCTTGCCGATACGGCCAACACCATCACTCGCGCTGCCAAGCTGCTGAAGCGAGAGGGCGCCACTAGAGTTTACGCCCTCATCACCCACGGCGTCTTCAGTGGAGATTCCATTGCCCGCGTCAATGCCTCTGCCATTGACAAGGTCATTGTGACCAACTCGGTCCCGCAGGAGGAGCATCGTCGTCTGTGCCCGAAATTGGAAGTGCTTGATATTTCGCCAGTCTTTGCTGAGGCCATCCGCCGCGTCCACCACGGCGAGTCTATTAGCGTGCTCTTCCAACTTGCCTGAGTTGGCCTGGATGGAGAGGCGCTAATTCTGTGTTGATGGATCAGCCATGAAGCTCGCGATGGTATCATTGCAGTGCTGATGAGGGAGCAAACGGAGACGGGCTAATCTGCTGGAGCGGTTGAGATTTCTGAGGGTCACTTGGTCTGGGCTGTCTTTTTTTCCTTTTCTTTTTCTTCTCCCTCTCCCTCTTTCCCCTCCCTCCTTACTTCATGGATAATACCCTTGTGGCTCTTGAACTCGGTCTTGAGAAACACGTCGTTTAACCTTGAGCCTTCGATGCCACCTGGGGCTATTTATGGAAGAGGTGTGGCTGTTCTCTTGTTTTTATACCGCCAAAAAGTACTCAGCTCTCCCTCCATCTACTCGATTGGCCGTACTAAACGAAACCCCTTGAAATGCCTGACTGGCCTCACACAATATCTCCGAGAAGATCCAAGTGCGAGAAGTAAGAGAGTTTTATTTGCGGCATGAGCTTTGTTTTGGTTGTCTTGACGGGGCTGCGCAGCTAGGCGCGTAGGCCCTGTCGCCTACCATTTTACTATTGATGGTATTTTTTTTTCTGTTCTTTGCTATACACATCATCGACAAATACTGTCGACGAAGGAGCTGCTAGAGTGCTGTATGTACCCGTAGCTCTCTTCAAAATATCTGGGAGGCTGCTTATTTTTTTTTTGGCCCCCTTCATCCTGGGGATCTTGACAAGAAAAAAACCATATAGAAAGTAAAATGGCATCGTAGACTTGAGGATTTCTGGAAACGTTTGTGTGTGTGCTTGCGCGCCGCATGTGCTAGTTTCATGTCTGGGCCACAAGAAGGGAAAAACACATGTCGTGTAAAAAACATTTTTGGGATTCAATTGGCCGTAGGGAGTAAATGCCAACTTGGAAAACCAAGATAGAAAAAAGTATTTTTGAAAAAAAAAAAAAGAATTGAAAAAGACAAGAGTCTGAAAAAAAGGAGAAGAACTGGTCTAAGGTGTATTCATCTATCTCGGCGCAATCTATATGTGTTTGCCTCCTGATTCATCATTCCTCATCACATCATATCCATGATCCATCTTGCCAAACCCATCGCTTTCTTTCGCTTATCCCCCCCCAAACAGTCGTAGTCTGTTAACAAGCACATAGCAAAGCTACGCTCCTCACATCTAAGTTTCTGCAGTCCAGGTGCCTCCGATCGTCGCAAGGTCTTCCGGGATCTGCCAACCATGTAATCTTGCGGCTCGTTGGTAAGCATCGACTGCCTCGCCGATGCCGTAGTCATTAGTCCTATTGGTCCTATTCGACGTTTCCAGTCTTGCTGGACGGTCTCGATCTACTAATCCCAGGCGAATCTGCAAAAATACCTTTTCCATCGTCATCACCGCCGACCAGCCCGAGTTTGTGAGCATCTCGGAACAAATCGCCCCCCCCCATCGTAACATGCCCTCCGCCTCCCTGGGAGAATGGCAAGAATCTTGGCCTTACAACGCGAACAAAGGGCGGGGAGAAGGGAAAGTTGGCGCCGAAACGAAATTCAAGCACGATGCTGGTGCACCCCTTTTGTTTCATGTCTTTCGCGAGTGGAAGGTCGACTTCGAAGCTGTGCAACTCAACCGTCCAGTGAAATACGTTGCTTATCTTGTCAAAGTCGATATACCACCCGAGAGATGCGAGGTTTTCTTGGCGTTGAATCTCGTGCAGTTCCTTGATGGCGCGGTTTAGGGTCTTGAGTGCCATTGGAGAAGTTGAAGCCCAGCTCGGAGCCGGGAGCTTGGGGAGAGACTCCAGATCTAGGCTCCCGGGCACAAAGTCAGTCGTGAATTGCGCGACCGACTTCTCATCGGGTTTTCTATGAACAAATGCCGCAGTATTGAGTTTGTGGCTTCTCCTATCCGTCGAGGCAATTGACGAGCTTCGGCGCTTGATTGAGCGCCTAGCAACATCGTCGGCATGATTCTCCTCAGAATCCAGAAGAAGTTCGTGATCCGTGTCGCCATGGTCGCTTTCATAAGATATCTCGGGCGTTTTCAATGATTCATCTGGTTCACGGTCGCTGATTTTGTTGTTTCTTTGGACAAGGTACCGACGGTTAGATGGTAGTGCTGATAAGGGGATCCGGACTTTTACGCCGACAGAAGCACAGAGCGCCCTCGAGGGCTGCTGGGGCACGTATCCCGTGCATGTCTCTGTGGGCTTGGTGGGAAATGGCTGTTGCATCGCTTCTACTGTTGGGTCTACCGAGACGAATAGGTATCTGCACTGAATCCATTCGATTTGCTTGACCACGTAGTGAGGTGTTGTTTTCACAAACTCGCTGCATCGATTAACGACCTCGCATATACTGATGGCGGCAGAGGGCTTGAGTAGAGAATTTGGCCAGTGAGTTTCCTATTGCACAACAAAAGTCAGCCAGAGAAAAGAGGTCTACCAAACGAAGATGGAGAAAGTGTTTGTACGGGGGGCCATGTAATTTGCCGACGGTATGAATGCTAAAGTGCAGACATGGACTTACCACAGCGTTCATTTGCGTCCTACAGTAACCTGAGCTCACTGAAAAATCATTGCTCATGTACACCCCATCTCCATAGGAGCGCCCATTCTGAACAGTGTTGAAGTCGAGACCTGTTCGTATAATGCTATGCCAGTTCTGAAGGCCGCTACCATGCCATGCAAAGATGGAAGGGAATTTTGACCTTTCCCCTTGAGACTTTGAAGCGGCCAGAATCTCTTTCATAAAAAGACGTTCCCGTTCTGGAGTCCCCTGCAGGAATCGAAACTGCATCCAATGAGGCTGCAACCCCTTCACCTTGTGAAGATTGGGAGGGTTGGGAGGAATCGGAGGAATCGGAGGGTTGGGAGGCACCATGACTTGAAAATCATCGGAATCACCGAGTTTCTCTGCTGGCTTGATTAAATTCGGTACTGCGTCGTCTTGAAGAATTAGAGACCTATTCGAGGATATGATCCACTTCAGAAGGGTAAGTGAGTTCTTATCAAGACGACCCCAGGAGGAAAGGCGCTGGCTTGGATTATTCAAGAGATATGTCCTCATGTCTAAAACAGATGGAATTCCGCGCAGTATCGTGGCAAAAGCAACGCATCGGTCACTCTCATTCAGATCATCAGTATCACCCGTGTACTGAAGAATCGTGACAGCTTTCCATTCCCTTCGAGTGTTCGAAACCTCTGTAGGCCGTTCGGCTTCCGGTAGAGGCAGCACTCCCAACGGCGTTGAAGAGGTCGAAATGACCTCAAATGTGTAGAGATAGGTCGCAATGGCCGTCACTTTGCAAACGTGCCTTTCGCAATCTAAGCAGGAGCGTTAGAACCGAGATGTTGGACCCAGCAGGTGATAAAAGGGTAATTGATGCTTGGGCAGCAGAAAACGGTCAGTTACTTACGTCCGTTGACTAGTAATGTCGCTGGCAGGGTGCCCTTCACCCCGATGACTATCATGAGCAAATCACCGACCTTGATCTTGGGGCTCATCTTTGCATGAACATCCGGGTCGAAGCGGATCGTCTTGTCGTAAAAGCAGGCCTCGGCGATGGTGTGCACTGCCGCTTCGCTCATTTCTCCAATGGGGATGCTCTTTAGATTGAGACCAACAGGGAAGTTTCGTAGACTTTTAGGGCTGCCAATGGCTGCAGCGAAGAAGCTGATCAGAATGTCAACGACGTACGGGTTGCTGACAATATCGTGTTCAATGCTTGTGCCTAATCCAAGAGTCGTAAACTGGTAAACACACAAGGGATCATGGCAGACGTAAGGTTTGAGAGCCTCAAACTCATCTTCCAGCCTTTGGTGACACACCATACAATATTTTGTACAGCGGGCGAAGCGGCGAAGCGCAACTTGCATGGCGACCATGGGAAAGCTGAAGTCCTCATCTTGATCCAAAGCATAGTCATGGCTCAATGACGGCATTGCAGTTTCGGGAACCGGCGTGTCCGGTGCACCATGTTCGAAAACAACTGCATCCTGCGAAAACCCACCCTTGGCGAGCACTTTGAGTTGATTCAGAGCTGTGTCCCAAGACAAACCCTTGCCCCGTCTTAACTGTAAAAATGACAAAAACCCATCGTTCATAAGCATGTCGATTGAGTTGGACATATAGAGAGGCACAAAGCTTCCACTGGTATCCTCAGCCTTGTCGTTTGAGGCGTTTTGGCTAGCATCAGACACTGTCGTTAAGGCGGAGCGAGCACCGTCGATGGATGGCTTGGGCTTTGAACACTTGCCAAAACGGAACTGAGGCTTCCAGTGGCCGTCGATTAAGAGTTCCGAAAAAGTCGGATAGTGTGGTGCAAATTTACACAAAAGAACTACATAGTCGCCACGTTCAAGGCCCCATGCTTCTAGAGCATGCTCGGGGATACCAAGTTTGGTGGCTCGGAGAGATAGGGAGAAGAACTCAGCCTCGCCAACTGGCACTCTGGGATAAATTCCTACCGAAATTCCTGCTGATCGAACAACGTTCAAATCTTTCTTCAACCGGGCGATTGAAACTGCAGTGCCGCTAGGTTGGTTCAAACGTGGCCGGGCGGAAACCGCAGAGAAAGTGTACTCATCCACATGGTCCTCGTATTCTGATTCCAGCTCTTCCTCATCAAATGAGTCTGACGCATCATCCGAGTCGACGTCTGGCTTGGCACTTGCATCATCTTCGACGCCGGTTTCTACCTTGGAAAGAAGCTTCTCTGCAACAGCTTGTATGATGGTCTGAACGTCCTTATTTGCAAGAGACGCCGACAGACGTTCAAGAAGAGAAGAGACATCGACTATAGAATGGTCGGATTCTGTGAATATCATGACGCTTGAGCTTTTGGGATAGGAATCGACATCTGACTAGGTTTAACACGCAAGTTTCAAGGGTGGCAGTTGGGAATGTGGGCACTTACCAAGGACCAGGATTTGGATGTCCAGGGATGGCGTCGCGTCATTGAGAGACCAGGTAAAGACAACCTCGCCATCCGAGTCTCCTTTTCGAATGTTGGATACTCCATCGATGTCAATCGCTTTCGATGCGGATATATCCTGGTTGAACTGTTTCAGGCCCATGATCGACGAGTTCCTCAAAGGCGTGACGTCGGACGACATGCAGCCATAAGAGGTGCGCGCTCCACTCTGGCGATGGGACCGTCGTCGATGCGATGAGATGCGATCGATGCGATACGATGGCGAAGCGAGGCTGCGCTGGTGATGCCGTTGTAAATCTGTATCGACAGAGGGGCAAGGAAATGGAGAGAGGCTGCGGGAGAGGCCGAAGAGGTAGAAGAAGAGAAGATGGGATTAAATGCCGTCTAGTTCTGCGTGCGCTGAGTTTGCGTTTCCAGGAGGTTTGTCGCCGGGTTGGCGGCAAGTGGCGGCAGAAAAGGCTGTGCCTGTGCCGGGCGACTCTTGCAGCCTTTTATATTCCGACGGTTGGGAGCAAAGGCAAGAAAAGGGAGAGAGAAGAAGAAAAAGAAAAGAGTCGAAGAGCGTCAGGGAATCACCAAAAGGTAGCAGCCAGTCACCTGTTTGAGCAACTGCATATGGCCTTGCGTTGGCACTTTTCCGAGCCCAATGAGAGATGGACACTGGACGAGGCGACAAGCCTTGCTCTGGCCTGATTGATCAGTACTGGCATGACATGCAGCGAGAAGCAATGGCCGCATGAATGCATTCAATCAGATTAGGCGGCACCATTCCATCAAATTACAAGGACAGCTGAGGGCAAAGTGACCACGGGCACAGCTCAAAGCTCAGCTCAGCAGCAGCAGCAGCAGAGGTATAAGTAGCACCGGGTTCAGTCAGGTACTTACGTGCACCCAACGACCTCAATTATATCAGTAGTATGCTCAAGAGCCAGTTGACTTGGTTGCTTCTCCGGCGCAGAGGTGCCCACTGAACAGCCTTGGACGTATGCTGCCCAACTGCATGCAGGATCCTCTAATGTTGCGGTTAATCTATGCGGAGGCCGACGAGGAAGCTTGCTTTGCTGGCAGAATCGCAAAGCTGCAGAGTCACGGCAGAAATAAATGGGAGAGCCGCCAGTGATTCGGTTCATCAAATGTTGGACGACACACAGATGTTGAAAGTACCACCGAAGTGCCTCCAAGCACTCCAAAGTTCAATTTCAAGGCTGGGTCAGCGAATCATCAAATACGAAGTCGACTCGCCACAGCAGAAACAAGGACTCAGCCTTGGTGGGGTGTCTGGCTGGGGCTGTTGCCTGCGATGCGGGCATCAGTTCAATGATGACTGATGGATGTGATCTCTGGCAGCCTGTCTGTGCTGTGATTCGGCGCATCCAAGTCACGCAGGCCTCCAGATGCTCTTCCTGGTAGTACTTTTGGCAGCGGCAACTTTAACATCCATTTCTGGGCAATGTGTTGGTTGGCGTCCATGTAGAAGCACAAGATGAAGCTTGGTGCTTGGGTACTAGGTACATGTATCTACCTCTCGTATTGACCAACTCCTCTAGTACCTAGCACTAAAAACAAAAGTAGGCACGATTCTACATATCAGATACTTGGTATAGTAGCGCATCTCGGGGTGTTCTAGGCTTGATATACTTTGTGTGGCTTCGGCTGTTTGCCTAGGTGTATCTCCCGTCCACGAGTCTCTATCAACGTGGTCTCACAATCAATTGAACCTCCAGGTTCTGTCACTGATGCTAACGCGGGAGGTAGTACCAGACATTAGTGCGTACATACACCATTGTAAACCCCACTGGGGCGGTGGGGAGGCTCAGCGGAATTTATTTTAGCACGAGCCTTAACTTGAGCGTCCCTGGTAAGACCCGAGCGCGCCGATGCGCCACTTTAACTCCCAGATTCGCGCATGAGCATCACTACGGTGACAGACATCCTCAGGCAAACGACAACGACAGCTTCGCACAATGGCCTCCGTGAGCTGTCGGTACTCGCAGTAGCCAGCGATGCTCTGCCGTCCAGTCCAGCCTTTCTCAAATCCTCGTTTAACGCGTCCCGAGACTCAGCCGCCTTCGCCACAGCTTGCCGATCTCGCCTCTGCCTGCATTGCATGGCCCTCTTCTAGACCAAATGCACGGGAATTGTGCAAGCCACCGACATGCTCAAGCCGTCTCCTCGTACGCTTTGGGGCTGGCCGCTCTCTCGGCTATCCCCTCGTCGCCTAATCCTGCTGTCTCTATTTGCGCTCCTCCTGATTGGCAGCCTGACGTGGGCCCTTCCAGCCTCACCGGGCCCTTCTGCATACGAGCACAACATCTCTCTCCCTCGCCCTCGCCCTAGTGACGCGCCTCCTAGGGAACCCGAAGTCTCCCGCCCATCACAGTCGTCACAGTCACCGCCGCCGCAAAAGGGCAGCGGATACAATGGCTCGTATTGGTTGGCCGACGAGAGAGGGCTCTCGACCGCCTATTCTAGCGCCATCACGCTTGATAATGAGCGGATCTTGCTTCCGCCGCTAAAGGCCCGACGGCCGATCTATTGTTATCATGCTACAACCATGAAGAAAACAAAAGACGAAAGAGATGCCGAACAAGAGCTGCTGCTGACATGGCGCCGTGCTTGGTGGGCGCAAGGGTTCCGTCCGGTTATCCTGGGTGCCGCCGAAGCCAAAAGCAATCCTATTTATCAGCAAGTGCGGGAAATGGCAGCATCGTCTGAGCTGAGGGAAGATCTCATGAGATGGCTCGCTTGGGACACTGTCAATGGAGGCATCTTATCGGAATTCACAGTCCTCCCCACGGTTCCTCGACAGGATTCGCTCCTACTGCTCCTGCGACAAGGAGAATACGCCAACTTGACGAAGTGGGCGGATTTGGACGACGCATTTCTCGTTGGACAAGAAGCCGATGTTCGACTGGCAGTCCAGTCCATTCTGCAGAAAGAAGGTATAGACCAAGTGACAAGTGTCACTGCGGCTCTTTCAGATGATGCCATCACAGTAGACGGGACAAAAACACCGCTTGCTTACTACAGCTCCAAGGTCATCGACAACAAGTATGCCCAAGTAATCAGCAAAGGACGCAGGGCGGAAACTCTCCGCAATCTGAACAAGCTCATCAACTATCATCTTCTAGTTGCCTGGCAGAATACCTTTCCCGATGGCATCGAGATCGTCAAGCCACACCCGCAGCATGCGACAGCTATGCTGGCCGGCGCCTTGAAGCTTGCCAAGTCTCTGTCCTCTTGTCCTGCATCTCCAATGCCATCCACATGCCCTCCTAATCTACCTCATTGCTTTCCCTGCGTGGCGTCGCCCATGGCCGTTTCTACTCCTTCACGTCTTCGCAAGTCTCCTCAGGTTTTTACAATTGGCGTTGTCCCGCATCCATGGTCCTTTGCATTGGTAGATAATCTTCGGGAGTCTATCAACGTCACCTGGATCCTAGATTCACCCCGGGATCCGTGGCTCAGTGCTGTCACCCTAGCGTATCTTGGTTCTGGAGTGTCTTCGCATCGCAGAGTTGTGCGATTTAAAGAGCTTGTGGCTGACGAGGCTGACTCGGTTCGCTCTCTGTGGCTTTTAGCAGAGGATGAAGTGCCTGGTGATATGGACTGGTATTTTGGATTCACCTTGCCCGAAAAGTCCATGAGTGATGGGAAATCTCGGAGTCCCGTTCCCGCTGATCGCTTGCCGAAAGAAGATGAGGAGCCAGACCGGGTCAATGGACCTGTTGCTTCGGACGAAGAGGTCGCCCGTGAGCGAGCTATACTTGACAGAGCAAAGAGCGTCATCATGATGAACAAGCCATCGAACAACAGGACCAAATCACGAGCCTCGCTCGAGGCCTGGAATATGGCCGATACAGAAGCCTGGCGGTTCACAAGAGCCTTCAACGCGCGACGCTTCTTGGAGCGTGAAGAGTGGCAAAAGGAGACATTGTCAACGTCTGGGATCGAAAGCAGCCTCAGAGCCCACGACTAATAGCAGGGGAATTGATGATATGAAGGCAACGTGAGTTAAAAATGTTGAAATTCTTATATTTAATCTTCCTGTACACCCTCTTCCCCCCCCCCCATGCCTGCGCTTTGCATTTGCACAGGCAGCCTTCATGTACATATATTTTTTTTAATCAATTTTTAAACATGTGGTGAGCAATCCCAATCAATTTTTCCCCCTCTTCTTTTTCATCGTTTTCTCTTCACCACATTTGTGGTAGCCTTTTGGATGTTGAATCCTTATGAGCTACCAGACCTCCTTTTCAATATCGCAATCACGATTGAATACAGAGGCCGCTAGCATTAGGCCTTGGCAATAGTATCGCCGCCCATCTCTCCGCTCAGTTCGCGCGATGTGATTCCACGGCGCAGCAATCCAAAACCATTCTCAGACAGAGAGCCATGGTGTTGATTGTCGCGAAGCAATGCCTGCTCCTCAAGAAGCTCGTGGATGTGGTCATTGAGCCAGAGGCCGTCGAGTAGCTGGGATGGCATGTCTTTGGCGCCAGTGATAACCTTCTTGCAAGTGGGCTTACCGCAAAAGCATTCGAATGGCTGGGCCATGTTCCATTCGGTAGAGGGATAGAAGAACTGTGTGAGCGAAGAATGGGGTATATCAGCTACACGGTTAACTAAGACGGGGCGGGGGTTCCACTGACGGTGAGTTCATCTCCAGGCTGAAGCCCCTTGGGTCCTGCCACGATCTTCATGTTTCGCATGTCAAAATGCTAGCAGCACTTATTTAGCTGTGAAATCCTCCGAAGTTATCCGCCCCACTTACAAGAGAAGGCTCGCACGAGTGGTTGATGTAGAGCAAGTCGCTGTTGAGGTTCAGATGCTGGTCCTTGCCCATCTGAACGGTAGCATAGGTAGGCTCGCTGGCCAAGGCGCAAGGAGGGAACTCGAGTTTGGCGAATAGGCCAAAGGGCGGCACGGTCACTTTGGACAAGCTCTTGGTCATGAAGTCGGCACCGCTGACGACGACGTCTTGGACGCCGGGGTGGGAGGGCTGCTTCCAGGAGGGTTTGAGTGGCGCCATTGCGAGTGCGTATGGAGTTTAGATGGAGGTGAAAGCAGAGAAGAGCGTTTAACGATACTGGCTGGATTCAACCTGATGGGATGACTGTTCTGAGTAAGAGTCGGAAGTGAGGGGATTTACCGCTTGGTGATCCAAGGTATGAACTACTAAGCTATCGAGCACAGTACGTGATGTGGTCAAACTCAATTTGTGTCTCCCGGGCCATCCACGAGCTATTTATAAACCAAGCTTCTCTACCTACCTAGTACACCATTTCCCCAACCCCCAAGCCATCTTCCGGCCCTTTAGCAACAACGTCGGTTTCAAAGCCGCTCATCTGCCGCGGGCCGTACAACGGTCGTTTGGCTGTTCCCTCTTGTCGGATTGCCGAGGGACCATGTCAGCGGGCTCCACGGCGGAAGTCCCGCTTCTACTAACATCTTCACCAGCCCATTGGATGCTATTCTACTTGTACACTTGCTAGGGCAGATAGCTCGTGACAAAGGGCGGCGGGGTAGGATTTTCTTGACGGGTTGCTTTTTGCGATCCATTTGTCCTTTGCTGCCCCGTGTATCGACTAGAGCCTATCAGATGCTAGTCCGTAACCTAAACTGGTAAAGCAAAAGGCGCGTGTTTTTTTTTTTGGAGGTTTGAAGCTCTCCCTCTCTTTTGGGTTTCCTTTAGGATCCTTTGGGCCGACTGGGCGGAAGTGACGGGATTTGTAGCTGCTGGACGTAACGTTTCCGTTTGAGCATCGAATAGAGAATGAATGAATGGACGCTCAAGTGTGAGGCTGAGGTTTGTTAGCAGGCACTAGCGGTGTTCTGGTTGTTTTGGGGGCCCTTGTCAAACTGGTATTTAAGCCCTGTGAGTTCATTACTGGAGTGCAAAAACCCACAATTGGGATTGGCCGTTGAGATGCTAATTAGCGCATGTACGAGTTCTTGACATGTGAAACCTTGTAATGAAAGGAGCGGTAATAGTAGCTTGGTTGGGACTGGGATTCATTCATGTGTTGCGGTCTAGGGTATGGGTGGCTTCACCAGCAATTCACCTTGATTTCCCAATAAAGGACGTCGGTGACTGGCAGCATTGTAGCTGTATAGAATGAGCCACCTACCAATTGAGTCGGGTACGCATATAGCGATTGGTGTTTCTCTCGAAGGCGAAACTCTCGGATGGTGAACCCGGTGAGACTCCTTGTGATGACCATTTGGGTAGATTCTGTTGTTTTCCCAGGGTCGTTGATCAAAGATCAGAAAGAAAGAGTCAGAGGAAACAAAAAACCACACAATTATATTTACTGGAACAAGAGAGTGTTTACTTATAGTTCGTGATGTTGTCCTCTAAGTGTTTCCCCCACATAAGGTTCACATAAGGTCTGCCATGAACACCGCTGAACCAAGTGAGAAAGGGTGGCTTTTTCGGTTTCGACAATAGTTATTGATAAATTTCAGCAGCTATTCTTCGACTTTATTACTGGCCATGATTGGATAGCCCAGATACCACCAGCATGACAGGCAGCCGAATCTGAAGCATTGTCTGAGCCAGCTGCCAGCCACTTCGCTAAATAATGCTCCAACTGGCACACGATTCTTTATGAAAAAAGGACTTCTCCCCTCGATAATCGGTACTCAAGTACATGTATGCACCCGTGAGCAAAATTTTCACTTCTATAAAATATTCTCTGTGCCCACTTCTTCTCCCAACTCTCTCCTCCCTCAACTTCTTCTGCTCTCTATATCTTGCACCGCAAACCCACGACCTTCCTCTTCTATATTTCACTTCCTTAACAACATCATCATGAAGCTCCAAATCACATCCAAAATGTGGTGGAAGCTCACGTTGCAAGGGGTAACCAACTGTCGCTTTTGTCTGTTAACTGGGTGTGATAGGTAGCAGTTGGTTGTCATCGTACGGTTGGCTTTTTTGCATTCAGCTTGATAGACTTGGGGAGTTTCCTGACGGCTTATCACGTCTGGTATCAGAAATTAGACTACCTAGGTATATGGAAGTACAGCATAGTCCTTTTTTGGCCGAGATGGTAATGATGTCGAATAAACCAAGTGTCTGAAAAGATGCTTGGTTTGTTGATCCACCCTCTGGCATTTAAACTTGTCGGGATACGCAGTTTGCAACTATCCAAACAACATAGCTAGGTTTACCATTCGCTTCAATATTGATCATGGCCAACCGGCATCTTCCCTGGAATCCTCGAGCTACCTACCTGTCTGGTCTAGTCCACTGCTAACAAAACATGATGAAATTCTTCCAGGACCACTGAACTCATCCTGTAATGGAGCCAAATGCCATCGTTTCTACGAATGATTGTCCGACAATGAACGATCTTGTAATGAGCTTTATAGTGGTACGTTGTATGGGAACCAAGGCCGTAGAAGCGAGCCGGCCTGCTGTTCTCTGCATTCTTGGTCTGGTGCACGCTCTGGATTCTAGCTATTGAGGACCGCCATCACGACTCGAGCTACCTACAATTGATACCAAGACGTCTGCTGTAATAGTCCTACCATACGAGACTCCCCTTACCCTGACATTTATGGCTGTGGGGAGAGAAGAATAGATGAGGGCATATGGATTCACATCCGCATGAGAAACTTATACTTGGCATTCAGTTGCTAACATACTCATTCAGACGTAGCTTTCTCCAGACGAGCATGATATCCCATCTCACTTTACGAAGCTTCTTAATTTGCTCAACCATGGCCACCCAAGGACAATAGAGTCTTGGCACTTGTACGGCCTGTCTTTCCGGATGAAGAGATGTTGGCATAGCGCTCGTTTACGACCTTTGCATGCTGCAGTCAGTGATGACCCAGTATTCAGACTACCAGTACTTGGAACTACATTTACTTGACGCGTGAAAAGTAGTATAACGAGACGGAATCAGGCTTACACGGACACAGCAAACTCACTTCACATGGCAAAACCAATTTCACCAGCTGATTCTTCACAATCCATTCTCAGTATCCCTCAACAGCCCTACCAGCGCATCTAATTCACGTTGCTATTGTGTTGCCGGGGCTTACGGGTCTGTAAAGCCGGCACACGTCCGGCAACCTTTTGACGGGCCTCCCCGCCAAGTACATCAGCTTTGCTTGTGATATGAAACGAGCTGCCGCGTCCTTGAGCCTCTATCACGCGCAGTGCCACGGCAACGACGAGATCCACGCCTCTTGGTGTTTTATTTTTTTTTCGTTTCCAGCGAGCCAATTGGCCATAGAAGCTGCAGGCCCCCTACTACAAAAGCCTTCTCGAGTGCAACCTCTCACGCCAGGCTTTTCACCTTCGCAACTCACCACTTTCCCACGCTCTACAACTTTTGATCAACAACCAACGCCCTATCTGTATCTTGAAACTGAGATTCTCAGTATTTGGTTGAGGCATCAAGCCTTACTCGATATCCTCATCGTCTTCTTCTTTTTGTTTTCTTCTCTTGTCTTGGTGTTCGACATCATCATCTTCCCTTCTCGCCGGCTCCTGCCTGCAACCGCAGCCTCCTCTCGAGGCACGACTTCAGCCTCATATCGCCGAGAGTCAGGCAAGGATCCGAACTGCTATTCTGGGAGGCGCAGAGTCTTTCCCACTCTTACTCTCCCCAACTACCTCTAAAGCTGAAAAGTTACAGGCGACGACGTCCCCTGTAATTCGCTAGAAAGCTCGTCTAACCCTCTCGCGGTTTCCCAGACGAGCTCCCGCAGCTTCCTACCTTGACTATTCTGCAACTCACAAGTAACTTCCTCTTCACTCTTCCAACCTCAGGCAGGCATCTGCTAACGAGTTCTACAGAAGGTACATGCCCACTACCTACCAGCAGGAGTAGGTAAGCGGCTCGTCGGTGCTCTTTGTGCTGGATTTGCTCCTTCGCAGTCTCTTCACCTTTTGCCCATCTTCAACCACACTCTTTCGACCGCCAGTCAACCTCAACACTGCCCTATCCGCTCCCTCTTGCGTCTGCTGTCTTCAATAGTTCCCCGTTGGAAGCCTGATCAAGGCTTTGTATGCATACAGACCTTTTCCTGCTCGCTTGGCAGCTGTTTGGTAAGCATGATTTCATATCTCCTGGTGGGAAGCCTGGGCTACTCTCTTTCCCCCTTGCTATTCCAAAGCTCAAAGCGACGGTTTGATATTGGACGCAACACCTCTTCCCTCATTGTTTCTCTTCATATCAACCGATTGTTTATCCCCCTTGCGTTCTTTGCTGCACTACTTGGCAGCAACATTACCCAATGAACCGGTCTGCTCTTCCATGCCCAAACATCTTCTCTTGATGAGAGGATGTCTTCACATCACACCCAGTATCTACAAGCTCCATTACGTTTCATTCGTCATCAGTCTTCATAGCGTACTGACAAGAACAGGTTCCAGTTGCAATCGCGCTTGTCTCGACGCTTATCCACACACAGCTGCTTCGTTCAGTGATTTACGCTGTTCTTCGACTGTTTCACTTCACCCCTTCCTTTAGGAAGAAACAAGTAATGGCAGTCATTGCTGCTGTCGACGAGTCCGCAATGGCCGGGAAAGTCTACACGCCCGGCGAACTCCTCCGACTCAAGAATACCCCTGTAAATAGAGAGCTCTACAATCAGCTCCAAGAAAAGCTTCGCCAAGATCAAGAGCTAGGTAAGGATGAGCCTCTGCCCAGTCTGCTACGCTACTTAATTGCTGACCAATCGCTCCAGGTGAAGTCCTTCGTATGCCTCTTGAGAGCTCACTTGCTCGCATCATGGAGGAACCTGCCGATAAGCCTGCAGGCTCGGAGAGCGCTTCTCCCCGCCGTGGCGAATCTGCTAGACAGTTGGACGGTACTGAATCTGAATGGAGATATCGTGGCCGCAGCGACTCGGAAACTATTGGGGGTCAGCCAATCTCCGCCCCGACTGGCCTGAGTGCCCAGAAGGATGAAGGCTTCCAACGATTCTACCGAGCAGTCGTGTCACCAACTCATGTTCGAGTTACTGCTGGGGGCCGCATCGTGCCCAACACACGTGGCTCTCCATCACCCACCACTAGGTGGCCCAAAGACAAATCTGCGGTGGAAGCAGCTGACAGCAACTCCAGCCGCCCGCCATACCGAGATATTCTCCAGCAAAGCCAGTTTATTCTGCCTCAGCACCCCATGGGATTCTTTCCCCACCACGCCATGATCCCAGGCTTTGCGCCTGGAATGGTGCCCGCAATGCCTGGGATGGCTGGGATGCCAGTAGTACCTGGGATGGCTGCACTTTCTGCGATGCCTCCAATGCCACCAATGCCATCAATGCCTGCGATGCATGCGATCCAAGCAATGTCGTCGGCGTCAGCGGCGTCAGGGATGCCAGCGGGACCAAGCCCATATCCTATTGTGCCGTGGCCATTGGGATTCAATATCGCAGGGCCAGGAGGAGCGGCTCAGCCCACTCCCATGGCCCATGCCTCAGGCCTTGTGTCAATGCCACCAAACCCAGCCACCAATGATAGGCAGGATGAGACGGGAGCTTCAGAGAATGCGACCCCGACTCGGCCTCCACCCCCTGAGAATGGTGATGTTGCCCGACCTTACGTGCACAATGGACAATGGGTGTTCCCCTCTGCCCACTTTGCTATGGGACCTCATCCCGCATTCATGGCTCCCTCAATGATGCCCATGGTGGCTGGCCACAGGCTCATTCCCAACCATGTCATGGCTCCTATGGCCCAGAGCAACGGGCAGGTGCCGCAGATATCACCACAAGCAGTGGCCATGCCACCTACTCTTCAATACCCCTCGGTACCAACCCCTACCCCCTCTACTGGACAGCATCAGTCCTCCATCCGAGCCAGCCAGATAACCAGGAAACAGCTTTCAGTTCTTCGTGCTTCCCTCAAGTGGGCAGAAGACCAGCTCCAGTACAACAAGCACCAGATTGATGAACGAACCATGGAACTTCATGCAGAGTCGTTGCGTTATTCTATTGGACACTTCGAGAAGATTCAGGATGAGCAGGCAGCAAGTGAGAAACGGAGCCACCCAAAAGACCAAGCAAAGGACGACATGAGTGACTTTGCCTCTGCAGACGAGGAACGATCAAAGTCGCCAGTGACTAGCAGCGTCAAACCTGAAAACAGCGGCGCTGAAAGCTTTACTAGCCTGCCAGAGGAGTCCTCCATGGAACGGGTTGACAAGGCGATGCCGACTACTCAGCGCAAGTCTTTCACTTCCAGCCACGAAGAAGCAACAGTTCAGGTTGCCCCGACTGCCCAAATTTCAGGGCTTTCTGATGAGGTCGGCGCCAACAAGAGATCCTCAACCTTGCCTGTCACGGCGGCGCTGGCTCCTCCATTCCAGCCTCGTACTGTGGGCGGCCAGGATACCAAGGACGTGTTGCCTAGCTCTGGCCATTCCAGGCCCATATCTGAAGAGTATGACTCTACCAAGCCTTATCTCGTTGGACAGCTCCCACTCGGTATGAGAGTTGAGCATGCCAGGGATACTGATTACATTTACCCCCGACAGCTTACTGAAGATGAACTCCGAGCTCGTCACATGTATTGGGGCAAAGCTCCTCACCACCTTCAGAGCGGGCTTCCCAAGTTTGATGGCAAGAATTTCTATCCACCTTCGCCAGACAGAAGCCAGTGTGGAGAGCATGAGTCGGAAGTCACTCGTGGACAAGGATCTCTTCATGTCAAGGCATCCCAAGTTGAAAATGGAGATGGGAATGCTAGCACTGACCCTTTTCACTCTTCTCGACATGATCCACGTCAATACGAGCGTGGTGGAGTGGGAATCACTACCGAGCCGAGCTCATCTCAGCACTCTGGAATGTCCACCAACGGCGGCGATCGTTCTCGCCAAGAGACTGGAAAAAAGGCCCCTAGAGGAAGTCGTCATCAAATGGCTATGACCGGCAATCCCAATGCTCGCTCAGAGAGCGACAGTCCCGATGAGAATGACGAGAAGAGTATCGTGTTCAAAGGGCGTAACTCCTTGCGCCAAACTCGGTAAGCTATTCCTAGTCGTCTATAATTTCTCATGCTAACACAAACCCTTTATAGGCCAAGGCCTCGCAGCGGCATATGGCACGATATGATGAAACGCGGTACATCGAGCAGCAACGCAGTTCCAGGAACAGTTTCCTCTACAACAGTTCAGGGTGTTCTACCTCACTACAGTGGCCATGCGACTGCGTCTCTCACTCCCACAGCGACCAATATCAGCTCATCTTCTCGCGAGCACACAATCAAGTCGGGAAATGCCAATGAGAGTGGACCGGCAGACCTTACGGCCGAAAGACAGATCGAAAACAGGCCCCTAGGAGATGGTAAGCACAATGCTTATTCAGGTGTCCAGGGGTCGAAGAAGCGATCCTCAATGCTTTGAACCGAGGACCATCCGGGCTCTATTTTGCAACAAGAGCAGCCCAATCCAAGGTTCAATCGAATCATCTCTTATTGCAAGCACATTTATGGATTGTATGAGTACCTATTACGACTGTTACTTGATTTCGTCATTATTTTTCTTTCAACTCTGTTATCGCTTTGTTTGCGACGAACCATCTGAGAATAGCATCATGTCAACCTCACCATTTCTCCGTGGTGTCGAAGGGCGGCCAATCAGTGCTTTCTAACAGACTCGGGGCGCGTCACTTATTGTTAGAGTTTGGCTGTATCATGTACCATCTGCAGAAATTTCGGAAAAACTAGAAACAACCAAAAAAAAAGGGGGAGAGGGAGGTGTGTATGAGAAGGTGTTGATCATTGTGGGAATATTTTGTACAGAAAAAGAAACAATTGCTTCAGTTATGAACGGCGTCTCCTTTGGAGCCTGCTTCCTGCTGCCCAGCAGAAGGTTTGGACTTTAGAGGACAATCAACTCGCTAACCAATCAATATATTGCTTTGCTTTTTTGCTAAACTCTTCTGCTCCGCTGGTTCAATTGATGATGGTGAAAAGATGTACTCGTAGCCTCTTGACACAAGCATCCTGGGTGCTGGTGAATATGACTTGAACCCGCCGACGCAACGGCGAAGTCAACCACATCGTTCTGGCCGTCTACGTAAATACAGAGCTTGATTGGAAGCCAAGGGCCTTCGAGCAGGCGTCATGTCCCTCACCATCAAATTTCCAGCTTCGTTACAGAAAAGGCAAGATGAAAATCTTCGGGCGAGCGCAGAGTTTCGTGGTAATGAATCTCAGTCGGGGTTTGCTCTTCGCCAGTCGTATACCTCGAAAACCATGAATTTTGTTGGTTGACGCGGAGATTATCTAGCGGATTTCACAGACTACGAAGAATAGAGACGCAACCTACCTGTCTATGCCTTTTCTTTGTTCAAGAATCAAGAGTTGAGGCAGTCTACGAAGGCTGTGCGCAATGGCAGCCCCTCGACAAATGAATCGAGTATGACAAGGCTCACTGAGACGGCAAAGGGGAACAAGAGCTAGAAAAGCTTCGGGAAACACCTCCCATGGAGCATTTCACACAACAAGTTGGTGAAACGGCCATTGAGAATTGTAAAATTCTCGATTCATCTACCCTGCTGAGAAAGCCGGACCTGCAGGGGTCTCGGGTATCGCTAAAACGCCGGAGTATATATGCCCATTCCTTGCCCATCATTGTGCCATGGATGCATCACATGGAAAAACTGTTTAGTTGAAAAAAAAAAGAATTCATCTCCTCGTCTCACCCAAATTTTTTTAGATTTGCTTTAGATTTAAGCAGAGATCTTGTTGGGGACACGGAGCTCACGGCCGACCTTGGAGCGGGACAGGATGCTCTCACGGTCCTTGTCAAGCTTGAGCTTGGTGATGACGACGTTGGAGGGGTGGATGCCCAGGGGAACGCTCTGGCCGCTGGCCTTGTCGCGGGTGACACGCTCGACGTGGATCACGTACTTGAGACGGTAGACGGAGGTGACCTTGCCCTCGCGGCCCTTGTTGGAGCCACGGACAATGGTGACCTCGTCGTCCTTGCGGATGGGGATGCTGCGGACCTGTTTGCGAGAAGGAAAAAAATGTTAATTTTCCACGATGAAGACCGAAGAAGAGGGATTGTTTGTGGATATTACGAACGTTGTACTTCTCGCGCAGCTCCTTGCTAAGGGGAGCGCTCATGATGACACGGCGCTGGCCGGAGCCGGCCTTGAAGTGAGCGGCACGGCTCTTGCTCCTGGAGGAGGAAATGTCTAATCCCAGCATGTTAACACACAAGACATATTCAATTGACGGCACAGATAAGTAGAGAGAAAGGAAAGCTTACTCTTGTTAACCTTGACCATCTTGACGGTTGAGTTTTGGACGACGAGGAGATCCTGTTTTTGTCGGTTGAGCGTTGGGTGATGAGGAGAGGAAGAAAAGAGAGTGAAAAGTCGTCCAGCTAGGAAATTGTCGTCGTCTGGCGGCCGCTGTGGGCGAAATTTTTTGGCGAGCGGTGGGTTGGCACGTGACTGTTGCTGCCCTAGTTCTTGCTGCCGTTTCTGGAAAGAGGGCTGCGAGCTTAATGTGATTAGTCATTGAGCGCAACTTAGCTGGCTCCCCCATCGAGGCAAAGCTTGCTTGTTGAGATTAGGTAATCAGCGCGCTGGGTTTTCAATGATGGAATCTGATCGTTGAGCAAAAAGTGAAGACGAAAGAGGGATCAAGGAAGGCGAAAGAAATTTGGTACTGATTTGGAGAGATGGATTCTTGCTTTGCTCTCCAATCTCATCTTTGGTGAGCGGAATGCGTATCTTCAGTGTGCAAATTATTTATACAAAATTTCCCTTCCACGAGAATGAAAGAGCTCCATTGGTTGTAATGTACAGAGGCCATCCGAGAACTCCTGGTCGTCTATCTATAATATATCGTACAGAGACCGCAGCACCATTTTTAAGGAGCACCATAGAGGTCATAGGAATCTTCAATGCCCATTATTTGGAGGCAGGAGGCATGAATCTGCCGTTGTTGTCATATCTCGCTTCTGCTTTCGGTCAGTAGTCTGTCAAGGAAAAAGATGGTCAACGGCCGTTAAATCAATGGAATCTCACTGAAGAATGTATAATTGAGTGTTACAGTCTCAACGCCCTTCATGTTGATATCGTTCAACAGATCAGGGTCCAAGTAAAAGAACACAGGCATGTCCACTGTCTCGCCAGCATTTAATCTCTGCTCCTCAAAACAGAAGCACTGAATCTTGCTAAAGTATGGCGCACACTGGGCAGGCGTCACGCTATAGGTCGCCACGCCAATGATGTCTTGGTCGCCCAGGTTGGTCGCCTTATAGAACGCCAGGGCGGTCTCTCCGGGAAGCACTCGGACCTCTCGCTGCTGGGGGACAAACTTCCAGGGCAGGATATCGGACACGGCCGCGTTGAACGTGACTTTGATTCGGTTCGCAGAGGTGACGGGAACGAGACGACTGGAGATGTCCTGGTTCTCTTCGCCGGACACGCCGTGGGCTCGGACGGGCTGGCCACCCCAACCGGTGGTTTGGCAAATCTGTAGCTTATTTAGTCCATTGACCAACGCCATCCAGAGAAGATGTTGCGAACCATTTTATAGAAAGGCACCGAGCCATATGCCAGAGCAAGTGTGCCCATGATCACGCTGAGGGTATAGAAGCTGCAGAAAGACATGAGCCCAGTGTTGCACGAATTGCCGCCGAGAAGTCCTCTCCATACGCTATTGTCTTGTTCCTCTGGCCATACTGCTCCCGCACCTTGTCCATAGACGGCGCATACGTGACATTCTGCCGCGGCTGGTGCTGCATCTGCTGTTCTCGCCGCGGCCGTGAGTTTGAGAATTTGCGCCGAAAGTCTGCAAAGCCGGGCCGGCTGCTCTGTGGCCGCGCATGCTGGCAGAAAAAGCAAGCCCACTGCGACGAAGAGCTCGCCGTCCGCGAAGGGCCGTTGCGCACCAGGCGCAGTGCGTTGCTCATCTTTGTCTTGCTGGTTGCGAGATTTGGATTGCGGAAGTCTGGAGGAAGCAAAGCTCAAGGCTCGGTTTGGAGCTAGCGCCAGCATCTGTATATCCGATGCTCAGTGGCATGACATCGCGAATTTGGTGGGGCAGCGGTTCGGGGCGAATTGACTTTGGCTTGTGCCGATGCAATGCTGTAGCTACATGTACCCCGACTGCCTCCATTTACATCACTTGATATACGGCGAGATACATTCCCAATTATAAGAAAAAAGAAGAAGGAAATCATATCCGGTAGAGTTTAATCTCATAAAAGTAATCTTTAATTTCTCTGTCATATACTGGCCTTGGCCGGGTACTTAAAGTCTAATGTCTGTTCAAATGTGCTATCAGTCTTGTATTGCAGCATGCCCTCCCCGTCATGTCGTCATGAATTTTCAAGTCGCTCCATACGCTGTGGTAATATTCCCATAATAATAAGAAAAGAATAGAAAAGAATAAAACAAGAAGCATTTTTGAATTACAGCTGGGATGTTTATGCCAATTTTTTGCGAGGTTGTTTCTTCTGGAAGCCATTGAGAAGCGGCTTCACCACCCTCTGCCTTCCAGATTGTGCCAGTCTCTCCAGGACCTGTATGACAAACACCTGGATTGCCAGAATGATGAGCCGGAATAGATGATCCAACAAACCCAGCCTTGGGACTCTTCCTCTGCTATAGGTCGAGTCTCGGAACTCAAAGGGGAGCTTAGCCCCTAGATGGTCCTGAGCCACTTGCAGCCCACTGGTGAATCCGTCTTCGTGGAATCCATATCCGGTCCATGCCCCAACATAGCTGATTCCTCTCCTGTTCTGTATGTAGCGCAGCATCCTTTGAGCGCGCACAGATGAGGGAGTGTGCAGGGGATGAGTATAGTAATACTTCCCCTGGATTTTGGATGGGCTGGGGCGATGGATTGGATTCAGGGTGACCAAAACATCGCCAAATGGGTTTCTGGGGATGCGTTGCATGATGTTCATGTTGTAAGTTATGGAGACTTTGTCCATGTTGGCTTTCTGTGTTGAGGGAGAAGACAATGTCAAAAAGTTCCAGCTTGACCACGCTCTTTTATTCTGTGGCATCAGAGACAGATCTGAATGTAGCACCGCTTCGTTCTGTGACGTCTGAAAGCAGGACAAAATCGAACGCTCCTGCTCCGTGGCGGAGGGGCCGAGAATGGAGAGCGCCTGGTCGCCGTGAGTGGCAAGGATAACGTGATCAAACACCTCCGTCTTGCCATTTTCGAGGTGCAATAGCACTCGTCCTTGATGGTCGTTGGACACATTTCTGACTGGAGTATTGAGGGACATGTGGTTGGGGGGAAAGCCCTTCATGACAGTATCAATGTATGAGCGAGCACCATTCTTGAGCGTCAACCACTGTGGGCGTAGGGCGAGGGTGGATAACAGGTGATGATTCCATCTAATGCGATTGTCAGTGTGAGAGCCGAAGAGGCGCGACAGCAGTCTCGACTCACAGGAAGCGAACCAGCATGGTTGCAGGAAACTCCAATGCGCATTTATCAGGGCTTGTGCTCCAGATGGCAGCTGTCAGAGGAATCAAATAATCGTCCCGGAAGCCATCCGAGTAGCCCTCACGCTGCAGGTACTCTCCAATGGTCAGCGTCTTGGAAACGTGATTTATCATGTTCTCTCCTCCATAGCGAGGCTCATATTCCTCATCATCTATGAGCAAGTCCAGCGCGAACTGGCTGAAGCGAACAATGTCAAACAGCGTCCTCCACATCCTCGGAGAGAAGACATTTCTTTTTTGGCAGAATATCGTGCTCAGATTCGTGCTCGCCCATTCAAACAGACCCTGGTCTCGCGAGACGCTGAAGGTGACCTCAGTAGGCTCAGTCGGGACTCCGATTCTGCTGAGGAAATTCAAGAAATTGGCTAGTCAGGGGGAGGTCAGCACTCGGAAGATGGCAATGGAACAGTCCCAAGTCAACTCACGGTATGTCGCCGAATTCATCGCAATAAACCCGGCGTCGACGGCCGTCGTGTACTTGCCGGCCTTCCATTGCACCGTGTTGGTGTGGCCGCCCAAGCGGTCTGCGGCTTCGTAAAGATAGACATCGTGATACGTTCTATTCAGGGCCCAAAGCGCAGCAATGCCCGAGCAGCCACTGCCGACAATGGCCACTTTCTTCCTGGCAAACCTGTCAACAGAGTGGCTCATAGGCGCGATGGTATCTTGCTTGGGGGGCGGCGGAGGGTGAAGGGCTTGAGAAGGGAGTTGGGAGTTGGGGACGGCTTCAGCTGCCCAAAAAATACACGGGAGACGACTTGCACATGTCAGAGACTCGACATCCAGCAGCGGCCGGGACAAGGGGGGCAAAGCTGCCGGCGCCACCCATGGAACTGTGCATAAGTGTCGCGGCCCTGATTCGAGGACGGGCAAGAGATAACATGCAGGAGAATCAAACAACTCACACATGCCGCGGTTCTGCTCGCAGGGGCATAGTCACTTGTACATGCAGCGATCTCCAGCAGGTACCTGCGCCTTATGTATATGTACGAGTACTAAGGTATACGTGCTGTGCGTCTGTGCTGATGTGCGCAAGGCAAGGCAAAGCAAGGGATCGGATCACCACAGGAACAGCTCGGGGATTTAGCAGGAAGAGCCCTTTGAATGGGTTTATGTAGGTACTCCTAAATGGGCTGCCAGGGTCTTGGAATTGTCAGGGTGTGTTTTCAAGGATGAAAGCGGCTGAGCTGACGCCACTTGTGGCTGATATACAGACCCGATACCAAAGTGCCGGTTTCGATCAACGTCCATTCCATTGCTTTCATCAAATGTTGGGATGCTAGCCTAGGTACACTCTGTACTGTACAGAACAAAGGTTCTCTCGCCTCATTTCTCGAAATGCCACGTACGAGTGCCGTGCCTGTACGTTTCTAATTGATGCATTAGTTCCTGCATCGAGCGACGTAAGCCAGCGGATTCGGCACGTCCGCACATCCTGCCAAGGCAAATAAAGACGTGGCTGGCAGGCAGACGGCAGCTGAAAATAAGCTATTACTTTACGGAGCTGTCTTAGCATCGCTGGCGGTTAACAGCGAGGCGATGTTACGAGAGTCAGGTACTCTGTACTTTTGGCCAGGATTTGTTGCGATAACGCATCCCGTCCAGCACCAAACTCGGCCTAGAACTGTGGCCTGATGCAATTCATGCCTCGACGTGGAGATACATCAGTGGAGCATGCATTTTTTCCCCTTCCATTTCGCCTCCATTATCACATGCTTTGCAGCCGGTGCAAATCATAAGACGAATGCATGTCGTTTTACCGGCATGGATCCGTCACCGCTTGACCGCCTTACTGGCCGAGTTCTTTTCGAGCAGTTGGTACGAGCAATGCCTGGCAGCAGTACTTCGTATCTCATCTCATGCTAGTAGAGACGGATAGGACAGCCAGGGCTGGCCCTTAAGCTGGCATGTCGAGCACTCAACGGGATCGGGAAACGTGGGAATCGAATCTCCAATTCTTGAAAGCGCCGTGTAGGAAAACCTTCATCAATATGCCCGGCATCTCAACTGTGCGCCATTGACAAAGTCTAGACGCTTAGCCTTAAATTCTTCGTAGCCGGGGGAATCAACTTATTGAGAAAGGAGAAAAAAAATTCAAATGCTGCACGCAGTTGTGAGATAATATTGGCCAAAAAGCACGGACCACCGGGAGCTTAGTCACTTGCCATATTTTAGCCGTGGCCTCATGCTGCACGTGCTCTACAGTACAATGCCCAGGCTGCATAAAGCGCAGATAGGTACTTGGCCATGGGTTGAAACAAGGTATCCTGTCCCGCGCAGAATGCGGTCAGAGTACCTAACTGCCCGCAGCAAACCCGTACCCCTTCGGATTGCCCAACCAGCCTGTCTTAGCCTTGAATGCGTACGTACGATGACGGCGCTTCTATTCTGAGGCGACCATTTTCAACATCACCAGAGGAACCCAGCTGAGCGCACATCTCAGGCATAGACGCCGTCATCAGTCTCCCGTTTCTCAACACTTCCAGCGAGTCGAGCTCTTCGCAACAGCTTATTGCACCGTCTACCCTTTTTCTCTCCGCTTACTCCTGAACCCAACAAGCAAGATGGCGAACCCTCTCGATACGGATGCTGGCTCCGAACTTTTCAGCTCGTATGAGGCGGAGCTCAAGCTCGTACATGCTGATCTGGCGCAAAAGCTGGACCAGATCCCCGAACTGAGTGGTGAACCGCGCAAGGCTGCCGTCAGCCAGGCTGAACGCGCCTTGGAAGAGGCAGATGAACTGGTACTGTAACCCGTTGCAAGTACGCAGAGCCAGGTCTAACATTTAATCGTCACCATAGCTTGGCCAAATGCGCCTTGAAAAGCAAAACATCCCTACGTCTGCACGAGCCAAAGTCAACCAGCGCTTCCGCAACTACGAAGCCGACGTCGATGCAAACCGCCGAAAGCTTACGAGCCTCTCCACCAACCGAGCGGCCCTGTTCGGTTCACGCTACACCGACGAACCGTCCGGATCAACGGATATCAATCTGGAACAGCGACAGCAGTTGCTGTCGGGAACTGAACGACTCGACCGAAGCACACAACGACTTCTCAGCAGCCAGCGGCTCGCCAACGAGACAGAAGCTATCGGAGCTGAAACGTTGGCCGATTTGCACAGGCAGGGCGAGACTATTCGCCACACGCACGACACTCTTTTGGACAGCGAGAATTATGTCGATCGCAGCGTCAAGACCTTGAGGGGGATGGCTCGGAGGTAATGTGATCCAACACCGGCAGTGTCGAAGCACAGAATATTGATGATGAACAGCATGGCTACGAACCGAGTGATTACAATTTCCATCATCACTATCCTGGTGCTTTTGATCATTGCTGTGATTTTCAGCAAGTTTCGATGAACGCCAGAGTTTTGCTTGGAGTTATGTCGGCGATTCGGAGTTAATTCAGCTGGGCTTATTGCGTGCTTCTTTTCATCTTCTTTCTTTCGCAACATACAGACTTGCACATATAAATGAGCCTTGGAACAGACAGCAGGGCCTATAATAGCAGTAACTCGGGTAGAGAAGGCAGTAGTGTTGAGGCCCCTTTGAAAGCATGCACTAGTAGAGTGCATTGTTTACAGCCATTGTGTTTACCTTTCCTTTATCTCATATAGGCAAAATAGAAGTGTATTGAGAAGCCAAAGCGTTTCCTTTATCAACAACGAAACTCGGGTGACAGCAAGCAGAAGCCTCGGGAATGTAAATGTACCTCCCACTACAGCAGCAGTGCGGAGTACATAGGCACAGAGTTAGAGGTGGTTGGGCAACGGCCATGTGGGGTAATTCAGCGTCTCGACTCTATGGCCGAGTTTATTCCGATAAAACCCCGGGGTTGACGCAGACGCTTACGCGAGGGTTCCTCACGGGAGCTCAGACTTTGTCCAACCGTTTTTATTAGCCTCACAAAACTTTCTTCCTCGCACAAACCACACCAACCTCTCCGCATCCTCCACCCTCTCTACCCCCCAACACTCTCTTCCCTTTCTTCTTCTATTCTTCAATTTTCTCTTCTTTATTTCTAGTGCATAGACGCACTTAGCCTCCCTTCTTCGAACTCTTCTAGTTACAGCTCGCTACGTGGTCGACGTGGCCTCACGGCCCACCATGTCTGAATTCCTTGGGTATGCGCGAATGGCCTCAACTCACGTGCTGTGTCCCTCGAGCTAACAAGCGAGACTCCAGATCCCGTATTTCTCTCATCTCCAAGAGCGATATTCGGTGAGAACTTTTGCTCCTCATTCACCAAGACGGTCACTGACCTCTAGTGAAGCTACGTGGGGACTTTGCACGAGATCAATTCGGACGAGTCGACAGTGTCTCTCGAGAATGTCCGCTCATTCGGCACAGAGGGTCGCAGGGGCAGGCCTGAAGAGGAGATAGCGCCATCAGACCAAGTCTACGAGTACATCGTTTTCCGCGGAAGCGATGTCAAGGATTTGCGAATTGAGGAGCACCCCGCTATCAAGGAAAATAAGCCTCCTGTCATGCCTGACGACCCTGCCATTGTCGGTGTAAGTGATGTCTCCTTCTATTTCTGCCAACGTCTTTATGCCCTTTTATGATGAATTATTGCGGATGTAAACTTTTTGTCACGTCGGAAAGCGCAAAACCATGTCGAGATTTCCGTTGCCTTCCTTCTGATTGTAAAGGACCATGTTCACTGTTTTCCTGAAAATCGTACTTTGCGAGCTTGTTCTAACAAACCGATGCAAAGGCCCGAGCTCGTCCTGGAGCGCAAGGACCAAATCAAAACGCTCCTGCTGGAGCTCCCCCCGGGGCCCCCGGCTTTCCACAACACCAATTTCCTCCCAACCAGTTCTACGGTGGCCCTCCGCCTCCGGGCTCTTGGGGACGAGGCGGACCCGGCCCTATGGCTGGACCGGGTTTTGGCAACGCGCCATTCCCTCCGGGACCTCCACCCCCAGGCTGGTACCCTCCTCCAGGCCAAGGCTTCCCGCCTGGACCAGGTGGTCCAGGTCCATGGGGCAACGCACCGTTTCCTCCGGGACCCGGTGGTCCCCCGGGCTCTGAAGCTCCTCAAGGTCAGCGGGCTGCACCTGAGCTCCCCTCCACCCAAGAGTCAAAGCCTCCTGTTGGACCCGGTGCAGACAAGTCGAAGGGGGCTCCCCAATCAGACCCCAAATCTCACGCTCAAGCAGCTAGACAGCCTGCCAACGCGCCAGCTCCTCCAGTTGAATCCAAACCGTCGGTAGAAGAGGTCAAGGCAGTTGCTACGACGCTGGCATCGAATGGGGCTCCAAAGGCAACCGATGCGTCCAAGGCCATCCCTACTGGTCCCAAAGCGAACCGTGTCCAGCCAGTTTTGCCTCTCACCGGACCTGCATCTAAGCCTTTCCAGCCTCCCTTTGCAGCGGAGAAAGCTTCCCAGGGCGTTCCTCAGCCTGCAGCTGCCGGGCCAAGCAGTGTACAAGATGCTACAAGTGCCGCTAGAGCAGCCGTGGCGCTGGCGATGGCACAACTGAGCAACACTGGCGGGAATGCTATGGATAATTTGACCACCAAGGTCCAAGAGATGCGAGTCAACGCCATCAGAGGCGGCAGTGTAAATCGTGGCCGTGGACGAGGTGGCCGCCCAGCCAAGGTAGAGGTTCCCGATGCAGACTTCGATTTTGCTCAGTCAAACGCCAAGTTTAACAAGGAAGACGTTGGTAAGGAAGCCGTTGGGGGCTCTCCGGCGAACGAGGCTCCTGTAGCGCCTGCAACGGAAGGCTCAGAGACCCAAGATGGCACCACTCCTGTGGCATACAATAAGTCAAGGTCGTTTTTCGACAACATTTCCAGCGAAGCGAGGGAGAGAGCCGAAAACAATGGCCAAAAGCCTGGCGGACGCGAGTGGCGCGGCGAGGAGCAGCGCAGAAACATTGAGACGTTTGGCCAAGGAAGCGTCGACGGTGGATACCGAAACTACCGTGGCCGCGGTCGCGGGCGCGGAACCCGAGGAGGCGGTCGCGGCTATAGCCGTGGTGGACGAGGAGGTCCCCGTCCCCAGTATCAGTCAACTGCCGCTGGCCAGTAAGATGTATTCGGTATGGCCATTGTCATTCCGAATAGATTCAAAGGCTACAACAATTCACCATACAAGTCCCTAGAATGAGACTACTATAACGACGTCAACTCCGCAAATGAGCTCATGGTGCGACTTTGAGCTCATTCTCTCAATATTCCTCCTAATTCATTTGCACCAATGTACCAAAATTCTTCACTGTTTGCCTCTTCCCAGCTACTCTATAGTAGCCGCGAAGACTTATATTATTCATGTTTGATTTGCTTTCAGCTCAGGATAGGAGCTACGATTTGCACTGGTCACGGAACTCGACGACGATGCCGGAGTTCGGTTTGCGTTTCAAGGGGGGCACAGGCATTGCATTCCATGAATCATGAGGGAACATGACGAATGAACAAAAAAAATCTTTTCCACTAGGAGTAGGGGGGCGCTTAGGAATAAGCTGGATTCTTTCACTGAACGATGAGGCTGGGGATAAGCATGCGAATATATAATGAACCTGTACTGCCTTCTACAAGAAGCACGGGGGTCTGGTCAAGAATAACCAGACAAGATGAAGTTTGATGAATTAGCACCTCGTAGTGGGCAAGTGACTTTCCGGCCCGCTGCCTAGAAAAAGAAAGAGGATTAATTCCCCATGCTCCAGGGTCGAGACAATTATTCAGTAGATCCAGTGATGCGCAGGAGAACGCGATGGATGGTCGCGTATGACTTGATAAGTAAGGTATATTTGTTGAGCCAGATGCGATCCATTTGAAAACAACAAGGTTCCCGTCGGGCAAACCCACAATGAGATGAGTGGCAAACTCCACGATGGGCGTGAGAAGTGTGTAGAAGCTCCAGCGTCATGGCGAAAATTGGAGTTTGTGAAAATAGAAGGTAAAAGCAAGTGGGTTCTGCCGCTCAGCCCCGCTAGGTTCAAGGCGGCGTGACGCATATCAAGGCGAACCCTCCAGTTGCCTGCGCAACTAACCTGAACCATTTCAATATCTTTTGACGTTTGGTCGAACGTTACGGAAGCCATCACAGCAGTTGGAAAAGTATAAGTTTCAGGAGCCTTGCCGGATTTTGTATTACAAATAAATACCTCTCATTTCACTTTTCTTTATTGAACAAAATTTTTTCTTCTTCTCTTTATTTTGGATTTACGTTGGCCATTCTCCCCAGAGCACGATTCAGAAATGTCGACGAGACAGCTTCGGAAGCTCCAGAAGCAGAGGGAACTGGAAGCAAAGACTGTCCAAGAACCCGAAGGCAGCGATGACGATGAAGACGATGAGGTTGCTCCCGTAGTGGCAAAACCTCGGGCGAATTTGTTTGCTGCACTTGGGGGAGAGGATGAGGATGAGGATGAAGGCGATGACAATGCTCACGAGAACCCTGAGCAAGCATCAGCACTGGATCCCCCCGTGGAAGAACCTGTCGCTGCAGCTACTGCCCGGAAAAATAAGAAGAAGAAGAAGAAGGGCAAGACCAAGAAAGCTGCTCCGGCCCAGGAAGCCGAGCAAAGCGAGGATGATGAAATCGACAGAGCCATCAAGGAATTGAAGATTGAGCAGAAGCCCCAGGCAGGATCCGTCACCAGCAATGCTCCCACATCCCAAGGGCTTTTCAAGATTAACCTCTACAATCTCAAGGCCATCAATGAGATGCGAAACCTGTTCGGTAGAGACACGATTGAGTCGGCAAACGCAGAAGAAGAGGAGCAGCGTCGTGGGGCACGCCATGGCATCATGCCGGAACAGGTGGACTTGGAGACGTTCCTGAGAGGACCACCTAATGCTCGAAAGCTCCCTGAAGTGTCTAGAAGACGCAACATCTTCATCCAGGGGAGAGAGCATTGGCCAATGAGTACCACGGGGGGGTTGTCCTTGAAAGAGCTCGGCAAGACGGCCGATGGAGTCGAGTATACTTATGCCCATGCCCCGGAATATGATGAAATCCAGGCCTTGTTTTTTGCACAGGTGCAGATGGGGGATCCCATGAGAATGGTGCATCTTCTCGCCCAATTCCGTAAGAAGGCGCAATAAACCCCATTGTTTGGAAAAAACCATGCTCACATATATGGACAGCCTACCACGTCTCAACGCTACTGCAAGTGAGCAGTGTGGCAAAGCAAGATCAGAACATGGCACTGGCCGCGGAGCTGTGTGAGCGCGCCTTGTTTAGCTTCGGACGAGTAGCCCCCTCGTCGTTCAAACAGGGTCTTGAACAAGGAATGGCTCGCATGGACTTTAGGAGACCAGAGAACCGTCAGTTTTGGCTAGCAGGGTATCACTACATCAAGAGCCTCATAAGGAAAGGCACCTATAGGACGGCGCTGGAGTGGGCGAAGCTCTTCTACTCTCTAGACCGCAGCGATCCTTATGCGATGAGGCACTTGATTCATTTCTTAGCCATCAGAGCGCACGAATCGAAGTGGCTACTCGATTTCTTAAACCATCTGGACACAGAAGGCGGCCGAGACGACACGGTGTATATCCTGCAGAGCCGAGTATTGGCGTTGCTACAAATAGGCGACGAACAGCAGGCAAAGCAGCATCTTATCGAGGGGATGCAGCGAGTACCATGGTTATACTGCGCGCTGTTCCAAGGCCTGAACGTCGACACCCCGCCGTCTGTCTGGGGCATCCATTGCGAGACGGAGGCCACCGAGTTCTGGGTGAAACTGTACCTGTACCAAACCAAAGATTTGTGGAACAATCCGCAGGCAACACGGCTTTTACTAGATGTGGCCAAGAGTATTGAACGGGTGGACGCAAAGTCCCTACCAAAGGACGAGCATCCGATTGATCTGGGCGTGGCCCGAATGGCCTACATCGACGGGCAGACATCTCTCCTGGCGCTGGTGCCGCGGAGCATGCTAGAACAACAACCCAACTACGAATTCGATCCCCTGCCGCCGGCAGAGAAAGATAACATCTTCACGGGAGAAGGATGCAGGCTCCCTTGGCGTGAGCAGCGGCAGAACCCAGCGCGCCTCGGCGGCATCATTGCCCAGATGGAAGAGCTTCTCGCGCGGAGGGGCCCTCCACCTCAGGAAGACGAGGACGCTCTCATGGAGCAGCTTCGCGACGGAGCGTTTTTCGGTGCCGACGGCGAGGCTGAAGACGGCGATGGCGTAGCTGAAGTGCCGGTGAGCGGCGAAGATCGGGGGATGGTGGCCGCGCTCATCCAGATGCTCGGGTTCGGGGGTGCCAGGGAGGCCGGCGCGGACGCGAGGGAAGGCGAGGCATCTAGAGACAACGACGACGACGACGTGCAACCTGCGGAAGACGACGGCTCGGGGACTACAGACCTTCCGGGGTCATGGCCAGCCGAAGAAGGTCGGCGGGAATAATGAGGGGGCGCGAATGAGGCCCTTGATGGATATTCGGTGTAATTCACGGGCGCTATGTATGTGCACATGTATCGCTATGCGGCCCGCGATTACTGCCCTTCTACTAGGTACCTATCTCGTTTTGTATGGAAGAATAGGCCCAGATTGACAGGGATTGAGAATGGCATGTTGGATACAGTTCACTGCCGATGGGGATCCCGTTGCCTTCTCGTGCGTTATCCGTGTCCGTGTCTGCCCTTGAAGCAAGTCATACCATACACGTGTCTAGAATGTCACTGCAGAGTCAGAATCCCCGGACATTGACACTAGCAGGACGTGGTCGCCGTCCGCAGGGAGTAATTATAGAAATCGTGGACTACTATCAAGTTAATGCAGGTCTATGTATGTGCATGTATGTAAGCCCGTCTCTTTGCACATCCGGCTAATAAACGCGAACAAGGCCAGGGGGGGCGGTAACTTGGACTTCAACAATGTAAGCACTCGCATCTGCAACTCGTCCAAGGGTCCTATCATCGGTGAAAAGGGGATTACAAAGCACAGGCCTTGGGATAACTACTAAGCATTATTATTATTATTTTCTTCAGAGGGATTCCTAATCAGCGTTTTGCTTGTTCGAAAAGAGCCTCTAGAGTATGTTCTCGTCGGAGCATATTCCGCAGCATCTGGCAGTATCTTCAGCTGTGCGAATTTAGGCTATGCTGAAGTGCCACGATACTTGACAAGGGGGTTGGTTGGCATCAAATGAGATTAGTAGATAGGGATTAGAGTCTTAACTCGCTTGCCGGTTACCATATCGGGACTCGGGGAAAAAAAAACCACAAAGGACGGAATTATATTCCGCGCAACAGGGTAGGCAGATGACAGTAAGCACACACACATACATACAACGGTGACGGCTGAGATAATTCTCGTTTGTGTTGGGGGGAGGGGGGAGAGCATGGCCTTGCCATAGGGCGAGCGGCAAGACAAAGGCTGAGTGGCTCGGGAGGGGGATCCACCGTCATCACTTTGAATCCGGAATCTATTTATACATTCCGGCCGAAAAAATAAAGGCACAGCTAGTTCCCGGGGTGGGAAAGAAGAAGAAAAGGCCAGAAAGCTGTAACCGTGATGTTGCTCGAAACTTGAAGAGGGAGGAGACGAAGGGGGGTGGAATCCAGGATGGGAAAAAGAAAAGAAAAGAAAGAAACAACACGGGCTTGTGCTAACAGGGTTTGGCAAGCATCTCGGCCGATTGCCCGTTTTTTCACTCGTCTTGTAGAAACCAGATGCCTGCAACTCCGAAGAGTCGGCAATGCGAGTGTATCCCGTGCGGTATGCCATCTTTAGCGGGTAGGGAGACAGAAAAAAAGACTAACAAGCACCGGAGCCGGCCAAAAGGGCACATAATAAAACGATGCTTACCGTGGCTTGAAACGAGCCGCGCGCCCTTCGCTAATCCGTCACCGGGCCATTGAAGGAGGTCGCACGGCTAAACCGCCATCTTGAGGGCTCAGGGCCAAGGCGGGCTGCAAGACAGAAGAAGAAAAATTGAAGGGGGGAGGGGAGTGGGCGTGTGTGTATGTGTGTGAACAAGGCCAGTCAAAGGGGTTACCGCGGCAAAGGAGGAGGTTGGACGGGGGGGGGGGGGGGCTTTTGATCAATGTCGAAAGGGACGGGTTGTTGACTCGCTATTAGAGAGTCAACAGCGAGGGCGAGAGAAGAAAAGAGAGATCATTCCCGTGGCTGCGTTGATTGTGCTCCAGTTGCATGGATGGAGGCATTTGGGGCACAGGCATGTTATGATACGCGTAAAAAAAAACAGTGCAACGGAACTGGACCGTTATACGAGTGCCTGCAAACTTGAAGCCATTGGAAGCGAAAAAGGGCATTCAATTCCATCTGGTTGATCCATCCGGATTGCACAGTGCGGGCGGGCGTCGGGCATGTACTGTGCACGTTGCTGGATTTTGCTCCGTAGTGGCATCGACGATCCCAAGGCTACTGCGCAGGGCCTTGCATACATTTACGGAGCGGCCAATGGCGGTAACAGGAGATGCGATTTGTCCGGCCCCGGGGGGAGCAGCTCTCGGCCGGGAGGAGCGAACTACTGCTGAGGATGGGCTAAGGACAGCACTAAAGGGCCACGGAGGTGCCAAAAGGAAAAGAAATGGGGACCAGAGAAGGGAAGAAAAAACTCGAGGTTGCTCCGTAGGGGGTCGACGGCAGGGGTCGACGATTGGGTGGCCCAGAACCGGAGCTTTCGCCCGTTGGTGTACGATACGGCCGAGTAGCGCCCAGGCATGGGATTAATGCAACTTGTAAGTACGAGCAGGTACAGTAGCACCGTGCTGAGGCCCTGGAAGCGGGTTGACGCTGTGGGGGGGAGGACAGTGATGGAGAATGAGTTGCGAGCATGGGGGGTCTTTTTTTCTCTTCTGATTCTTTTTTGCTTCTCTCGTCATGCCCAGTCTGGCGCAATGCTCCGGTGCTGCACGGTGCAGGCACGGGGCGCGTTGCCCAATTCCACCACCGGAGGTCGGGGCCACGATGTGACGGAGAGCGGTAGAAGAGATGCCAGGGGAGGGGGGACGGATGCCGCTAATGCTCTGTTTCGACGGCATTGACTCGATCTGGACAATATCACGTACGATGGATGCTTTTGGGGCGAGTCCAGCGGAAGCGGTGCTGACGGGGGGGGGGGGAAGATGATGATGCCGATGATGATGCTGATGATGATGGGTTGGAGATAATTATAGGTAGAGTTTCAGCTTGTCGCTGCCGCTTTGATTGCTAGCGGGTGATAGGCAACGGCTTGATTGCTGGGGGAGCAGCAGAAATGTCCCGTCTACCTGGAGCCTGCGCCTTAGCTGCATGCGCAATGTCATGTACCTAGGTAGGTAGTACCTGTACCTTGCCGCTTTTTTGCAAGCACCACCACCGAGCAGTTGCAGGTGCAATGCAGCTACGGAGTTGACCAGATTTGTTTCTAGCTTGTACCGTACGGGAGGCCTGGTGGAGTGAGTTCATGTTGTTTGTGTTTCATGACGGACGACGAGTTTCCGTGGACACGGCAGAGCCAGATGAGACAAACACACAAACATCCGTCCATTATAGAGGTAGGTAGGAGGGAATTGTCCGGCTGCTGAACATACAATCGACGTCGTTGAATCGCCAAACCCGTGTCCCGTCACGTGGCGGTCAGCTCCGGGGATCCCTCCCAATCCTGATCCAATCCAATCCAATCCTGATCCTGGGCCACCGTCTGTCTGATGATCGGGTCTGGTCTTGTCCAAGCCAGATTCGATTCACCCTCCGACTCCTTACTGCTACCCTAACTCTTGTGCCCGGTCAAACCATTCTGCCTCTTCGCGGGCTGGGCTGCTGGGCTGGGCTGGGCCCCCCCACCTTCGACGGCGCTGCAGGGACATGGTTCGGCCGAGCCAAAAGCCTCGCTAAAGGACCATTCACACTTCCGCAAGCTAGGCTTCAAACTAGCTTCCCAGCTGTGCTGGCATGTGCTGCGCCGGGGAAAAAAAATAGAGGGAAAATTAAGAGAAAATTTAAGCAAGCCACGGAGTACTCCGGCGTCCTGGCATGGGGGGGCCCAGTTCCCAGCCAAGCAACCGCCGATCACTAACCTCACCATCGCCGACGCAAGGACTCTTGGAAGCTGAGCTGTGACGACGACGCACCATCCCACCAGCCTCGGAGCTTTCCGCTGCATGGCTGAGCTGGACTTGCGTCCCTTTTCCTTCCAGCGGACGACGAACAGAGATAGGGAAAGCCGGAGGGCGCTCTTTGGTTGTGAGAGGTGTATGAGCGAGCGCAAACAAGAGGCTCGACCAAAGACAGACAAAAAAAAAAAAGTCACAAGAGACGAGACGAACAGCTCTCTTCAAGCCACTTCCTACAATCACACCCCCCCCCTCTCCGTCGTCCTCGTCTTTTCCTCCAATTCCTCTCCCACTCCTCTGCAGTCTTTTGCGTCTCCTGCCTGCCTTGTGTTGCCGTTGCTGTCCGTTATGCTTGGCGTTGGCGTGCTGCCGTTAGATAAGCGACTTGTATGCGTGCCGTCTCCTTGACATCACAAGCACATAGTATTTCAAAGTCGACCCTCTGCCCCTTCTCCGATCGGCCGAATCACTCGGCCGCCCAGCCATCTCGCATATCCCATCTCCCATCTCTGCCCCCGTCTTGCCCATCGGATGGCCTCAATGCATACGTATCCTTCCATCACCGAGCCGGGAGTGGCTCAGTCGCCAGCCATGGGCGTCGATGCCTCCAACCCCAGCGAAGGGGCAAGTCCCTACGACACTTCGTCCATGTCTCAGCAGCCTTCGCCGCACCAGCATCACTTGGGCGCGTCACATTCGCAGTCACAGCTGCAGTCGCAGGCGCAGTCGCAATCGCAGGCGCAGCAGTCGTCACAGCAGCAGCAGCAGCAGCAGCAGCAGCAGCAACCACAACAACAACAACCACAGCGTAGCGTCAAGCGGCCACGGCCCGTCAAGTCGTGTACCGAGTGTCGGAAGCGCAAGCTGCGATGCGATCGCCTCTGTCCTTGCTCGCAGTGCCAAAAGTCGAGCCGTCCCTGCAAGTACGCGCCCGACCAGGACTCGGCCAACCTGTCCGAAGGCTCGGACGCAGAGGCAGCTGAGCCGGGCCGGCCAGCCAAGCGCAACTACTCGCACAGCACTCTGCCCGGGCTGGGCAGCACGTACAGCGATGCTGGCGCCGCCAGACCGAACAAGGCGAGCGATTCTGCCAGCCTGCCGCTGCTCGAGGAGCTGTCCATACGCATGGAGCGGCTGGAGAAGCAGGTCCTCGTGCGAAGCCCCAGCAGGGCCGAGCTCGGCGGCGGCAGGATCGTCGCCGCGCCACCAGAGACGATACGGGGACTGACAGTGAAGCGCGGGGCCTTGCGAACCCGGTATTTCGGGCAGAACGACCCCCGGGTGCTGTTGAATCTGGTAAGTCGGGATCGGTCGTGTGTCGGAGGGGCAAGTTTTGCTTTCGATTCTCTTTTTTTTCTTTTGATATTGGCCAACCCAGAAGCTGACCCTCAACGCTCCCCCGTGTTCTAGTTTGACGATGCAAAGGCATATGTGGCACACAACTTCCAGCGGGAGCCCTTCCCCAGCTTTGAGGCCCTACATAAGCACCTACGAGGCGAATTGACAAAGTCGCTGACCCCCATTACCGTCTTTGTGGATTCCATGATGCCCATACACAAGCGAATGACGGACATCTTGCCCAAGAAGGTGGTCTGTGACCGCCTGCTGGCCGCCTATCTCGACACCTCGGAGACCCAGTTCAGAATCCTTCACACTCCAACATTCGTGGAACAGTATAACCAATACTGGCAAGGCAGCCCGCAGGCTGAGCATTTTCTGCCACAGATGCTGTCGGTCCTGGCGGTGGCGTCTCGGTTCGATACCAAATCAAGGGGATTGGTTCACCAAGAACGCGTAGAGGGCGTGCACATCCCGACTGCGTGCGCGCTGATTCGAATATGGCTGGACGGCCTCAAAGGCAAGCAGCTCGTGGAGCTTGCCACGCTGCAAGTCGAGGTGCTGCTGTTGCTGGCCAAGAGAATGATTATTCCGCGGGCACAAGACTCGTGGAATCACCTGGGCTTCGTCGTACGCATGGCAATGTCCATGGGGCTCCACAGAGATCCCTCCGAGTTTGAACCGCGCATGACGGTGTTCCACGGCGAGATTAGAAGAAGGCTGTGGTTCACCGTCCTGGACATGGACTTGTACATGTCCATTGCTGCCAACATGCCCTGTCTCACCCGAGATGGCGACTATTCCTGCCGGCCGCCGCGAAATCTCAACGACGTCGACCTCTACCCGGAAATGACGGAGCTGCCGCCGTCTCGGCCCCTTGACCAAGCAACAGACAGCCAGATCCAGGTCTATACGGTCATGACGCTCCCCACGCGGATGAGAGTGGCGCACATGATTAACCGCATCGACACCATTCGTGATTATCAAGAGGTGCTGGACGTGGGCGGAAAGCTCGACCGCTTCCTCGAGGACATCAACTACATCTTCCCGCGGCACGCAGCCCTCAGCGATGCGCAGAAGAGCAGGCTCTGGAGAAACCGCGTCATTCTCGACATGCACGTGCGCCGGCCTCTGCTGGCCTTGTATCGACCCTTTGCCATGGCGGCCCCTGAAGCTCCAACGCAAATCTCGCGGGCATACCTGCGGTCCTGCATGGTGATTTTGAAATACCTGGACGAGGTCGATCCTAATCTGCCTCACTTTCCAGACGTTGCTGAAATGTACGTGCAGATGCTGCGGCGGGACATTGTCCAGGCGGCCCTGAGCGTTTGCTACTTTATCAGGCCGCCCCTCCGGCCTTCTGCCGATACCGTCATGCTCGATCAGCACGGGATACGGTCTTCGCCAGTCCCTGTAGACGATTTTCCGGCGTACATACCGGATGATCTGATGTTGTGGACGCCGGCGCGGCTGATTGGCACGGTGCAGAAGACAATCGATCTCCTAGTTGGGCTTATCCGCGGCAGTGATGTCAAAGACGTTTTGTGCATTGCCGTTGTGCTGGAGAGCGTAAGAAAAGCTGATGTCCGAAGCGAAGAGATTACCAACAATTTGTTTGGCTTGCTGGATGCTTGCTTGAGGACCACCAATGTGACGGCGGATAAGCTGCGCAATTCATATCTAGGCAGCGCCAACGACGCGTACTCCCATGGCAGGATGCCTTACGTGCAGCAAGGCTACGGCATGGGAGGCCTTTCGGACCCTACCACAGAACTGGGCGGCTGGATAATGTGGGATGGCTGGGATTGATTCCGACTTTTCTAGCCCGCCCTTTGTGGTTCTGTTCGTCTATTAATCTTTTCTTTCATTCTGCTTCATCTGTCTGCTTGTATCTTGTTGTCTTTTCTATTGTTTGTCCTCTCTTCATTATGATTGTTTCGTCTTCTTCTACGGCTTGAACGAGCGACGAACGTCATGGTCATTTGGGTTCCTCCTCATATATAGAGGCTACTGATTGGCGAGTATTGGCTCTGAGTAACATGGTCGGTCACATTCTGGTTGGTTTCTTATAGGAAAGTGTGTGAGAGAAGGAGATACCCTACGCGCGTTAGTGTTTAGAGCAAGGTGAAGAGGCTTTTTCTTCCTCTTCTTTTTTTTCTTGTCTTTTTCTTCTTTTGGTTGTATATGTACAATATAGGGAGGGTGGAATCTTGATAGGCAACAAGTCGTACCATGGTGTGAATGGCGGGCCTCTAATTAATACATTTGCTATTATACTGCTATTGCTGCTCTCTTACACGTATCTCTAACACGATGGCCATCAGTTGGTCAGCACCGGGGCCTTGCCATCCCACTCATCGGACTCTGCTGCCGTGATGAGCCACGCTCCCAAGCTTTCCCTGCTCAGCGTCACGTTCCAGCCGCATCCCTGACCATTGTCCGGCCAGATTTTAACTTGTGCAGCCGGCCCTTCGGTCAATCTCGGCGCTCTCGCAAAGACAAACGGCACGCCGCTCTCCCGGACCAGCGTATCCATGTCGTTGTGGTCCTTGACGGCAAACTTCATGGTGCTGTGGCTCAGGACGGCGCGGAAAGCCCAGCTGAGGTTCTTCCAGGACTCGCGAGCGCCGAAGATGGAGTTTACGACGACCTTGGGAGGGTGTGCTGCGAGTGGCGTGGCGGCGACGGCGGCGAGGAGGACGCTGGTTGTTGCGGCGAGGAGGTTGGGGGGGGAGTCGGGGGAGAGGGGGGCGAAGGGGCTGTCGGAGGTGCGGCGCTGGTTGAGGGTGATGAGGACGGTGGAGGGGGGGGATGGTGTTAGGAGGGCGGTTTGGACGTCTTGTTGGGAGGAGGGGGAGCCTGGTTTTTTGCATGGTTAGTTTTGTGGAAGAAAGGGTGGTTTGCGAAACGTACCTTGTATGATGGTGAGGTTTGGGTGTGGGGGGAGGGAGGATGGGTTGCGGGTTAGGACGGTGACGGTGTGGTTGCGGGAGAGGGCGTTGGAGAGGGCGATGCGGCCGTTGCGTCCGGTGGCTCCGGAGATGAAGATGTGCATGTTTTGTGGATGTGGGATGTATATGATGTTTTGTGTTGTTGTTTGATTTGAAAGTGGGAGGGTGGATGTTGTAAGTGGTTGATATGAGGGTGCGTGTAAGTGAAACCAAGGCTGTAATTAATAAAGCAAGTTTTTTTTTTTTTTTTTGGTTTGAATTTGTCTGTCTGAATAGGAGGATGAAGATGTTTATGAAGTTTTACAAAGATTCTACAAGGTCTGGAAATGCCGTTTATATATTTGTTTCCATCGTTCTGCCATTCGGGCATCTTTTGAATCAATCCGTCCACTCGGCCGATATACTTTGATCGGATCCGTGACTCGGCCGGTGAGCCGGTGGAATTTAAGTCCACCTTGTGCACACGCCGCAACAAAAAAAGCACTGACTGACAATGCTCGGCCGAGTCCCAATTTGTAATCCCCTCATCCTTTCTGTCTCACGTGCGTAACACCAAGGCTCATGAAAAATCAATCAACGTCCCTTCTTTGTCATGACTCCCTGTTTTCTCTCTATTATGCCTTTAAGATTCTCGGATTAAGATTGTGGCGGGCCCCGAAAACTAAATGGACCAAGCAGGCTTTGATCGCTCCACCGACAACTCGAAACAGAAACGGGTAATACGGGCTGGACGGCCCGCAGTACATACAGTACCTCGGCATCGTGCCCCGGATTCCCAAGGTCCGATCAACGCCTGTCTCCCCCGCATTCTGCCACGATGCAGCATACATTCACGTGCATATAAACTGCCGATACTGCTCCCTATACTCCGAATACGCCGATATAAAAGGGAGATGTACGTGTTCTGCCTTGAGTAGTGGTTTTACGAGGCTCTGATGGGTTGAAAGACACAAGAATACAGTCACAACCACAAAACAGAGGCTATATATCACACGCCAATCATGGCTCCCAAGCAAAAGTCGCCCGTCTATGTCCTCGGCGTGGGCATGACCAAGTTCATCAAGCCCCGGGGCAAGGTCGACTACACCGAGCTGGGCTACGAGGCCGGCGTCAAGGCGCTGCTGGACGCGCACATCAGCTACGACGACGTGGACCAGGGCATCGCGTGCTACTGCTACGGCGACAGCACCTGCGGGCAGCGCGTGTTTTACCAGTTCGGGCTGACCAAGATCCCCGTCTACAACGTCAACAACAACTGCTCGACGGGCTCGACGGGGCTGGCCATGGGCCGCACGCTCATCGCCAACGGCGCGGCCGACTGCGTCATGGTGGTGGGCTTCGAGAAGATGAACCCGGGCAGCCTGCAGAGCTTCTGGAAGGACCGCGAGAACCCGACGGGCACGACGGTCAAGATGATGGCTGAGACGAGGGGCGTCACGAATGCCCCGGGGGCGGCGCAGATGTTTGGCAACGCAGGGCGCGAGTACATGGAGAGGTACGGCGCCACGGCCGAGGACTTTGCGGAGATTGCGCGCGTCAACCACGCACACTCGCCCAACAACCCTTACTCGCAGTTCCAGCAGGTGTACACGCTGGACGAGGTGCTCAAGTCGCCGACGATCCACGATCCGCTGACCAAGCTCCAGTGCTGTCCCACTTCAGACGGCGGCGCGGCGGCGATCCTGGTGTCGCACGAGTTTCTCGACCGGCGGCCGCACCTCCGGGCGCAGGCCGTGGAGATTGCCGGGCAGTGCCTGGCGACGGACGGCGCGAGCGTCTTCTCGCGCGGCGCCATCGACCTGATGGGCTACGAGATGACGCAGCACGCGGTCCGGACGGCGGCGGGCGAGGCGGGCATCTCGCCGCGGGACGTGCAAGTCGTGGAGCTGCACGACTGCTTCAGCGCAAACGAGATGGTGGCCATTGACGCCCTCGGGCTCAGCGACAAGGGGAAAGCGCACGAGCTGGTGCGCAGCGGCGACATCACGTACGGCGGCAAGTATCTCGTCAACCCGTCGGGCGGGCTCATCTCAAAGGGCCACCCGCTGGGCGCCACGGGCATCGCGCAGTGCGCCGAGCTGGTCTGGCACCTGCGCGGGTGGGCGAACAACCGCGCCGTGCCCAACACGCGATACTGCCTGCAGCACAACCTCGGCCTGGGCGGCGCCGTGGTGGTGACGGTGTATCGGCGCGCCGACGGGGGGGTTGCGCCGACGACGCTGGACTCGAGGGCGGTTGGCGAGGCGAACGGGCTGGGATACAATCCCGCGGTGGAGGCGAGGGGGTTTACGAAGACGCAGGCGGAGGCGGTGATGAGCAAGAAGGCGAGGAATGATTGGGCGCTGCAGGATACGCTGCAAAAGGTTGAGTCGCGGTTCTAGGGGTTTGACGCTGGCTGTGTCTTGATGTATTGATGTTGTCTTGCTGGGAGGAGACATGATGTGTGAACTGTGACTGCGACTGACTGTTTGCTGTGTATTAGTGTGTGAATTGTATGTATGACGGGCATCTATGTAGTCTTGTGAGCAATGAATGATTTATGATTTATGATCCTCTCAATGACTACTCTGTCGCTGTCTTGTGGCGATGACCAACACATGTCTGATCCATTGCACGTCTCCGTGTAAGAGCTGAGACTGAGACAAGCTTGACGATACGGACCAGGCGCAAATGACGCAATCCGGCGAAACGGCCTCAAACGACACGAATCACAACCCGAATAAAGGGGGCAATTCATCTTATATACATACATTAGCACATACAAACCCAACACATCAAATTCGTAATTCATCGAGCCCCCTATTCTCATTCTCACACAAAATACTTTCCCATCTGTTCAATCCAACGCCGTGAGCAAGTTTCACATCCCGCCCCCCCAAAGCTCCCTCTAGCGGGGCACTTGTTTCCCCAGGCAGTACACTATACCTCCGCAAATCTCCCTCACCGCACTCAGCCAAGGTATAGTAACGAAAACACTTGGACTAGCAGGTATCCGGTACATGGATCTCTAACCACCCCCTTGGGACAGACAGAGTTACAGCAATCGAGTCCCCCTTCCATTTTGGTGTGGCGCAATTCCCGCTTCAGTGACGAGCAGCCTTTTTTTGGTTCTTTGGCGATGTTCCTTTTTTGACATCTTAGAAGAGCAATTATTAATCGGACCTTTGTGTCAGCCCCTTCATAAAGAGAAGCTGATTCTTCGCTCGCACTTGTTCTTCTTCTTCCGCATCATTCCAAAAAAAAAAAAAACCACCCAACAATCTATTTTCTCCTTCTTCTATCGCATTCATCGCAAAAGTCAATTTATCTGTTCAGATAAGCCAGATTACAAACCAACCGCAACAACAGCAAAAAATGGCCGACACGCACACCTACGAGTTCAACGTCACCATGACCTGCGGCGGCTGCTCCGGCGCCATCGACCGCGTGCTCAAGAAGCTTGACGGTATGTGCTCTTCTCTCTCTCTCTCTCTTTCTTTTCTTCTTTTCTGTCGGGGACTGATGTAGGGGGTTGCGTGTTGCAGGCGTCGAGAGCTACGAGGTTTCCCTCGAGAACCAGAGCGCAAAGGTCGTCACTGCGCTGCCTTACGAGACGGTCCTGACCAAGATTGCCAAGACTGGCAAGAAGATCAACTCTGCGACGGCCGATGGTATTGAGAAGTCGATTGAGATTCCTGCTGCTGCGTAGACATGACAGCGGGGGTAGAGAGACGGGAGAGAGAAGCAGGCGGGGGAGAGGACAGCTTTTTCGCTGCTATCATTTGTCAAAGATTTGAGCGCTTTGTCTCTTTTTTTTTTATTAATGAAATGAAATCACGAGTCCTTTTATGGAGCTTGAAGACTTTGTGTCCTTTGTGAGGGGATACGAGGTTGGCCGAGGTGATGTTCGAGTGCGTTGTGCTGCGTGTTTGCCCACGTGTTCTTTCAGGTTTGTTGGAGTAGAATGTCTGGATGTTGACGGAGAAGGTGAGTCTGTTCGGTTGAAAGGATCAGATGGGCATACACATACGACAGAGGAACAGGAACAGGAACAGACAAGGAGCAGAAACAGGACCAGAACGAGTATATCCTGTAGCAACTCTATACAAAGAGGGGGCTCATCAATCTCGCTGATAAGGGGAATTCGATGATTTGTAGATCTACCAGGGACCACCATTTACTACTACTGGCCATGTGCCTGGCAAAGCAACTCGTAAACCATCTCCATCTCCATCCCGCTGCCCGCCGATCACCAACCAATAATCGCATCCCCAACGCCCGCCAGCTGAGGATGAAAGATGCTCCATCTACCAAGGCACCGAATTCTAGGCTTCCCCCGCATTTTGCACATCTGCCCTCCGCAGAGCCGGACTCTCGACGGCTGGAAACCTTGACGCTTCTTCCCCCCCAGTGCATAAACTATCCAGTCCAGGGTAGTTTCCAAGAATCCGTCGGACTTGCGCCCCAACCCGCACTATGCACCCCAGATTCTTTCTACTTGAGGAAAAAAAAAGCTGGGGGAAAAGAGACGAAACAAAGGCCCCCCAGGAGGAATAGAAGAATATGGAGATAGAGCTAACAACAAGAGGGGCATAGTGGCCCGGGAAAGCCTCCCGGGCAGTACTATAGCAGTAGCTGGATTAGACAGAGATCCGTTCGAGCGAAGAGCTTATCAGGTCCCGCATCCATCGGCGGAACGGGGGACTCTGGGCATTGACGGGATTTGGAGGCTTGTTTGCTGGGATGTATTGCTGGGAATGGGGATTGGAAGGATCTGGTGGCTACCTAGGCAGCTGTTCTTGTTTGATCTGGATAGGTTGGTTTTCTGGGGAAGAGGAGCGGGTTTGTTGGGAGGGGGGGGAGAATTGTACGACGGCTTCGGGAGAGGAATACCGAGCTTGGCTGGCTTGTCATGGGATCTGATCTGGGGTTTGGGGCTGGTGAAGTGAAGCAAGCCTCTGATCTATCCATCTTTAGGAGTGTATCTTGAGTATCTTTGATGAGAATTGTAGCTTGATCCTATTTACTAGTCAGGTTGCTATTGATAGTCTTGCTCTTACTCATGAGTATCTCTGTGTATGTATGCTTTGTTTATTGTATCACATAGTCTCCCTGCGAGCATCTTGCCAGCATCACGGCACTCCCGTCTCCGGAAACCGGTCACAAGGACAACCATTGAAGCTCCCTTGCTGCACGGTAAGCAATGGTAAAGCACTGACATAACTCTCCCCATCAAACCCCACGCCCATCGTGACACTCGGAGATTCGAGGCCTTGCTCTCCTCCTCCTCCTAACCATCCCCGGATTCCACAACGCTACTCTGCATCTAGATGATCCCCCCTCCTTACCATCCGCTCCCTTCCGCCCTTTCGAAACATCGTGGCTTGGAGCCCACTTTTGCCCGTGAGTGCCGCTCAGCATTCTATCTGGGCTGCAGTTTGTACGTAACTAGATATGTTGCATCGGTGGCTGCTTCACAGTGGGAAGAAGAATGCAGAGGATAGCTTTGGCCTGGCGTAAAGTCAAAGCTTTAGCAACGAATAGCTTCCCCCCTTGTGTAGCTATCTAGGCATCACCGTCTAGCTGTGTATGATGAAGCGGCTTGAGACGCCGGGGCATGCAAGGAAGAAGGGAAATGATAGGACCAACGTGTCGGTCTCTGTTGTTGAAGAATTCCGGTGCACCTAGCGCTGCACACCTTTTCCTGCTCCATCCCGCATCTTTGTTGGTTGCTCAATGCATGGGGATCTGCATCGGAGTTGAAGGGTTTGTTGTGATATTGCAACACTGACCTGAGTCAACTTACAGGGACGAGTACATTGTATACTGCTGCCCATTTTAGTACAGAGTGACATCGTGAAAGCCGTGGATGCATGGAAGTAAATCAGGACTGAGAATGCATCATTCTCACTTATACGGCAATGCAGTACTTGCCCAATGCAGTAAGAATTGGAGATGTCATGTAAAACAACAAGTAACCTTTACTCTATCAATTGAAAATAAAAACATTAATTTAAAAAAAAGAAAAAAGAAAGAAAAGATTAAGAAAAGAGGAACCGGGACAGTGTGTGACGACACAAACAGACTACAATCGAACACGGGCTTTCAGTCTCTCTCTTTCGCAACAAGGATCTGCCCTAAACGAGCTCCGATGCTGCTGCGGGGGCCTCATCACATCACTCGACGCAAGAGAAGGAGTAAAAAGAAACAATGGCAAAAAAAAAGGACCAACGGCGCAAATCACGGCCAATTCCTGCTGCGCGGACATGAGGATGTGGCTTGCTTTTTTTGCGAGGTGGCATGCCGCATGCATCTGATATGGCTTGATGGGCGTGGCATGATGCGCCATGGCATGATAATTTACTGCGGCCGGCGGGGCTTGCAGCTGTAGCTCTGCAGCTTTGCAGGGCTCTTCCCTCCCCCCTGGTCGCCTTTAGTTTCTCCGAACGCCATCAATCGCAAACCAGCCTCGATGGAACTGCGTGTGCGACGCCGCTTTTTGCTTCTTTCTGCAATCTTGCATTGGTGTTTTTTTTTTGTTTGATGGGGATTGCCACTGTGTAGTTGCGAGTCACCCAATCATGGCTTCGGTCCGTCCAGCCGAACGACGAAACGAGATGGATGCCCTCCTATCGGCCATGATATCACTGCCGTCCTCGTACGTGTACGTGGGATGTAGCTGAGGACTTCAAGGAGGACACAAGTATAAAGGAGCCGGTTCGTCTCCTGGATGAAGGTGTTTTTTTTTCCTACAGCTTGTTCTTTCCAGACTCTTCCTCTCAGCATCACATTTCTTCTTGAAAACAGTTTCAACCTCGACTCGATTCCTGTTTCCATCTATTCATATCCACAACTTCAACTCCCCAACATCCATCATGGGCAGCATCGATATCCCCTCTGAGCAGTGGGCGCAGATTGTCGAAAAGACCGGCGGACGTATGCTTTCCCCCCTTTCCAAATTCCCAATTCCTCCGCCTCTTCATCTATCCATTGCTAACAAAGCTTGTCTCTCCAGCCGTCGTCTACAAGAGGATCCCCGTCCAGAAGCCTGGGCCCGATGAGGTCCTCGTCAACATCAAGTACTCTGGCGTCTGCCACACCGACCTCCACGCCATGATGGGCGACTGGCCCCTCGACACCAAGCTGCCCCTCGTCGGAGGCCACGAGGGTGCCGGCGTCGTCGTCGCCCGCGGCGAGCTCGTCACCGACATTGAGATTGGCGACTACGCCGGCATCAAGTGGCTCAACGGCTCGTGCCTCAGCTGCTCCTACTGCCAGAACAGCGACGAGTCGCTCTGCCACAAGGCCCTGCTCTCGGGCTACACCGTCGACGGCACCTTCCAGGAGTACGCCATCGCAAAGGCCGCCCACGTCGCCCGCATCCCCAAGGAGTGCGACCTCGAGGCCGTCGCCCCGATCCTGTGCGCGGGCATCACCGTCTACAAGGGCCTCAAGGAGTCCAACACCCGCCCCGGCCAGACCGTTGCCGTCGTCGGCGCCGGTGGTGGTTTGGGCAGCATCGCCCTGCAGTACGCAAAGGCCATGGGCCTGCACACCATCGCCATCGACGGCGGCGACGAGAAGCGCGACCTGTGCCTCAAGCTGGGCGCCTCCGCCTATGTCGACTTCACAAAGACAAAGGACCTGGTCGCCGACGTCCGCGCCGCCACCCTCGACGGCGAGGGCCCCCACGCCGCCCTCCTCGTCGCCGCCCAGGAGAAGCCCTTCCAGCAGGCCACCCAGTACCTCCGCTCCAAGGGCGTCCTCGTCTGCATCGGCCTCCCCGCCGGCGCCCAGCTCAGCGCCCCCGTCTTCGACACCGTCATCCGCATGATCACCATCAAGGGCAGCTACGTCGGCAACCGCGCCGACACCGCCGAGGCCCTCGACTTCTTCCGCCGCGGCCTCATCACCGTGCCCTTCAAGACCATTGGCCTGAGCCAGCTGCAGGACGTCTACACCCTGATGCACGACGGCAAGATTGCCGGCCGCATCGTCGTCGACCCTACGAAATAAGATGAGTGGACAGACGAGAATACGCTGCTTTCCATTTGATCAACTGTTTTCAACTTGAAGAAAAAAAGTAAAACAAAAGTGATTGGTTTAGATATTCATCCTGGGCGAATATGGGCGGTTGGTTGCATGGGGCTGTCTCGGTATACAAATGACGGCGGAGCGTTGTGAGATGTAAAGTTCGATTATGATGAGCTTTTTTTTTTCTTTTTAGTTAATTGATGAGACATGATACAAAGTATTGGACATTTGTGTGTGTGTGAAGAAGGCATTATGATATCAACTGTGTGGCCAATACATCTCCCGCTGTGAATACCTGTCAGTCCCCTTTGTACCTGTTAGCAGCACTCTCATTGGCTTGCAACTTGTCACTCAATCCTCAGGACAAGAGTCTCGACAACCTACAATAAGTTACCCAATGATAGAAACCCGCACAAATGACGCGCAAATCTCATCACCATGATTTGTATGTAATGTATAAATTTTGTCAAGTACAAAAATCATCTGCCTAGTATCTACCCCGCGCCACATCGTAATCCGCCTATAACACCCCCCTCTATGAACCGCCGGGGCCACCAAGAAGAGCAAATCTTCGCACAATGCTAGGTCCGTATTCTTGGTACTAAGTCAATTGTTAGCCGTGATGCCGCCAAAAAGTATTTTATATATGCCACATACCTCTGCCTTGGTGTGGCAGTAAGATCGGAACTCGGGAGTCTGACCGAGCAGACTGCCGCCGAACCAGGGGCCGTGTCGCTGTCTCTTGTGTGTAATAACCTGGACGTCGAGTCCACCGCTGCGGGCGCCGCCGCTGCGCTGCTCGCTGGCCTGGATTCTGGCATCCACAAGCAGCTTGATATCTCGCTGCAATCGTCTTCCAAAGTCCTTGTAGAGGGTGCTTCCACCAGAGAGCACAATGTTCTTGTATAGACCTCGTCGAACGTCAATTGGGGACTGCTGAATGACGCCATCCACAACCACGGGCAGCGGGGTCAGGAAATCGGACGTGTAGATCTCGGGGTTGAAGAAGATCTCGGGTGCCAGGAACCGTTCGTAACCGACATCGACGGTAACCTGGCGGCCACCGGGCTGGGTCACTACGTGCTTGGCAAAGCGGCTGCGGTCGCGATCGTATCGGGCGAATTCCTTGACAATGTCGGGGCAGACGTAGCAGTACTCTTCCTTGATCTCCTGGGCTGTCTTGAGGGACGAATCGGGCTCGCCGCGGTCTCGGAGAAGAGACTGGACAAAGTACGTAATGTCTCTGCCGGCAACGGGAATCGACTTGATCGAAGACCCAATGACATAGCCCTCGGCCACGGGGATGACGTGGGTAACACCATCACCAGAGTCGATGACGGTACCGGTCAGCGATCGATCCGAGACCTTGGATGAGGTCCACGACGCCGCGAGGGCAAGGACGGCCTGCACGGCAATGTACATTCCGGCACAGTTGAAAGACTCAAAGAAGATCTCGGCCGTGTTTTCTCGGTTTTCGGGAGGGTTCAGCGGCTACCACACCGTTAGCAATTCGGTTCTTGGTCTTCCGTTCCAACCGGAGGGGTTGTCGTGTGTGTGGGTAAACGTACAGGCTCGGTGAGAAGGAAGTAGTGGTCTTCGGGCTCGACTCGCAGATACTTGAAGATAGAATTTGACCAAAACCGCTCCATATGATCCTAGGCATCCGTTAGATCGTCTTCTCCTTGTACTCTCGTGTCCCTCAGACGCATACCCAGTTCTCAATCTGACCGTGGCGGATGGGATAGTGGAGGCCATATCCGGGCCCGGCCGCGGCGCTAATGGCCTCATCGCCAATGTAGTAGTCCAAGTCCTCTGTTCCGCGCTTTGAGTTGAGGTGGCCGCTGGGACCAGCTCCTCCGGTAAGGAACGAGGGCTTGTTGGCAACGGAGGGACGACCCGATCCTGATCCTCCGGCGCCCCCACCAGCTCCGGCCTTGGTCGCAATGGCGGTAGGGAAGACGAACGAAGGGGAATCATTTCCGGCAAAACCTGGCAGGCGAACGAGCACATGTCAGTCGAGTTCAATTCAGGAGACGGGATACGAGGAACGGCGAGATGGTACCTAGCTTGGAGAAGCCCGTGCCGCTGTGAAAGTCTCCAGTTAGCTGCTGTTGTCACGCAAGACGATCCAGGAGAGGAGAGGAGAGAGGGGGAGCAAGAGCAGGAGGAGGGCGGAGCACGACTCACTTGTCCATGACAACGGCGGGAGTTTGGTTCGCCATGATTGCAAAAGGTGCTGGCAGCACAGGCAAAAGCTCCCAGACTCGTGACGGTGAGGCGTCGAGAGAGTTGCAGGCGGGAGAGCGAAGCAATGGAGCGTCGACAGCTGGACTCTAGGGACAAGTGGGGAGAGATGGATGGGAGAGGCACGTACGTACGTAACGTCCTGTGCTTTAGCTTAGGATGCTCAGCTAATTCTAGGCACGCCGTTATGTTATAGTGAGTGAGACCGCTAAACGACAGCAGCTCCAGTTGCTCTGACGAATCTCACCAGCCCCGCCAGCTACCGCGCGGCCGGGGTTTATGTGCTTAAGGGGGGTTTTGTGGGGAGCTGCCAGCGTTCAAAGGCTCCGACGTCATGCTGCGAATAGCTTCGCTTTCGGGATTGGAAGATGATGCTTGATACATCTTGGGTGCTCTGTACGGCTTTGCGGTTGGGGAGTCTTTGGTTTTGGCCACGCAATTGGAAGAGCTGCATTTTCTGCTTGATTCCCCAATTGCGTGTCTGCTTCATTCACATTCTGCATCAGTGAATTAATGCCATCTCATGCATGCTACGGATTGACACTCGTATATCTCGGGGCTGTTTGCTGAGATGCGGTTTTTGATCACGAAACAGATAGACCCGAACCACGCCATGAGGATCTACAGAGAAGCAGCACAAGCCTGGTGAAAGAAATCATATGCAGCAAACTCAAAGCTTCCTTCTGATATATCAAGGAAGGCGTCGCCCACAGAAATCTCAACCGCATGATGCGCCCTCAAGCCACTGCCTCAATGACTGCTTTGGCTCGACATCGACCCCTTTTCTTGAATCCGCCTGCCATATTCACGGTGTCTCCAGATACTTAGAAAGCCCCCCAGCTTTTGAGGGTTCAGAACATCCGCGGAACCAGCTTTCTTCGCCTGCCGCGTGCGTGCTCGGTGCAAAAATTCTCGGCTATCAGTTGAAAAGCGACTGCGCTCTGTAGGCCGGCAGAACAAAAGGCGGTGGCTTTGTCTCGTGCTGAGAGCAAATTCTCTGCACACACCTAGAAAAGACCAAAAACTCCAACACTTCCTAGATTTTATTCCTTTTACTCTCTTACTCTCGTGGTTCCCTCTCAGAGGGGCCGATCTGGTTGTCCTAGCCCGCCTTCTTCCGCTCCTTTTCCGCATTTATCATTACTGTCTCTTGTTCTCACAGCTTTCTGGACAGCTCTTCCGTGTACTTTTTATACGAGACCTCGCACCCAAAGCATGAGCAGCGGCTGTGACCATGAAGTTTCCCCCATGATGGCTGACAACACATACGGAACTGATGGTGCACTCGATCGCGTTCTCGGCTTCGGTCAGAAACAGCTCAAGAGTGTTCCAGCAATCTTTATCCATGCTGGAGCGGGTTTCCATAGTCACCAAAACGAACATGTTCACCTTGAGGCCTGCGTGGCGTAAGGCACCCCCTTCTCCCCGAGCTTTCTCTCGAAATCACCCCTTTGCTTTCTTTCTAATGTGCTAACCTGATGCATCATCTGATAGGGCCTGCGAGATGGGCATGAAATTCTTAAAAGCTGGCGCCACTGCCACCGAGGCCGTCGAAGTTGCTCTTCGCATCCTTGAGGACAAGGAGATAACGAACGCAGGCTACGGCTCCAATTTATCCATTGACGGCATCGTCGAGTGCGATGCAACAATCGTTGACCATCTAGGACGCAGTGGTGCCTGTGGAGCTGTCCCAAGTGAGTCAATTGTGCAATCCAGCCGAACAAAAACAACAACGTACATCATGTTCAACTAACAATGCTGCTTCTAATAGACGTCCGAAACCCCATTTCATTGGCGAAGCTCATCTTGGACACGAGCAACAAACCTCTGAGCCTCCGCCGGGTTCCCCCAAATGCTCTTGTGGGCGAAGGAGCAAGAGCCTTTGCTGAGGAACACGGCATGGCAACATTTTCTAACGAGTATCTCGTCTCAAAAAACTCCAGGGACCGCTTTCTACGATGGCAGGAGGACCTGAAGAGAGCTGATGTCAAGCCAAAAGACGCAAAAGGCGGCTCTGCTGCTAGCCAGATGAACTTGGGCTGCGGCCCGTGTCAATACGATACAATGGCAGTAACGGACCCTCATAAAAGCTTTCCTCGGGACCATACTGCAGCGATCCTGGCCGGCACTTGGAACGAAGGACAACCAGATTCTCCTTGTGTTGGCACGCCCAATCCTGATACGAGTAACATCTCGGAACCCCCAGCGTACCCGACAACATATGCTCGGGCTCTGGCCTCAACCCCAACGAATTCTCCAAGAAACCCCATGCGTGCAACATCGAGTGTGCTGCTGCAGACGACTTCTGCCGCTTTAACGGGCAATATGAGCCCGATGCTTTCACCCAACCGCTTAAAACGATACCCTAAAAACGCCAACCAAGGTGGTCGCGAGAACGGTGTGAGCAATGGCTCCCCTCGAGACGAGGCCAAACAGTCACAAAAGTCTGGAGGAGCGACTTTCGATGGAATGAAGCCCCCTAAGCGTCCCGGCAAGCTCCATGAGGTTTTGAACAACCCTGACGAGGATCAATCTCAACAAGAGGACGAAGCTCTCATAAGTATTCGCGGTCTTAAGCGTCCGCTTAGCGTATCAAATGAAAACGAGGATTCAATCACGCAAACAGTAAAGCGCCAGTTCCAGTCTGGTAGCTCTGAAGAGGATTCGGTCTCAGACACTATTGGTGCTATTGCAATTGATGATAGGGGCCACATTGCAGCAGGATCCTCATCTGGCGGCATTGGGATGAAACATCGGGGCCGCCTAGGACCAGCCGCCCTAGTCGGCATCGGGACGGCCGTTGTGCCTTGCGCCGAAGATGACAACGACAATCTCACGGTTGCGGCCGTAACGAGTGGTACGGGTGAACACATGGCCACCACAATGGCTTCTCAGAGATGTGCTGAGCGTCTTTATCATGGGACGCGTCGCGGTCCTGCCGGCATCGACGTTCAGGACGACGACGAAGACGCCATTATGGAATCTTTTATAGCTAAGGACTTTATGGACCACCCCGGGGTGAAAAACTGCCATTCCGCGGGTGCCATCGGCATCATGGCCGTCAAGAAGAACAGGAACGGCTACTATCTATACTTTGCCCACAATACAGACTCCTTTGCCCTGGCATCCATGGGCGGGCTGGAAAGAGAGCCGCGATGCGTCATGTCACGACTCCCCGACGGTGCTAAGATTGCAAAAGGTGGGCGCAAAGTTCGACTAGATTAAGGGGCTAGCCGGGGAAGAAATTCCTTCTTATTACTTTGGCATGTCAGGTTCTACCAGGCTGGAGGAGGGAATTGCAAGAGTAGGCTGGCTGGCACCTGTACACAATGGCGTTATGCTCCGTCTGTCTCTTCGTCTTCATATTCTTCGTTTCTCTCCTGATATTTGTACCTGGTACTCTCTTTGTATGATATTCGTATAGTGATTATCCCCCTCTATTCCTATATAGGCATTCTTTTGTTTCCAGAACTCCCATGTCTTTTACCCAAAGCTATTATTGCAAGCTGCCCTCGGCTGATGCTCACCGTTACACCAGCCCGGGCATCAATACAGGACTGTCTGATATATCTACTTTGCATGACAGCATAAACTCGCAGACAGCCATTTTTTATGTTAACACAAAAATATGTCTTGTTTTCCAATCCCCTCCAGGCAAACGTCAAACGTCAAGATGGATTGCTCATGGTTTCGGCGTTCCTGTGGCACTGCCCGTCTCTTCACGCCCGCTACCGTTGGTAATCTTCTTCTTCTTCTTCTTTTTCCGAGGCATGACGGCGGGCTTCGCTCCATAATTACCGAGGGCAAGGACAGTCCCGCATGTGAGACACTCGGCGTTCTCTGGGGGTTCGCAGAATATGCTGAGACACACTGAGCAGACAAAGCCAGTGTCGACGACCTTGCCGTGGCAAAAGCAAGCAGTACGGAAGTCGACAGTATCGTGAGTCGGCGTGATGAGATCCCCACGGGCCTCGGTATCGGGAATCAGACCAAACATGAGGTAGGTCAGCAAGCCCTTGGGATTGGAAGCTTTAAGGAAGATGCCGTTTGTGTTGAAGCAAGCTTGCTGGAGGAACGTCGAGTCTCCGGCAAGAGAAATGGTGTCAATGGCAACCTGATTATGGGCAGCGGCGAAGACGGCGTTCATCGTAGGGATATATTGAGAGGGTTCCGAGTCGGAGACGGAGATGACGACGATTCGGCCTTTCACTGGAGGAGGTGCGGTGGAATTTACGGGAGCGGCGTTGGAAATCGTGGTGTCTGATGAGCTTAGAGCCTGTACGGCCTTGTTGATGCGGCAGAGGGCGAGCGTCAGGGCTCCAGAGAGCTGCGTTGTTACCTGGTCGAGGTCCTGCACGGTGGTCTCTGCCATGAGCGTCTGGATGGACGAGAAGACGGAGGACTCGATTTGCGCGAACTGAGGGTACTTGTTGGCCGAGGCTGAAGAGGTATTCGTCTCGGCTGGCACGTCCTGCATCTGGACATCCCCTGAATTGTCCTTTGCTGCCGTGGTATTGGATGGACTCTGAGGGGTGGGATACAGCCATACGGCGCGGTTCACGTGTGCGGCAATGACGGCGACTTGGTTGGTGTTGCTAAAGGCCAGATGAGCATTGACGAAGACGAGAATGTTGGAGATGGCCTGGACGAGGGAGAGAGATGAGTCGAGAGCGGCCCAGGCGCGTGGATTTGTGTCGAGGACGATGGAGAGGAGGGAGGGAGAATTGTCGGCCGCGGTGACCTCGTAGTGCTCCGAGACGTCGACGGCATCCATGATGAACGGGTGGATGAGCTGGACGTAGGCTAACGGAGACAGCTACGAGGCCTGTGTAAGATGACGAGGAGAGATGGTGAAATGGTTCAGCGGTATTTGCTTGTTTGGGTGTCGAATTTGGTTCGTCGATGGAAGAGTGGTGTCGTTGGAATCGTTGGGCCAAGGCTAAAAATCGACAGATGGAAAGAGAGATGTCCAAAAGAGACGCGAAGATGGAGACGCGGTTATTGTCTTTAGAGCTGACAAGACGAGAAATTGCAATTTGATGGAAACAGCCGTAGCTCAACAAGCAGAGCGAAAGAAGATGTTCATGGCATGTTTGGGTGAGGCTAGAAACTAGCAGCTGCAAGACGCAGCTCCGTCATTGACAAGGCTGACTTTTGAGACCCAAAAAAAAAAGAATGCGAGAGACCGGGATGTGCACGGTTCTTGGGCGAGAGACAACGCCAAGGCACGTGACTGGATGCATGAGTATAATTCAAGATGCTTCTCGCAGTCACACGGCATTCTTCGTATGTTATTAGTACATATGCATTGGTGTATTATATGTAACAAGCAGCTTGTAATACTGTCTTACTTGAAGCTCTTCAAAGCGTTGAAGCAGTGCACATGGCGGAAGCAGAAGATCAAGGTCCAGTCACCCAACTGGTGAGCTTATAATACGACCCTGATGATGCAGTGTGGAGATGTGCTAAGGCTTGGGTACCCGAATGATAGGTGAAATCGGCTGTAAGCCTGCAAATCCCCAAAGAGGTCTTTAAACATCTCAAGAAGCCATCTTTTTGGTCCATCACCCCGGATAATGACAGAGATCGAGTGATTTATTTTAAAGCCTGCGAGCGAGTCGAATTTTACTGGGAGTTGGAGCTTGGGTCTAACGTGCCTGTTTGGGCTTGCAAAGGCGACTTCACGGTGACGCTGCCCAATGGAATAAGTGCCATGGTTGCTTGGGGCCAGTACATATTGGATGAAGTGCTGAAAGATGACGAAGAAGATGAAGAAGAAGAAGAAATGATAAAAAAAAAAAAAGAAGGGCCAGAAGAAGGGACACTGTGAGATGGAATGCTCAAAGTCAAAGAATGACGAAGCTGCACCTATAAGTACAAGTTCAGGCCCAGAGGGACCCTGACGTTGATTGATTGAATTAGCGACGAATCGAGTTCCCTGTACTCGGTCCTCCGCAGAGAATGCTCGATAATAGGCCAATTGCAGCGCTGGAACCCAAAATAACGTGCGCCAGCGTGCATTTCCGGTGACATGACTGGCTGCATGGCGGGAGAATATTGGGCCAACCAGGTCGCTAAAACACAGACGGTGACGCCAGTGGGTGGGGTTGGGAGCATCGAGCATCGACCACCGGAGTGGGGCAGAGTTGGGAGCCCTTTGGAGCTTCATTTTTATCAGCTAAACCTGCGTCTGGTCCATATCTTATCTTTTTCTCCGGGGGTTAAAGCTGGTGGCCTGTGACGTTTCGATAGAGTCGATCCATTCTCCATTCTCCATTCTTCAACATTCTTCTGCTTCTTGCTTTATCCAACCTCGAGTTCATCCCAAACTGGGCTTGCAAGGAACATACAATCCATCTCACTCCAAGAGAGCATTGGCATTGGAGATAGCAGGCCCAAGCTGGAGCCTGACCTTGATTCAAGCAAGACACAGACACAGACACAGACACTACACGACCTGAAAACACATCAAGCTCACTCAACCATGGCGACTGTGGCTCAGACGCTTCAAAGCTCGGGCCCGGCCGCGTCCCTCGAGGACCAGACGCTGCTCATCTTTGCGCGTCTGATGGAGGGCGGCCAGGAGGATGAAGAGACCTGTAGAGACCTGGACGCGCTGACCAAGCTGCTCAACGATGATGCCAACGCTCAGCAGAAGAACAAGGAGCACAAGTCCATCTGCAAGCTCATCGACAGCGATTGCGTCGACACCATCCTGTGCTATCTGGACATGCGCCAGCCCGAGATTGTCCGCGGCCACGCTACTCTGACGACATCGGCCTACCTGAGGGCTGCCGACGAGCAGGGCTCCAAGAACTTGTCCGCCTTCTTCTTTGATCGAGTCAAGAGAGGCACGTACGACGACTACATCGTGGCCTTTTGCGTGGCGGCGGCCATCTTCCCCATTGTTCCGGATCTCTCCGCCGAGCTGTTTCTCAATGAAGGATTTCTCGTTTCACTGGGCCCCTTGATGAGGAGGAAGTGGAAGAGCAGAAAGGTGGAGACTGCGTGCTTGGAAATGCTCAACGCTTCTTGCATGAACTCTGCGTGCCGAGAGGCCATACAAAAGTACTGCGTCGAGTGGCTCGAGGAGGTGGTTGACCAGGATCTGGATGGAGAGGTTCGCAGTATGAATGCGGACCCCAACGTCCATAGCGAGGGCGGCTCCATCAATATGAGGAAGCATTCCGAGCAGGTTCAGCACCTGGCCGCCGTCATTCTGGCCAAGCTCAGGGTGAGGAATTGACCCGTCTTTACACCATTGGCACAAACAAAAGCTTGCAATCGTTCATGACTGACTGACTCAGAATGAAGGTCGTGCCGTCGAACCCAGCGACCAAGGACCCAAATCAGTCTAGGATCGAGACAGCGGTCACGAGCATTGAAGATTTATCCGGCATGTTTACCAAGATGATTTTGCGTGACGAGGATCACGGAAGACAGCATTCTATAGAGGGCCTTGCCTATGCATCTCTTCAACCAAAGATTAAGGAGTCAATCGTTAACAACCCCGAACTACTAAAGAAACTCGCCAAAACGCTCAAGGACGCACCACCCCGATCTCCAATGACATATGGAGCTCTTAGCATCTTTCTCAACCTAACTCGATATCGACCCTCTCTTACTGAAGAGGAAAAGAAGATGTCTCAACTCAAGGCTTACGCGGACGCGGCTGGCAAGCTAGCTCCCCCAGACGCTCTAGATGACGATGATCACGTCACCAAGAGGTGCAAGGCTGTCTTCGATGTCGGCCTCACACCCATCCTTGTTACACACAGCAAGAACGGATCCCCAGCATCAATAACCATTATTATATCCATAATTCACTCATTCGCAATGACAAAGGCGCTTCGCGGCCCCTTGGCTCAGCAGGGAGCCCTTAGCATGCTATTGGCCGCATGGACGGCTCTTCCAGAAACCGAAGCGACTGGCCGTCGCATGGCCGCCCAGGCAATTGCTCGCATCCTCATCAGCACCAATCCTACTCTTGTATTCGGTGGCAATCGTTCCAGCTCAGCCATTGCTGCCATCCGACCCCTGGCTTCCATTCTCCCCCCCGATCCCGCAGCTGACAGACGAGACTTGCTTCCCACCTTTGAGGGCCTCATGGCACTTACCAACTTGGCTTCCATGGAAGATGAGGATATTCCTCGTTCCATTATCACCATCGCATGGGGCCAAATCGAGGAGCAGATGCTGTCTTCCAACGACCGCGTGTCTCAAGCAGCGGTTGAGCTGGTTTGCAACCTGATGCAAGCACCAGAGGGCATAGCGCTTTACGCAGATGGCAATCCACAAGCCAAGAACCGAATCCACATACTCCTAGCATTGGCAGACGCCGAAGATGCAGGCACGCGTAGCGCAGCAGGTGGTGCCTTAGCTTCCTTGACAGGCTACGAGAGTGTGGCGAAATTGGTCTTGCAAAGAGAAGGTGGCATCAAGGTCATTCTAGGGATGTGCACGGACGAGGACGAGGGGTTGCGGCATAGAGGCGTGGTCACGCTCTACAACATGGTCGCCGGAGAGGTGGAAGTTTGCCAGCTCGCGCGGGACAAGGTCAAGGAGGCGGATGGGATCGAGGCGCTGAAGCAATCTCTCAAGTTGACTAGGAGGCCGGAGGTTCTGCAGCTCACGGTTGAGACGTTGAAGGCGCTTTTGGGACAGGAGTAGTGCGTGCATAGGGGGAGACGTCTTTCGCATCTTGTCGTTACTCTGTTTTTCTCTCTCTGCATTTGATAGCTTTTATAGGCATTATTGTTTGAATCGAGTTGGGCATTTGGGAGACTCCCGGGTTCTCTCTCACTCTCTTTTTTATACATTCCTCATGGTCATGTCTACATACGTTTTGGAACAAACTGCATCACATCAAGATGAATAGAGGTGAAGGAGTCGAATGAGAAAACTTTTGTCGTGTTATTTCTATAAAAACCCCCTTAATTATCTATCCTGTTCAAAACAGCAACGCCTTCAACATGACCCGTCTGGGGGAAAAAGTCAAATCCTCTCAGGCTCTCAATCTCATACCTCTTGCCCTCGCCCTCGCCCCTGACCAAGACGCCGACGTCGCGCGCCTGGGTGTGCACGTTGCAGCTGACGTAGACGACCCTCCTGGGGCCGAAGCGGCGCAGCTGGCCGAGGAAGTCGGCGTCGCAGCCCTTGCGCGGGGGGTCGAGGATGACGGTGGTGTGGTCCGGGTGGTAGGCGACGCTCTTGAAGAGCTCGCGGGCGTCGGCGGCGATGAACTTGCAGCGGTCCTCGCCGAGGCCGTTGAGGGCGGCGTTTTGGCGGGCGGAGGCGATGGAGTCGGCGGCGATGTCGATGCCCGTGGAGTGCTGGAAGACGGAGGCGAGGGTGATTGTGAAGAGGCCGGAGCCGGAGTAGGCGTCGATGAGGTACTTGATGTCCGAGGACGAGGACGAGGACGAGGACGAGGGCAGGACGTGCTGCTTGATGTAGTCTGTGAAGATTGGCAGGATGGAGTTGTTGTTTTGGAAGAAGGAGCCCGCGGGGTTCGTGAAGTGGTGGTCGCGGATGTATTCGTGCGTGGTGGCTTTGGAGTCGGTCTCGCAGGTCTTGATGTCGATGCCAAACTCGCTGTCGTTGCGGACGGTACAAGGAGCCAGGCTGTCGGCGGCCGGGGCGGCGTCATCGCCAGAAGCATCGACGGGATGGCGCTGGGTGTTTTCTCGCAGGAGGATCGTCGCGCCTCGCTGGTACTCGCCAAACTCCCTCTGCATCCTTTCCCGTTCGCGCTTCATGCCCAGCCGGACGACGTCGGTGCCGATGGGGCAGTCCTCAATGTCCATGACCTTGCGCTGGCCCTTGCGCATGAAGCCAATGTCGGGACAGCTGTCGAACTGGGGCTTGGGGCCCTTGTTCCTCTTGTGCGGGCGGAACCCGGGAGGCCCGTCAAAGTGAGGCGTCAGCTTGGTGCGGTAGCCGTACTGCAGCGGGCTGCCGACGGTGTCGAGGACGGCGGGCACCAGCTCGGCCGGGAGGTTGGCGAAATTCCGAAAAGCCTTGTCGACGATTCTGCGCTTGCGGCGGAGCTGCTCGGCGTAGTCGAGCATCTGGAACTGGCAGCCGCCGCAGGTGCCAAAGTACTTGCACTGGATGCGGGCGTCGTCGCGCAGCGGCGAGGGCTTGATGATGGAGATGAAGTCGGCGACGGTCTGGTTCTCGCGCCGTAGGTGGCGGAACACCTTGACTTTGGCGACGTCGCCGGGCACGGTAAACGGCACGACGTATACCTGGTTGGAGCCGGCCCTCATGGCGAGGCCATCGCCGGTGGAGGAGAGCTCCAGGACTTCGACTTCGGTCTCGGTTCCTTCAGCTGGTAGGGCTTCTTCTTGCGTCTCGGTGGCTTCGCCGTCGGCGGTAGCATCGGTTTCGGATCTCCGTGATTCTAGCAGTGCTTCGATATCATATCGCAAGACCTCCTCCGAAGACCCTTCGGTGATGTTCTTTTCTCTCTTCGTCTTCTTCTGCTTCCAGCTGCGGTTGTTGCCGCCGGGATTGGGCCGCTTGGGCCTGTTGCCATTGGCGCCATTGCTGCTCGTCTGGGGCGCGGCTGGAGGGGCTGGAGGGGCCGCAGAGGCTTGAGCGGTCGCCATGAATGCCGACGGACGAAGAAGGCGGACGGGTGGTGGTCGTAGTCGGCAAGGCTGGAGGACAAGGCTGGCGATGGTGGGATACGATGAGAAGGGTCGTATCGGGCTTCTCATAGACGATGCGGAAACCCCCGTCGCAATTGAAGAATGGCGGATAGCACAAGGCACTCAGATGTCCTGGAGGAGATCCAACGGTGCTTTGTATCGTTTCAATGCGCTACCGATGGCTTCCTTCTACTGTGTCGAATATCTGTACAGAGTTTTGCCTTTGCATCTACGAAGGGAAAAAAAAAAAATCCATGCACCCCAAAAAGTTACTTGATATGGAAGTCCGTACACGGTAGACGAGCTGCAATCCGCCGCCTCTGATTGGCCGCGGCTGCGATAAGACATGCGGCATGGCTGATAGGCGGTCACAGGGGACTCGGAGCCTATTTTGGCACTAATTGGCGGCCTTTTTGGGCGTCACGAGGGCACTGGTTAAGCCAAATCGACGGGAAGCGTGGCATTGGATCCAGCTGACTGGCATATTGCGGAGACGAACGGTCCACATGTGGCACAAACGGATATTTGGGTGAGTTCGTGCTTTTTGGGTCGGTTGAGGTGATGAGGCCGGTTCTGCGGGATTGGGGATCCGGTATACTATGGCGGCGTCTGCTGTCCCTTCCAGTAAGCTGTTGTGACTCCCGACTTCAACCACAGAACCGCGGTTAGTCGCTTGTTTCACCGGTTTGGACCTCGCGGCGCCTCGTCGTGTTGCACCAACAACGTTCAGTCAGTTCTTGTAAGTGAGCGAGTGCCCCGCGCTTATCAAGTAGTCCGAGTCAATCCAAGTCGAGAGATAACGGACGCCCTTCCCGGCAATTATGTACATCCCCCGGGTCTGCTGAATACTATCGTCCTTGGAATCTCTTGTAATTAATAATAAACCGGTGCTAGTACATACTGTGACAAACGCGCACGCCGACGTTCCGGAGCAGACGCCGACCACCCATCCTTTTCCTTTGTGCAGCGCAACTCCCAACATGAGTGAGTAACATCCCCAACCCTCCTCTTTTTCATCTCATCTTTCTCTCATCTTCTTCCCTCCGTCTTTTACAATATTCGTCTGTAATAATAGGACAACTTGCTTTCTTCTCTGCATTCTCATATACTGCACTTGCTTTGCTCTCATCTCTTTGCCGCCTTATTGACAGATAATGTGGGTAGAATCGCCGGCTGTTCGTGGCCCCCGGCTTCTGGGATCGCTGCTCCTAGCCATCACGCTCCCCCGTGCCATCACCGTCCAGGCGGCTTCCATTCCGCAGGAGGTCATCTTCCAAAAGGAAGCACCAGGGCACATCGGCGGCGTCGCCAGCGAGAGCAGAGAATGCAGCGCCATAGGCAGAGATTTGCTGGCACGAGGGGTATGTTGCGTGCTAAGACTATGATTTGCGAAAGATGCCTCACCCGAAACCATCACCACAATCAGCAGAACTGACCTTTTGCTGTGTCTTCATTCAGGGTAATGCCATCGATGCCTTGGTCGGCACGACATTCTGTGTTGGCGTTATTGGCATGTATCACTCAGGCATCGGCGGCGGAGGCTTTGCCGTGGTCCGCGATGCAAACGGCGAGTATGAAGCCATCGACTTCAGAGAAGCTGCGCCGGCCGCGGCCTTTGAGGACATGTACAAGAACAACGCCAGCGCAAGCATCCGCGGCGGACTCGCTGTCGGCGTCCCCAGCGAGATCAAGGGGCTCGAGTACATGCACAACAAGTACGGCGTCCTCCCCTGGAAGACGGTCATGCAGGGCGCCATCCATGTGGCTCGCAATGGATTCCGAGGTAGATTTGCTTTGGTTCCCCTGAAAGATTTTCAACGTTGTGCTGATTCGAGTGGCGATAGTCTCGAGCGATCTTGTGCGGTACATGAGTACCACGTTCAAGGCGGACGGAGGGACTTTTCTCACCAAGGATCCCGACTGGGCTGCGGATTTTGCCCCTGACGGTGCGTCTAGAAGATTTGAATCTTCTTCTTTTTTTTTATGAGATGATCTAGACGCTAACTAACTTGTTCTAGGGGATTTGGTCAAAGAAGGTGCCTGGATGACGCGGAAACGCTACGCAGAGTAAGCCAGCCACTCGTTCCTTGGACTATTAAGCTTCGGATAGGATAGAATGCTTACTTGTCCATTCTTCTAGCACCCTTGAGAAGGTTTCCCAGCATGGCTCTGAGATATTTTATTCCGGAGAACTAGGTAAGCCTCAAGCTGACATGTGCCGCTGTAACAGGTTCTAACAACTCATCTGTCAACGTATAGCCGAGACCATTGTCGACTATGTTCGACGCACCGGCGGGACAATGACCCTCGACGACATGACCAACTACAAAGTCGTCATCCGTCCCGTCCACAATGTCACCTATCGAGGTCTCACTCTCCACGGCATCGGTTCCCCCGCCGGCGGCGCCGTCAGTCTCCAGATCCTCAAGATCATGGAGCGGTACGACTCGCAAGACTGGTCTGACCAGGACCTGTCCCGCCATCGCCTCGCCGAAGCCATGCGCTTCGCGTACGCCGCCCGAATCAGCCTCGGCGACCCGGAGTTTGTAGATGCCGACGTCGAGGGCTTTGAAAAGGAGATGCTCGACCCGAGGAACATTGATGCCATCCGCGAGAGGATCTGGGACAACCAGACGCATCCTACCAAGTACTACAACCCAGAGGACTTTTACGTCCCCGAGAACCACGGCACTTCGCACATTGTGGCTGCTGACAAGTCTGGCATGGCCGTCTCCTTGACGACAACCGTCAACCTCCTTTTCGGAGCCCGAATCATCGAGCCCGAAACCGGCATCATCTTGTACGTCTCTCTCCCGTGAAATCAAAACTTGTACAACACCGCCACTAACTCTGTGTCAATCCCCAGAAACAATGAAATGAACGACTTCTCCATCCCCGGCGTCAGCAACGAGTTCGGCTTCGCCCCCTCCGTAGCAAACTACATCCGCCCCGGCAAGCGTCCCCTCTCCTCCATCACCCCCATCATCGCCGCTTTCCCCAACGGCACTCTCTACGCCGCCATCGGCGCCGCCGGCGGCTCCCGAATCATCTCCGCCACGGCCCAGGTGCTATGGCACGTCCTCGATGACCACGACGCCACTCTGGCGGGTGCTCTGCGGCGGCCGCGCCTCCACGATCAGCTCATGCCGAATACCGTCCTGCTGGAAGAAATGTTCGACGACCAAGTGGCCTTGGGATTGGAGAAGAGAGGCCACAACGTGACTTGGGCTCGACCAGGTCTAAGCTCCGTACAGGCTGTCAGGAGATTCACCGACGGTGTGTTTGAGGCGGCGGGCGAGCCGAGACAAAAGAACAGCGCGGGATACACGCTGTAGAGATGGGCATGGAGTTTTGTGAAACGGAGCGTATGGACATGGGTCAATGAATAGAGGTTAGACATTGCAGTGATACCATTAGCATTAGCGCAAACATTTGGTTCTTCTTCTTGAATATGTTCGTCTTGCCGCTTTTTTATTCTATTCTCGAGTTCTACCCATGGCGCAATACTGCCTCCGTAGTCTCTGCCCCAAAAAGCAAGCAATGTCTATACATGTACCCTCCGCTAACCAGTCTATCAATAAAAGAAAAGGGGGTATCTCCTAGTTCTATATACCTAGCATTCTGCAATAAACACGAAACCAAACCATTATTCTTCACCTTCTTCTGCAAAGTGCCACCAGCCGGTCCATCTGCACCAGCCACTTGCCTTCAAATACCTCCTCGGAGAATCTCTTTGCCGATTTCCTCGCGCGTAGGCGCATCGCCAGGGGATCGGGAAGCGAAAGGGCTGCTTCGTATCCTGCTGCAAACTCGGCTGCAGTTGATCCGTGGAAGCCTGTCATCATCCCGTTAGTTTAGTGTTCTCTGTGCCTAGCTTTATTGTTCTCTAGACTTACCCGTTGGCTGACCATCAACTTCGGTGACAATGTCCAGCTTGGGGCCACCGCTATCGTGGACCACGGAAATCAACCCGGCGGCCTGGTATTCCACGACGCCGATTCCAAAGTGCTCGTTCCACATTCCATTGACGCCCACGGAAGCCTTCCTCGACCAGTCAAGAATCTCTGCCCAAGAAGCATTGATATGAAACAGGACACGGTCCTTGATACCGAGCTCATTCGCCATTAGCCGCAGCTTATAGACCCTCTTGGAGTCCGAGTCATCTCGGACGCTTCCAATCAGGACCAGGCGTGCTTTTTCTGCAGCTTCCGTCTTGGTCTTCACAAAATCAGCAAAAGACTGGAGAACAAGCGGGTGGTTCTTTTCAGGGCGAAACTGCGCAATGTAGATGAGAATCGGCTCTCGTTTCTTTTCGCTCCCCGCGGAAACGTCGACCTCCTTCTCGAACTCGCTGACGGCCACCGGGGGATACACGACAGCAATTGGGTTTTCTCGGTCCTTGCCTCGACGGTATGGACCCCACAAGCTCTTTACATGACCCTGGGTCCATGTGGAATTCGTCATGACAACGTCGATGGATGATCCAACAATAGAGTAGAGAAGAGCAAACAAATGCCAATATGCCTTCTTCACCGCCCCCTTGGCCCCGGTGCCCCGGCCAGCATTGACTCCCTGGGAGCCCACAGCAGATGTAGGATCCAGAGATTCCAGCATGTCGGTAGAGATTGTCGGATAGTGTACATAGGCGCCGGTGGGCACGCTCCGGAATAGGAGCTTCGAGAGGCTGAGTGCAAATGCGTAACCCATGGTATCAATAAAAACATCGGGCACCAGCAGGGAGAAGGCATCCCAGGCGAGTACTATCGAACCCAGAGACTGGCCCAGGAGCGTAAAGACTGGCCACCTTGACGCAAGAACCCAGCGTGTCTTGGAGAGGTCGAGGAATTGGACAGTCGGAGCGTGGAGCTGGATATTGAATCGAGTCTACATCTCAGTTTAGTCTGGCAGGCTCTCCGTGTCTCATCTTGATATTGGAATCTCACCTTGATCCGGTTTAGAACCGCACCTTTGGTTAGGGTGCGATCTCCGGTATACACAAAACACTTGGCTCTCGGCCATCGATCTTGCGTCGCACGAATGGCAGCCCACAGAACTCGCTCTCCGCCACCTCCAGCATTGCTGACGCGGTGTTAATGAAATGCAATGGGGAGTCATCGGAGGCACGGCAGCGGAGGGAGGGGCCGCGGCCACTTGGAGAGAATCATACCAGAAGGGGTGGAAGAAGCCAACTACTCCGTCCCAGTCTTTGGAGTCCTTGAGGTTGCCGTTTGCATCCAGGGAATCATTCGTTGTGCTGCCTGACTCTGGGCGCTGTTGCAGGTATTTCTTGTGTTCTTCATCCATCAAGCTGACCAGGTGCTTTCGCGTGCCATCTGTCTTGACTCGCAATATCCATCCGACGCCAGAGGCGATGAGGGGAAGAACAAAGAGCAGAATCAACGGCGAGGTGGCCACAAAAGTCGCAAAGATGGCCATTGAGTAGGAATTAAGCCCAAGAGCAGAAGACGGCCGGCTGCATGTCGCCGCCTCTGCCGAGCACTTGTCCGCCATGGGCAGGCCGGGAAACTCGCCCTCGCTCTGTCTGATACTGGCGATGCCTGGTTTGGGGGTCGAGCTGCTGATTTCTGGTTATTTATTATGTAGATGCCCGCAATGCCACACGCCTTGACGCGACAGCAGGTGGCATTGCCCGAGACAGGGACAATGGAAGAGTGAGAGGTTGCAGAAGGGAAGAAGCATGTGGGGGAATCTGCCTGTATGACTTGCTACTAATGTACGAGTATTGACAGCTTGTCCAGGCCAGTTTGGGACCACTATGAAGCCACTGTCAAGCAATCCTGTGGCGCCAGCTTCAGGCAACTGTGGCTTGAGCGCTGAATGGATTTCTTCGAGACCCACTCACGGGACCTCATCACGCTCAGTCTTTGTTCTCATGACGGCTAGGCTTCTCTATTATTCAGTATATTACAATTGGCCATGTGCTGGATCGAAACTTATCAATCAATCGATGGTATTGTGAACACACAACCTTTGACTGACCTGATTCTGGGCAATTAGAGTCACATTCTGGTCACATTCTCACTCCCATCGGCTTCAAAGCTATGACCGGCCATGGCTTTCTTCAGCAAATCAGTCAAGGGCATCGCCGCCCGTGGTAGCAGATTTTCACCTTCATCTTCACCTTCGCCTTCACATCTCGCCCAAGTCCCCTTTCCTGCAATCCGAAGCAGAACCAGTTCCATCCCAGGACGCCGCAGCTTTCACCTGAGCGCCGTAGGAGATGCCGTCCTGTGGACCGCTGACAGCATCACCTTCATCCACCATGCCGGGCTGCCCTGGTTCATCTCTATTCCCCTCGTAGCTGTCGGCGTCAACTTTTCATTTCGACTCCCGATTCAGTACTACACAAGACGCCTCGTGGTCGCCAGAAACAGATTGACGCCTCTTGTCACAGCCTGGAACTCCCGACATGCGGCGACCGTGCCTCAGGGCCAAGGTGAAGATGCTGCCCGACTCTGGCGGTTGCGGGTGGCTGGCTTGACAGAGAGGTCCCGTGCGCGGATATATAAAAGCTGGGGTGTCCAGAGATGGAAGTCATTTGCCCCTTTCCTGAGCATGGCGCCCTTCATTATCGTCTCGGAAGCTCTGAGACGCCTTTGCGGTGCCCCCACGGGATGGCTCAGTCATTCATTCGGACTGGTGGATATCCAGGCTGTTTCATCAGCCGTAGAGATGTCTCGCCGCTATCTCGATGAATCCCTGGTGGACGGTGGCTGTCTCTGGTTAACAGATCTGACTGCCATGGACCCTTATTATGCGCTTCCCGTCATCTGTTCGGCACTGCTTGCCCGGACGTCATGGGGGAGGTTGTCAAAGGACCAGCTTCGGGCCTTGCTGAGTGTCAGCCCGCCTCAGATGCCACAAACACCAGCTACCAGGATTCGGACGTCTGTAGGCCGAACACTTCTCTTAGTCCCTCTCTTCCCTATCCTCTTTGCCGACCTACCTAGCGCAATTTTCTTGTACTGGGCATCGACATTTGCCCTCAACGATGTCAACGAGGCCATCCTAGGGAGACTATTTCCACAAAAATCACCGGCATCTTTAAAGCCTACACCGAAGCCGATGGCAGTACTGCCATATCTACGAGGAGTGGTGGATTCCAAGGAACAGCCAGGTCCGAATAGATAATAAAATTTTGATTTCAACGCGCTCAAGGTAAAATTCCAAAATTGTCCAAAGTGATCCGAATCCTACCTATATACATCTTCGAAAAAAACGAGGTCAGGACACTGTATAAACCGGCCATAAAGCACGCCTAAACAAAAGAAAAGAATGAAGAGAAGGAAAGAAGGAAAGCAAAAACTCCTTGTAGAAACAATAATCACTAATTAGCCCGGTGTATCGTCTCGCGCAACTCGCCTTCAGCCAATAAAGATGGCCAGAAGCACAATGGTCAAAATGACGGCCATGATGAGTAGCAAGCAGCAGCCCTTGTTGCGCGCCGCCTTTTGGTATCGAGCTGCTTGACGAGTCTCCACGTCGGCGCCGCGGGTGCTTTCGTGGATATTCTCAACGGTATCAGAAATGGTAATGAGCTGCTGGCCCTGCTCGGTAACAATCTGTGCCACTTGCTTGAATAGCACATTCAAGTCGCCAACGCCCTGCTCGATGTTCCGGATTTCCTCTTCTCGCTCGATGATCAGGGCTTCCTGGAAATCCACCTCATCCTGTGGGGCTAGTTGCGATAGTTGCTGCTGCTGTTGCAGTTGTAGCTGTTCCTCCCCCCCGGCGCCAGATATTTCTGATGCCTGCGCCTCTCGGGCTGCGGTGATGGATGCGCGCTCTTTTTCCAGAGCCTTCCTCTGCAGACCCTGGAATTCCTGGAGGGCTGTCTGAAAATCGCTCGAGACCTTTGTCTGTTCGTACTTTTGTTGTTTCTAGCAATATGAGGTCAGCCCATCGTCATTTCGCATGGCAAGATGCAAGCGCAGACGTACGGTAAGGTCCTCCCACGTCTGCAGCTTCTTCACGCCATCGCCAATGTCCTTGCAAATCTCCCGAGACTTCTCCATTGTGTTGTGAACCCGCTCCCGCAAGCGAGGGGTATCTTTCTTGGTCCCCAGGACGTTGACATCGTTGGCAAGCTTGCGGTTATTGCTCAGCAGGGACTGTAGTTTGTCCTTCAGCTCGTACTGAAGGTCTTGGAACGCAGGGTCGTCGGTGTAGCCGGCGCCGCCCTGGCCGGCCTCGAGGTTGGAGAGTCGGTCATATGCCATGGTCGCGGCGGCTGTAGAAACGGAACGGGAAACGCGAATAGGGGAATCTGGTCCGTATTGCTGGTATATAGTGTATAATCGCCGCAGAAGGATGGAAGCTGACAAGAAGCGATGCGATTCTAGCGCTTGCGAGCAACAAAGATGGCCAAGACGAAACCGTTCGGTATGCAAAAAACGGAAGATGAATGAAAGCCGCTGGGACGATGGGGCTCTACGTAACCTGTTGCGACGGCCGAGTTACGACATGCATGCAAGTCACTCGGGCGATGGCGCGCCAATCAGAGGCGACGCCATCCATTCCACTTTTGCTTATCGCCACGTGACGCGCGCGGATAGAGCCAGGCTTGGCGCGTCTAGCGCAGCTCTGCTCAGCTTCTGGTTGCTTAGCCGGTGATTTTTCTTTTATTTACTCCCGTGCATCTCGTCCGCCCGCTCATTGATATCCCATCTCGTCGCCAGCGGCCTTGTTCGACCCGACGTTCCATTGCTCCGAGGGAATGCGCCGCGACCATGGCGGGCACACAAACGCGGCGAGCCCCCTACAAGGACACTCTGCAGCCGGCGTTGCATCGACGCTTCTCCTCAACAGCTAGTCTGTTGTTGGCCGTGTCGTACCTCGAATCGATCCTGCTGAGCAGCTGGGACTCCTGTGAGAAGCCAATCCCTCTTCCCGGCCCTCTAACTGCCTCTCTCTAACCAAGGGCGGGATGGAATGCTACAGATTTCTGGTCCTGGTTCCCTCTAGGCCCGGCAGGCTTTCGAACGCTGCTGCTCTTCACATGCGGCCTCACCATTCTCGTTCTCCGAATCGCCTTTTACCACGTGGGCATCAATACGACAGGCTCGGGCCTGCATCGCTTTGCATCTTCACTTCTCAGCCCCCGAACGTACGAGACAGCCTTTTGGTACGGTACTTCGAGTCTGCTCTACTGCGCCATCTATCTAGGAACGACAGATGAGGACTCAAATCTTGGATGGATCACATACTTTAGTGGCGACCGCGCCAGGCTAAACGAGCGACCCGTCTTCTTGGCCTGCTACATGATCACGTTTGCGCTTGTTCAGACTATTGAGCATCACAGACATGATACCGACCGTCTCGATCTCGGCGCGCTGGAAAGGAAGCCTGCGGCGGAGCAAAAGAACGCGGGTATCATATCAGGATCCCTTCAAGCTGTTCTGGAGGAGCTGCCGATGGCCCTAGCTGAATGCTTCAAGCTGGCACTCATGTCTATACCCGGGACACTCATCCTTTACTTTTTCTTCCTGAGATCGTTTGCCTGGTCGTGGACTTTGACATTCCTCCGTCCGTTCTACAACCTGCCCAGGACTAACATGCTTCCATCGTCTTGGCCCTCGGACATCTATCTTTTGGCTCGTTGTGTTTTGGCAGGAGTTGGTGTTGGATTCTTGTGGGCGGCCGGTAACAAGGCCTTCTCGATTTTCATGGTTAAGAAACCTCTGAAGAACGACAACCCCTTGACGTCTGACTCTAAGGACCCCAACGGCAGTCTACTCAACGGTCTGAAGAGCAAGAAGCTCTCCATCAAGGTAAGGATACGAAATCGGGCCAATATCATGTATGATGTCTTGAATGCTGACAAATGGAATCATAACAGTCCTTTGCCATGTGGGAATTGGCCCTCACAGCGCAGAACTATGGGCCCCGAAGGCAAAGTATTTTCAACGACATTGACCGCCAAGGTGGCCCCATGTGGTCTCAGATATACACAATCTGCATGGAGACTCTCAAAAGCATCGAGTCCAATGTTGATGCCTATGGGCAACCAGCAGCACACGTAGCTCCGGAAGCCGCACAGATTGAAGAAAAGCAACGCTCGTCAGCTCCGTTGAGGGACGATGCCATTTTCACCAGCCAGTCTAGACAGGCAACCCTTCGGACTGGGGTTGAAAGAGCTCTGGACAAACTTGCACGGAACCCCGGCTCAACACCCGCTTCAGAGCTTAGCCCTATCGCTCGCAAAACCTGGCAGAATGCCAAAGACCGAGTGCTGAGCAAAGAACAGCAAGAAGCAGTCTCTCCTGACCATTTAATGGACCAAGCCAGACAGGTGGCCATTCGCCTGATATCAATTGGATGGATCGGCGATCTCATCCGACAAAGCTTCCGAACGCAATTTGCCGCCGCAGTCCTGGGCGGTCCATCGGCCGAGCCAACCTTGCACGCAAACGCGGCCACTGCACTCTGCCAACTGGCGGTGCACAGCTTGGCTGAGGACTCGTATGGCAACGTTCACAGAGATGTCCCCAGCATAATCCGCACCCTGGCATCGATCATCAAGAAAGTGGAGGGGTTGAAGGCACAATTTCCTCTGCATTGGACCGACGTAAGGGGATCAAAGGAGTGTCCCGAGGTGGACGAGCTGGTGGAGGCGTTGAAGACTGGCTTGGAGCAGGTCATTTCCAAATTCGAGCCCTACAGCACTGATCTGAGGCTCACGCCTACCGACTTGCGGATCGCAAAGGAAGCCATTGGGAAACCAGAAGTGCAGAAGACCAAGGCGAGAGAAAGGACGCCCGAGCCCAAAAAAGCCTCCATTGAGACAAGGACGAATGGAGATCGGGCAGAGAGGAAACCCGCACGAGCAGACTTCAAGCGGGTAGAGTTTAAACGGGTAGAGTTCAAGGAGCCGGAGATGGAGCAGGTTCGGTAGCGAAAGCAGGGCTTTGTGAGACGAAGACGAGCTGGATGAGCAAAATGTACTTATAAAATGGGAATTCCTTGGGGGGTGTCATGAATGTCGCATATCGCATGAAGACGATACCGGAGTTTGAGGGATCACTATAATCAACAATACCAAGACACCTGAACTGCATGCTGGCCCGTAGAGAAACAAACAAACAAACAAACAAAGAGAAGAAACAAACAATCGAAACAAGGAAACAAAACAAGACGAATCAGCAGTGTAATATCAAATATTGCCAACTTTGGTACAGCTACACAAGGCAAAAAAGTACCAGCCAAGCCAATACTCTGCTGCAGGGACCAGCACACAAGCGTCTCAGCCACACAAAGTCACGAGTTGTGAACCCAGCAAAGCTGGGCAAAGGTATCCACGATTAGCGGAGCAGGTCCCGCGTACCTTGCATTGCACACGCGAAATGCCTGGTCGCCTAGTACATGTACATCATCGGCCATTGCGCCCCTACGACGCAGTACCTACAGTACCTCAGCATCCATTGATCCTTGCTCCATCCGAGCTCCCGACTAAAGCTTAGTAGCGAGGCGCCTGTAAATTACCTGCTGGGGCCCTGCTGGGCAGGTACAGCTGCACTCGTAATTTCGTCCTCCTGACTGCTTGCTTGTTCCTCCTGACAAACTCTCCTCTCCTCTCCCCCCATGACATGACGATATCGCCCTTTTGCCTCCCCTCAACAGCACTTACGGCAGCGTCTCGGATGATTCCCCAGCAGCCATAGCCATGCGACCGCGATTGTTCTCGTTATCCGAATCAGAAGGGCGGCGACGAATCAGTTGAGACCAGCTCCCGGGCGCGTTGTCGCCATGGCGCATCACAACCTTTTCTTGCGTATCCTCTACAGGTCCCTGTACCTGTTCCTCTACGTCGTGCTTTGCGGCCTGCTTCTCATTACGCCGAGCGACGCCATCCAGCGATCCGTGGTCAACAGGCAGTGGTACAACATCTGGATCATCGCGTCGGGCTACGTCGTCACCGTCTTCATCGTCGGCTTTGTCTACGTTGTGCGGCTGTACGTCAATCGGACGGTGCTGGCGTCGATCCCCAAGTCGTGGGTGCCCATCGACAAGGGCGACGTCAAGGAGGCGGTTTATAAGGTGATTGGGGCTGGGCTGAGCAAGAGCTCGGCGATTGCGTATGCTGCGCGGCCAAGGGTTGACGAGGAGATGATGGGGGACGATCAGGATGAGGACGACTTGGAGGACGAAGCGCGCACGCGAACCAAACTGATGGCGTGGAAGGAAGAAGCACTGGAACGAGACGAGCCGATTCCCATGCCGCCGCATCGTCCCGTCTGGGGCGTCATCGAACACTGCGGCTGGGCGTCTCCCAACTCGCCGGACCTTGCCAACCTGCAGTACGGCAATGTCGTTGCTGAAGTTCCGAATCTCATAGAGGCGCAAGCGCTTCGACTTGCGCCGTCGGACCCGACCTCTCAAACCGACCCTCCGATGCTGGATCCCGAAGCTGCAGAATTGTTGCAAAGACTCCCCAGCATGAGTCTCCGAGACTACTTTGGCCATTTGGCCAGTCTGGGTGTTGCCGTCATGGACGAAACGGTGGCCGAATTCCTGTCGAAATACGAAATCGCTCGTTTCTCCACGAAACCAATCTCCAATCCCGAGTTCCGCGAGCTGATGCATCTCTTTGCGGAAATCTTGCGATCGATACAGCCTTTGGACCCCACGGTCCTGGATCACCTATATGAAGAAGACGAAGAGGAGGGGGGGAGGATGCATAGGATGGCGACACCAGAAAGCGACATCGACAACGATGCTCCTGCGGAGACGATTCCGTCTACTCCAAGAACTATATCACGACCCTCCACGGCTAGTACTCAGCGCTCTGTTCAGAGACGGACAAGGCGGCGCACCAATACATATCGTACGGCGCCGAGTACACCCGGCAGCAGAAGACACATGGACATGACATCAGGCAGCGTCAGCACCAGTGGCTTTGCGCAGATGCGACGCACTTACACCTCCAGCCAGCACTCATCAGCCGCCAGCCTGCGATCCAAGTCGTCGGATGGCTCAGGATCCGTCATCCGTCTGGCAGACAGTGGGGACGCCAGTGATCTGCCATACATTCTTTCCTTGACGGAATCAACGGCGACGAGATATTGAGTCCCAGGCTGCCCGGGGGGGGAACTTGACGAATGCTACGCTGCGATGGGTTTGTATTAAAAATAGACTGTAACTTTTTATCGATGACGGCTCCAGAGGCCAGAGAGGATACGAGAGGGTGAAAAAGATATCGAGTACTTTTGTGATTTTAGACGAATAATTATATATACATAATTTCATTGGCTCAATCGGCCATAATTTTTCTTTTACTCCGTACATTGCTTTCACAATTCTGTTACCGTGTACTCCGTATTCGCAAGAATGATTGATTGATGTTTCTAGAAGCAGGCAGCTGTTTTCCCAACGGAGTAACTAAAAAGACCCCACTGAAGCTCCCAGTGCTCAAGAGTGACGCTACTCCAACCTTTTTTTTTTCTTTTTCCCAGCGACTTTTGTCCTGTCATTCGATATCCTCCTCACATTCGATAAACCCAACCACGGATTTCTCTCAAAGTTTCTTGCGCCCATTGCCATATCAAATTCAATCCAAGATTCACACAAACAATGCAGTCATAACAGCGACAACCCGAACATAATCCACCTCAGAAATCAAATCCATCTCAGCATCTTCCCAACAATGCCGCCAACCTCGTCAAAACCACCTCCCCTCCCCCTCGCCCCCGACCGCGCCGCCATAGCCAACAAAATCTCCCTGCTCCTATCCAACCGCACATCCCTCCTCAAAACACTCAACCCTTCCTCCTCTCCAACAGCGCGGCAAACGACGACGCGCCGGCATAATGTCAACGCAGACGACATTGAGCAGCTTTTTTCGGGGCCTCGGCCCAACGAGGGCGTGGGCTACGTTGCCGACCGGAAAGCCGCGCCTGCGACGGAGGACAGGATGCTGAGGCGGAGGTTGTTGGGCAAGGGGCAGAGGAATGGGAAGGGGGAGAAGAAGAGGTTTGCTGTGGAGAGTGAGAGCGATGAGGAGCCTGGGAGGAGTGGGCTGGGGAAGAGGAAGAGGAGGAGGAGGGAAGTGGGAGAATCTGAGGAAGTGGGAGAAGAGCTGGGGGGGGATGAGGTTGAAGATGAGGGAACTGGTCATGTTGAGGATGCTGCTCTGGTACTACAACAACAAGAAGAAGAAGAAGAGGTGATGGCGGATTCCAACGGCGGGGATGATGCGAAGCGGAATAAGAAGAAGAAGAAGAGGCAGAGGGAAAAAGAAAAGCAGAAGCTGAAGAAACTCGGCAATGCCTCATCATAATTCTACCAATTCCTTCATCCTCAAGGAGCTTCTACCAATTTCTCATCATCAAGAAGCTTCTACCATTTCCTCACCACCAAGAAGCACAAAAGAACAAAAAGCGGCCAATATCAAAAATATTATAACCATCCTATAATACTTTTTTTTACCAACAACATAAAAACTCACGAGAGATCTCTCCTATATACTTTATCCCCACCATCCCTTCCGAAAAAGAAATAATATCTCTCAGGTCAAACCCCCTCTCACTTCTCCTCCCTTGATATTAACCGCCAGAACAGCAATCTTTCCCCTCCTCTTCCTTTAGCTTCTCTTTGCTGTTCCCTTTCGCGAGAGCCACATCATCTTCAACCCGACCAAAAGAATCTAGACCTTTCCATCCTGACTTTTATGCCTTTCCACCAGGCTAAAGAAGAAACAAAAAAAAAGCCAGTTTCCTCCTCTTACTACGACGGTCAAAAAGCAGTAGTCCAAATCAGATCCCAAGATTTTTTTAAAAGATTCAGCAACTTTTGTTCGGCGTTTCAACGACGGATAGGGAGGGTAGCCTCAAGACGTGGTAGGATATGAGATATTTCTAGCAGGCCATATTCCATCAAGGATCGTATTAAGAGGCTCGATAAAAAAATGATTAACGCCAACTGATGTCGTTCCCTGGTAATGTCAAATAGACATATTAATCAAGAAGAAAGGGGAAAGGCGAGGTAGCTCCACAAATTGAAGTATGTTTTTTGTAGTGTGCCATGGAGGTGGTCAAGATCCAGTCCAAGGATGTTGTTTGTTATTATACAATCGAAAGTGAATGCGAATGTGTAAACTCGGAAACGGCCGTCACCTTTGAGCGTAGCTCAAAGAATCTGATCGGCCGTGATGCTGCCATGCCTAAGTATCCAATCTGGATTTGCAAAACAATAAAACATAAAAAAAGTAAACCAAGAAAAACACTAAAGAAAACCGAAGAAGAAGAAAAACATGCGTGAGGTATTGATATTTCTTTCAAACGCCAGCCTCAGAATGCGACCCCTTGGTCGTAAAGCAGCGCCAGAACTCATGCGCCGTGGTCATGATCCATCCTTCCTTTCCATCCGAACGTTACATGCCCGAGGCTTTCGACACCGCATCACTGTCTTCGTTTCCGCTTTCTGTCATCGTCGCCACGGGGATCTTCGTCTTCGTCTGATCGTTCAGCAGTATCGCTAGGGTTGAGAATATGCGCCATGCTCCCTCTCCTGGTAGGAGGCGCCGATGATTCCTTCAAGGCCCCAATCGTTTTGCTCTCGCGGTTCGATGCCGAGTTCCACGACCAGCTGCCAAACGTGTCCGAGCCACCGCTCGCGCCATTAGAAAAGGGGACATGTGGTGGCGTCGCGGGCCGTGAGTGGGGGTGGCCGTGAGTGGGCGGAGCTTGCAGGGAGAATGAAGAGAGAGAGTCTCTTATCCTCAGATCCTCTGGCGCAAGTCGGTTGGGAGACTGAGGCCACACGGGCGGCGGCACAGTTCCTGACGGGAAAGGAGGCGCATTTGGTTGCCATCCGTGTGCGCGAATGTCGGCGGCAGTATGGCGTCTAGCCAAGCTGTTGGGAACTGTCTCCACGTTGGAAAGGGGGTGAGGACCCGGAGGCGGAGCCGGCGCGGCATTGCGCAGAGGTGAAGATCCAGCACCGCCGCTGATGGATCCGTAGGGTCGTCGCGTGCCGACGGACAGGTTGGAGGGAACGGCTGGGCGGTAAGATGGCTGGTTTCGGCCCTGTGGGACGTTGAGAGTGACTCGTCTGGTGTCATCCTGCGGTAGCTGTCTGGGCGAGACGGGCGCGTTGTCGACAGTGCCGAAGAACTGTTGCCGGGCAGAATATACGGGTTCGTGTGGCTCGTCGAGTGAGCGCAGCATTTCTGCTTGCCTGACCATTTCGCCCTGGATCGACAAGACTTGAAAGCGTTCATGTTAGCCTCATCATATCTAGCTTTTTTTTTGAGCCAGATTGTTCAATGTGTGACGTACCATCTCGATGAACAGGATTGTCCGGAGGCACAAGCGACAGCAGTCCTTTGGACAGTTCCTGGTTGAAGTAGAGCAGTCGACTTAGTGTCTCCATGACTGCTTGGTTCTTAACATGCATGTAATGGGCCGATTCTTCGCTTCTCTGAAGTCTTGCCGCCGTATCATATAATGAGTGCTCCAAATTGGCCAGTCGAGCGTCAATGCTATCTGGCGGGACCTGAACAGGCTCGACTGGAGTGCCGGGTTGAGAGGTGGAGGTCTTGGGAAAGGTGTTCTCTCGGTTGACGAGAGCGTGTCGGCTCGCACGACGCTTGATTTCTCGAAGACCAACGAGGTCGCCACGCTTGAAGTTGCCGTTGCCGTGCTTGAACTCCCACAGAGTTGTTTCGGGGTTGCCGGTATGAAATACGTCCCGTTCTAGATGAGAGTGTGAGCACCTCTGTGCTTGGTCTGTTCAAGGATTAATGTAAACGGAAGCGGTCGGTACCTTTATGAAACCCATACATGTTGAGCTGCCGAACAAAGGACGAGATGTTGGTGTGCTTGAAGTATTGACTAAGAGGGCGAGGGTGAGCACATTCGTCAGGCCAGAGGCTGTTTGTCGAGGGGTTGCTTACGATAGTACCTTGGAGAAGTCGGCCGAGGGGGACATGACGAAACTTTCGGCGGATGATGACCACGAGATGAGATGTTGTATACTGGTATCCTCCAGCATGCTGCTTGCACCATCAGTAGCCGTCGCTAGGTCCGGGGGCACCCGGCGAGTTGACGAAAGGGAGCAGAGGGGTTCAGGATCCTCACTTGTATAGCTTGTGGATGAAGGCAGTCTGGACGATTTTGGGCTGATGAACAGCGGCCGCGGCGGCCGGAGGAGGCGCGGGCATGTTGATTGAGGTCGTCACGGCGGTGTGCTCCTGCGGCGATGTGTTGCCGGGTCGGGAGACGGCCGGCTTGCCATTGGCGCCAGGGTCGGAGTCGGGGCCGTGGGCGGTAGGCGAGTTGTCCTCTGGCGATGTGCCCTCCATCGGATGGTCGACGGGACTAGGTGGAGACATGCTGATGGTAGGTGGCGGTACGGAGACGGAGATGGAAACGGGGACGATTCGGGAGCCGGGCGAGTCTTGAAGTCTATCGATTGCCGGAATGGATTTCTGAGAGGTCTCAGTCCTGTGGGCCATCTGTACTGTCCCCATTGCGGTCAGCCAGCGATGGAATGGGATGTCCAGCGTGTGAATTGGGGAGAGTGAGGGGGTGGCAGGGGGGGGTCAGAGAGAAGAAGGTGATGGTTCAGGATTTGTAGCGGCGTCGAGGAGGAGAGGCGGGATGTGAGGAGGAAAAGCGACGGGCGGGCAGGCGGGCAAGGAGGCGCAAAGAAGAGCTCGGAGCTGCGACAACCGGCATTGGCTAGCTCAGGGAAGCTCCGTGGACTAGCTACCTGTACTCACCTCACCTCATGTCTGCGGGATGCAGCACTTTTGGGGTCGCAAGATGGAGGACAGGCGTGTCGTGTTGTTGCAGTTTGGGTGGAGTCGAAGCAGCAATGGAGATGACAAAAGTTCTCGAGTTTTCTATTTGTTCGTCGAGGGCCGCACACGCCCACACCGCAGCAGACAGACAGACGGTCTCGGTCTCGGGCTCCAGGCACAGGCACAGGCACAGGCACAGGCACACAGGCGTCGAGAGAGATCAGCCTCGCATTGGAGAGCCAGGCCCCGGGGAGCTTCTAGAAGCGGCAGCGTGTTGCCAGAGACTGCGGACAACAGCAGCGACGGCGCCGGCGCGAGGGCGCACACGGAGGTAAGCTGTGTGTGCGTATGTACGGAGCAGCTGTAATGCGCTGCACGATGCTAGTGGGCGAGGGCGAGGGCCACTAGCAGCAAAGAGAGAGAGCTCGACGATGCAGCGGCAGAGGCGACTTTTTGGGGGGGGGGCGAGGCGGTGACGGTCGAGGCACGTCCGGGAACAAGATGCGCGGGCCAGAGGAGAAAAAAAGAAACAAGGGGAAAGAGAAAAAAAAGATGATGAGGACGACGATGATGCACAGCTGCGGCCCGTCGAAACAGCAGCGCAGAAGCTCGCGTAGGGTTGATGTGTCTCAGCGACGACGGTGCAACCAGACGGAGCAGAACCGTTACGGAGGTGGGATTAACTGAGGTGTGCTGTACTTGTACATGCAATGACCGGGGGGGGGAGAAGCTGGAGGTTCAATGCTGGATCGGTATGCAGTACTTGCGCCGCCCATTATTAGATAAGTCGTGCTCTTGTACCGCAGCAGGGTGCGGCACGGAGCAATGGCCGCTGGCAGGTACCTCGAGGGGTCGGCAAACCGGACTGCGGTGTACCTTGTGGCAGTACCTACAGGTGGTGGGCGGCAAGTACCGGGTACCGCGCCTGTGCTGGGAGGCTTTAGGCTTTAGGCCGAGCCGCGACGGGGGACGGATGGAGCTGTCGGCAGCTTTTTGCGCCAGGGCTTCTTGGGGACCTTGGCAGGTAGAGATACACGGACATTGGATCGAGATACCTTAGTACTATAAAACCTACAGTCTCGATAAGATGGATGGATTCCTCATGGCGCAAGTTGAGGCGAAGAGCGAGAGGCACCAGACGGTACGCGTATCAGTGACATGGAAAGGGCTGAGCTGATGCCCGGATATCGATCTACAGCATTGGTAGAATACAAGGTTTTGCCCACCAACGAACAGAACAGCTCAAGCTTACAGCAGGTAGGTGTTCGTATTGGTTGATTGATTGATACCGATGCCGCTGTCAACAAGCCTCTTTCGGAGCTCGGGAACCCCTTCACAGGCCCGAGGTCCAGGCTTTAGGTAATGCGGCGAGCGCCTTGTACGTAATGCTGGCATGACGGAACACTTGCGGAAGGGCGTGGAGAAGCCAACATTTGACGCCCAAAGATCAGATGCAACATGACGACCGTGACCGGCATCCAACGGCCTTTGACTGACTGACGAGGTTCCCCATGATTATGATTTACACCTACTAACCATGGATGTCAAATTCTTGCTTCAACAGGGTCAGACTGCCAAGTTCCAAGCTACAGACAGACCAGGGACCGACGTTGCCCATGTTTGCCAGGCAAGGTAGCTAATCAAACCATGGCACTAAAGACACTACTCGTAGCAATAAAAGCTTGATGCTACAAAACACTGGGGAATCGGGCAAATAGAACTGAGCATTCTTCCATTTCTCCAGAGACCAGGATCACGGAACACGTACAGGTACATGCAGTACTTTGTGTCCAACCAAACTCAGTACTTGGACTGCTCATACGAGTACTAGCCGCCGCCGGCAATCTTTCCTCGGACCAGATTGAGAACTTGAATGTGTCTCTTCCTCACCAAGGCTGGGCGGGCAGATACTAGATCCGATCTCACCAGCAAGGTGAGATGGATTCAGCCATAGGTCCGAAAGAAGAGGCCCCTCCCCGCAACGAAACCTGCGCACAGACAAGGAGGCTTTTATTGGTGGCTTGCTGACAGGCCGTCAAACCGACCACAGGGAGATTTGGCAATGGATGGGGTTTGATGGACGGTGGGTAGCACAGAATCAAGGATGCAATCTACCATCTACCTATAGGTACCTTGCTTGTATGTACCTGTATATAGTGGTGGTGGTATGTACCCATCTATATACTTGGTTTAAAAAGGTCGATCCAATCATGAATACCGTTGTCAAGATAAGATGAAGCAATTACAGAAACATCATCACATGGACGTCTCCCATGAGCAAATGAACACTTTCACATGAAATTTGATGCAATCCAGAATCCAGAAAAAAGGGCTCCCTTATCTACTAGTAGCTCCTCCGTGCTAACCTGCCTTTGGTAGCTGCCCAGTCTTACGTCGGCGGCGCCAAATCTCATCCCCGTTCTTTTTCTTCTGCTTCTGAGGAGTAAAGGAGGCCGTTCTGGCACTTTTCCGTCGGTGCGTCTTTGCACGGATTGGCTGCTACTTAGTAGTTGCATGTAGACAGTTGCACGAAGCTACCTACATGCAGTACCTACAGCACCCAGTCATGCCCTGTTCTGCTCATCCAAGGCAGCCATCAGATGCATTGCCAAATTCCCATCAGTGCCAGCGCATCCCGTGATTCCGGTCCTGGCACACGCGGAGCTCCATTAGCCACAAGTCTCCATGCTAGCATCAGCATCAGATCAGCATCAACAAACCAAACCAAACCAATGGCCACAATCAACTTATTCAGCAGCCATGTTCCATTTTCCATCTTCTCCATGCTAAAACAGCTCAATGCTAGTGGCTAGCTAAGCTAGTGAGTATAGCTTCCACCTACTATGGGTACTATCTACACAATCTTCCAAGCCTGCTGCCGAAAAAGCTGCTGCCTGAATGTACTCGGTATGTTTGCCCATCAAATCCCCCCAATGGGCCCGCAGCCACTTCACCTACCTGCACTCGAACCGGTGAATTGACCTCCATTGATCCAGCAAATGCCAGTACGGGGTCGGCCAAGTCTCCTCCCCAATAGGCCGAATATCAATCCGTGGCACCACAGCAACGAATTGGTTAATTTGCTGGCTGCATGTCCCGCCCGTCCGTGCATATGTACGAGTGCGTACGACACTCACCGATCCGCAGGGGGGGATATGGATATGGATATGGATACGGACTCGGGCCAAGAAAGACGACGGGACTTTTCTCCAATGCTTTTGCTGTAGCGAGATGGCCCAAATACTTGCTACCAACCTACCGTGCCTGTACGATTACGATTACAGTACTCATACCGGGCGTATGCACCCCTTTTTTTTTTTTGGGAATGTCTATGTACCTTTTTCTTCACAGTACAGGTGCCTGTAAGTAGAATGTACTCCGCATTACTCGTATGTGCCTCTCTGCTGGGGAGGGTATCATTTACACCCCAAAGAAGCCCTCGGTGTTTCCCACCGCCCGTCTCACCAACATCAAATGCTTCAAGTTGTCGATTCGAGGCTCTGCTCTGCAACCAGAACCATGGAAGCTAAACCCAATCATGTCACCGTCCCTGCAAGTTGTCAGATTCCTCTTTCTGCCTCTGCCCGCGCTTTGCTCGAGGCGGCACTATTTCGTGCAAGAGACCGAGCTGCTGCGGCGCTAACAGCTGCCGATCTCGGGATGTTGCCAAATTATATTAACTGTTGCCGTCAGATCGGCGCGCGGCATAACACCCTGGCAGCCCTTGTTTTTTTGCCGTCTTGTTTTTTATTTTTCTCTCTCTGTATCTCTCGCTGCTTTTGCTTTTGCCCGTCGGCCTCCCCCCTTTCTGCCCCTGGCATCAAGGTACTCCGTTCAAGTACATACGATACGAGTACATGACGCCAGCCAACCGGCCACACTACCTAACCAGATAACTTGCACCAAGGAGGAAATATCCGGCGAATGGCTGCATGAGGAGCATGCCTACCTACGAGTATACAGAACATGTTGCCGGTTTCATTTAAAGGAAAAAGATGCCGTCGAATAAACGAAGAAATAGAGTAAAATACATCCCGTCTTGGCTCGGATAAACACCGCCTTAGTACTAAGGTAGGCAAACTCATGCATCTTGGCATTGGTGGCATCGACCAACACAGACGGCATCAGATACTGCAAACATACATACGACATCCATGATTCTCAATTGAAAAAAAAAAACGGTGCAGTCACTCCTGGTTCTGTTCTAGGCACCGACTTAATCAAAGCGGTATAGCAATAGAAAAAAAAAAAGGACGGAGCCGAGGGCGTGAAACCACCTGCATAGTCCCGCCAACCCTCTCCAAAAGCCCGAGGTTTACTCGTACATACAATCCCCTTCTCCCCCTACCTATAGGTACTTTCTGAAGAGCTTTGATCACATCTGGCCCGTGCAGGTGCCCTCGTAGGAATTTGCAAAATAGGGCAAACCACATGTTCCGTAGATGGATGCTTTGCCCGTACTATCCCTGCCCTGCTTGTTATTTTTCTTTTCTTTTCTTTTTTCTTGTTGCTGTTTTTCTGAGCGAGAGCCGGTAACCGATATTGCTCAATGTACTTCCGTATTTTGGAGCTACGGGACAATACTTTAGTACCGTAGGCAGTTCCGTGATAAGCCCGGATCATCGAGGTGATGCTTATTTCTCCGTGACCCTAGGAGGGTGGTGTAGCTATCTACCCGAGCAGCGGGAGAGCAGTACTACTATATCATCCATGATATTCTGGCATTCTCAGCTTCGATATTCTCCTGACTCACTTACAGCCCAGCACACCTAAAAAGACTGCCAAGCTACAACAGGTACTCCAAAACATAAAGTCCCCCCCACGCAACATTTTCGAAACAAAAAATCCATCCTACTTTAGCACGGAACAAAAAGGTTCTTTTGTTGCAACCAAACCAAACCAAACCAAAACCCCCCCTGTTACACCCCTCGGGCGAACTAGCCCTGTACGCATTGAGACGTGCAGCAAGAGAATACTCGTAGCGGGCACTGAAAACGGTCGAAACCCCCGACCTGATTCCAGAGTTCCCACCATCCACTGTCCCGAAAAAAGTAGGCTTCCAAAAGAAGGGATACGCTGTAATTCCGAACCCCGGTTTTGGGGTCTCTCCGTTCTTTTGAGCGGGAGGGAGGGGGCAAAAGGAAGAAGAAAGAAGAAACAAGTCCTTTTATCCGAGGTAAACAGAGGGAGAGAGAGAGAAAGAGAGGAAGTGAGATGCCCCCATTACTTCGTACTTGTGCATCGGGGCAACCGACCAGAACTTCTTCTAGCTCCCGCCACTTCTTGCAACTTTGGGATCTTTTGTGTTATACAGCCGCGGTCAAGACGCTTAGCTCCCCGAACCTCACGAAAGCTTTACGAATTACTTTTTTCCATTTTCAGCCAACATTAGCAAATGGTAGTATGGTGCACGTTTATTCTCCAGTTCAGTTTTTCCACCTTGGATTTTAGGAGTGTTACATAATGTAGGTAGTTCGGAATGTCAGTATCGAATATTCCCCGCCTCTAGAGAACGGGACATTTTCACAGTCTGCGATAGTGTAGCCTCTAAAGCGACCTGGAGCGTATTATTTACTAGACTTGGGCTAGGAGGCGGGTCGAATAGGGAATACTACACGTTCCGTTTAGAAATGCCTCTCTTGCCCAATGCCGCTGGCGTCGATGGGCATTGAGATGAGATCGAGCAACGAGACAAGCAGATGATGCTTCCTTGCCGGGTAAGAAACTACCTAGGTACCTGTACCTAGCACAAGTACACACTCCAGAGTACCTAGCTCAAGAGTTGGAATACTTGTGCCAAACAAGCCGTACTAAGGCCAATTGGCTCATAAGATATACTAGTAGTAGTAAATAGCAGAAAACAGACGTCTAAACTGACCAATAACTCGTGGTACCTTAGTATGCTTATCAAGAAATCTTGAAATTTCAACGGATATGCCCTCGAAACTTGATTCGACATTGTAAACCCCTTAGGTCACCATAATGAATACCAATTCACCAACCAAGAGTGCCATCATTTCACGCCTTCAAAACCTACCGAGTCTGAAGAGCTATATACCCATGCCAATCCATCAGCCAAATGCCAATCGTCAACCTTGCTTGTACTACACATTTTCCCACACCTCGTCAAACCAAAATCCCCAAAAACCCATGAAACTCTCCCATCCATACCCGCCCCCCTAATCAAACTATAACAACAAGTATAAACCATTCTTCCTCACAGCCATAATTCCGACGCTCCGCTCACAAATCATCGTCACCACTCACCCTATTCTCTCCAACCTCCCGAATCTTCTCCCCCAGAATCGTACGCCCGTACCGCTCTGCAACTTTGTACGCCGCCTCCATCATCCGGCCAGTGCGGTCACGCATCAGTTCCACCAACTCGAGCGCACGCATGCCCCTATCCTCGCCTTCGCGGCACTCCACCGCCAGGAGCTGCAGAAGCGTCTTGTCAATCTCCAGCTCGACCCGCGATAACAGAGAGCGCTGGGAATGACTTCCGCTGGTGGCCTCGACAAGGTCACGGAGCTGAGCTGCCTGCACGCCCTTGAGCATGAACAGCTGCTCCAGTTTCTTCGTCTCGGCGCCTTCCTCCTCCTCCTCGTCATCATCTTCGTCCATTGCGTCATCCTCCCCATTACCTGAATTTTCCTTGCTCTTCTTTGACTTGGGTTCCTCCAGTGAGTGCAGGGGAATCGAAAAGTCAAACTCCGAGAGCAGCGGCCGAGGAAAGTATGGGTACTGGTCGCCACCCTTGAGGATAATGCAGTGGAATTTGTTTTCCGCCACGGCAATGGGGAAATACGTCTCAGTCTTTCGACCAGAGGCAAGACGGGATAGAAGCTTGGTATCTAGAAGAGGCACCCAAGAGGCCCGTGACGGCTGACGCCAGTGCAGCAATGTCAGCAGCGTCCCCGTCGAGTCATAAATACAAGGATCCTAATAACCAGCTGTTAGAACTGCGCGTCATCTCTGTACATAGATGTAGACTAATGTTTTGACAAGACTTACACCAATGTCAGAAAAGAAGGCGCTCTTCAAAGTTGCGCCTTCGGGAAGTGCCACTGTGTCTTCGTTCTGGCAAATCTCGTCCCTCTTGACATTCTCAATGGTATATTGGAGGCGTGTGTTTCCGTCAGCCGTGACAGGGCCGTTGCCTATCGTGAGAACGTAATCTCTCCAGCTGGCACATGTAACCATGGGCGTGCTCTTGGGGCGATAGACCCGGTACGGTATTCCAAACAGTGTAAAAATGCGCACATAGTTGGCGCTCGTCACGACAGTAACAAAGGACTCGCTCAGTGACATGGCTGTAACGGCCTCCCCCTTGGGAAGCTGTGTCCGCCAGTCGGATCGCTGCGTCCAGGTTTCATGAGGACGATAGAATATAGTCGCCGGCTGATCGTCTTTTGGGGGGCACGAGAACAGAGTGCCTCGCTCATTGAGACATGCCTTGTCGTACAGAAAGGTGTCTGTGAAGTGAAAGTCTCTCTGAAACTCATGGTCGTAAAACTCCACGGTGACGGTATGGTGCCCGTCTTGATCCACTGTCCAGACGAATCCAATGAGATTCAAGCAGAGATACTTTCGGTTCCCCCTCCATGGTGTTGACCCGGGCTGAAACGCCTCGTGATACTGGGGATCCAGGAGATGCCTCCTCTTGTTGGCGTAGTCACCGGCACCTTCATCACCCACACGGCCTCTCTTCTGGCCGGTTGTATACCCAGCACCGTCGTCATCAACAACAAAGCCATCGTCATCGCCATCTGCATAGTTTTCATCCTCTAGATATGAGTCAAGACTGCCCAAAGAGTCTCGGCGAGGACGCGTGGGAATGTCGCGCTTCTGGCCATTGACCGCCGGAGCCCTTCTGTTGGCAGATATTTCCAATAGGGGATCGTGGATAAAGGGCGCTGGCTGCACCGGCAGCTTCAGCATCGGAGAGTATTGGTCGGAGAGAAAGTCGGGGTATATGTACACCTCTCCCTCCGCCGTCGTGAAGGAGAGAATGTTTTTGGACGGGTGCCACGCCAGGTCGATGACGTTGGAATACTCGTAACGCTGAATCACGTTTTGCGTGCTGGTCTCCCAGATCAGGACCTTTCCGCCCTTGCAGGCCGACGCCAGCATGACGCCGTTGGGCGACCAGGCGAGGGCGGTGATATCTGCCGAGTGGCCATTGGTAAAGGAGCGCTGCTTCTCCCAGTCGTTCTTGGATACGACTTGGATATCCCGCGTCGGCGTCGCGACAGCAAATGCCCTGCCGTCTGGATGCCATACAGCCTTGACCGAAGCTTCTGAATCTGCATCCCCAGCGCCAATCACCCCGTCCACCTTGTGTATCAGCTCAGGCTGCTCTGCCGTCAGAGAGTAGATGTATATGATTCCGTCCACGCAGGATATGGCGGCAATCCGGCCGTTGGGATCCAGGCTGACATATCGAGCGGCGCGGCCGTGCTCGTTGAGGTGCCGCAGCTGCTTGATGTCCTGCGTATTCACCACCTTGACGGTCAACTCGTCGCTGGCTACGGCGCACCACTGCGAGTCTGCGGAAAGCGCCACATCTCGCACCGGGAGCGACGTTCGCACGAGGAAGCGCTCAAAGTTGGACGTGGCGAGCGAGTACAGGCTGACGGTGCCGTCCTCGGAGCCGACGACGAAGAAGTCCTGAGCCGCAGCCACAGCAACGTTCTGCTCCTGGCAATCGTCAATGTTTGTCGGTTCGCCGTCGGAGCCCGTCTTGTAGAGCCGGATGGTGTTGTTGGAGCCCACGGTGACCAGCCGGCTGCCATCCTTGGTGTATGCGCATCGAGTCGTGCCTTGCGTGTGCGCAGGCCTCGGTCGAGGACGAGGAGCAGCTGTCGAGTCCATGATGGCAGCCTGTCGTTCGTTAGATTCAGTGCATGGGAGAATCTTGGAAGCTCTGGGTTCAGGCTTCAGTGCAGGGAGACGCGTCTAAGCGCGTATCAATTAAAGTCTGGGCGGTGTCGCGGCCCCGCGGTTGGATTTTAGCAGCAGCTTGTCTTGTCAGTTGAGCCCCGCCATTTGCTGTTATTTTGGGCCGCTGAATTCAAAAGTTTGGCGGGAGCCTAGCTGGCCATGCTTGCATCAAAATGTTAATAATCATCACGATATATTCTTTTGTTCAAATTTATTCGGCAGCCTAATTCATCCCTGGACGTCTTGATAGCATATAAACCGGCGTTGTGCCATCTCTTCCCCTTCCTCTTCATCTCGTCACTAGTCAAGATATTCCATCGCCATCCCCGTTACAAATCACACACCCCACCGCCATGGAGACTTCAGATCGAGACGCCTTCTTCCAAACCGAGTGAGTTGGAAAGGAGACCCCCTGGAATTCCTTTTACTTGCTCATTCTAATCATTGTCACAGTGCCTCCAACGCTGAGAGAGAGCGCAAGGCTCTCAAAGCTGGCAACAAGAATGGAGACCCAATTGCCATGAAGTCCAAGATTCTGGCTGCGGTCCCTGACCCCTTTTCCCCTTCAACCGCCATTTTCATCGCGGAATCAGCAGGCTTTGCCCGCCGCATAGACCTCGCAGTGAGTCATCAGCCGTAGCCAGTAATTATACATGACACGAAAAAGCTCATCACTCACCCACTGCTTCTAGTCTGCTGCAACAAAATCAACCTATCGAGGACCCAAGGCCCCCGTGACGTGTGTCGCCATTGGAGGCAGCGGGAACAAGACCGTCTTTGCCGGCTCATGGGACAAGGACATCTGGTCGTGGGACGTCGAGACGGCTCAGCTCGGACGCAAGTTCAGCGGCCACTCGGACTTCATCAAGGTCGTCATCTGCACCAAGGTATCCGGCAAGGAGATCCTCATCAGCGGCGGTGCAGACAAGAAGATCTTGGTCTGGGACATTGAGTCTGGCAAGCGCCTTCACACCCTCCAAGACCCAACCACGACAATGCTAGCCGTGCAGCACCTTGCCATCGACCCTGTCCTGAGCACGCCTGATGCCGTGGTCATCGCGAGCGCGAGCAGTGACCCTCACATCCGCCGATGGAAAATCACAGCCACTGGCTTCGAGCAGCTAACCGAGGCGTTCCATGACCGGCCCGACGCCGAGAAGCTCACCATTGCGGAACACGAGACGAGCGTCTACAAGCTGGTATACGACCTCGATAGCGACGAGGGCGATCTCTGGACGGCGAGCGCGGACGGCACCGCGAAATGTCTCGCTCGGGCTCGCAACTTTGAGGCCGACGATGTCTTTGCGCACGGGGACTACGTCCGCGCCGTGATTCCTACGGAAAGCTGGGTTGTTACTGCGGGACGAGACGAGAATGTCAAGGTCTGGGACAGGTCTTCAGGCAAGCTGTATTGCACACTGGAGGGACACTACGAGGAAGTGACGGATCTGATCCTGCTGCGTAACTCGCGAGGATTACCTGAAAAGGTTTGCAGTGTCAGCATCGACGGCACCATCCGTACGTGGCCTCTGAGCAAGGGCGAGTTGGACGAGGCAATCAAGAAGATTGAAGAGTCCAAGAGGCCGGTAGAACGAGAGGCTGAGCCGGAGTTGGGTAACCTGTTGACCGCAGAGGAGGAGGCAGAATTAGCTGAGCTGATGGATGATTGATTAATCGGGTACTCTTAGACAGCCAACAGAATAAGCACTTGGAACGGTCTATTCTCTACATCTCATTTGCTGAATGCTCTTGTTCAGGGGGTTGCTGATGGGCGGGCGCAGACGTCCCTCGTGACGGCTACCTGCTTTTCAAACCTTCGATGAGCTAGTTGCAAACGGAAACTCGTGGTTGCTGAAATACATGGCACTGCATTTGACATGAAACCGTTTACGGTATGTCATCTTCACCGACTCTTCCGCCTCTACGTGTAGCATGCTTGAAAAGCAAACGCTCATTTGCCTACCTGCATATCAACTTTGCCATCTTGCTGGATCCCCCCCCCTATTTTACCCCAAAAAAAAACATGTTAGTTGTATGAGCCAAATTTGGCTTCAAATCCGGTTATGTGGTTCTTTTTCTGTTTGTCAACCGGTAAGAAGCCAGCAAGGGGGTATGCACAACACATCGTTCTTGTAACGAACTGGGACCGGCATAGGAGCCCGTTTGCCGTAAAGCCACTCACTTGATTCGGTTCACAGCTTCCTTTGGGGTCATACGTGACATCATGGAAAGGAACCATACGGCACGTTCGACCAGAGTCGTTCAAAGCGGATAGGTAGCTCAAGTGGAAAGAGTTGGCGAAGCCACAACGAAGAGGGGATTAGCAGCATGATGCGGATCGAGGCTCAGGAGGAGTGCGGCTAGCTTTGCTAGTGAATCGAGTACTACCTACTGCTTCAAGTTATGCACTGGTAAGCTGCTCAACATTGACGAGGTGTGATCGATGAGCCAGCTCCATGGTCCACGACTGGGCTAGCTGAAGTTGGCCCCGAATCTCCGGTAGCACTCCGCTGCTATTTCGCATACGACGCTGTGCTTCTATGATTAGAGCGACCAATCTCCAGGCTAGCTGTGAGGTGAAGCTCAGGCCGGGATGCGCGCAGACATTGCAAGATGCTGCACTGGTCTCATCCGCACGCTGCGTTTGCTATACAAGCGGCTCATTTGCCACGCAGAGCACATCAAGGGGCCACAGTACCACGCATGCCGCTTTGTCGTAGCGCATGGATACACAGTTTGTTGCGGCGTGTTGGTAGGCAGCTCTCGGCAGCTGTGAGAGCTGTTTACTCGTTTGGGACGGTGCCTTCGGGTCCCGGCGCATAGCATTTCCAATTTTACCAGAATACCAGCAAACTAGATAATCTTGTTGGCCGCCGGTCCGGCGGCCTTGGGATCCCTGCATTGTGGAGCTCCGGGGTCCTGGGCATCTCCAAGCTGGCCGGAACATCTGCCGTTGGACGATTAGCTGCAGATCCAACTGAGCAACAAGCTTCACCTGCGGCCGCGGAATGCTGGATTAGAGTTGGAATAATGCCAAGTAGAGAGAATTGCGTATCAGCCGCGGTCTATGTACTTGTACTCCCAGAATCATGCCCAGGAGTCCCGGGGAAGTGGGGAATCCCTGTGATCATGGCCGCGGCCCGGATCACTTGGCGACTGAGAATGTATTTTCTCGGTTCATTCTGAAACAACTAGAAAGCTCGCATAATCTTTCTTGCTCGATTATCCAGAGCCTATTAATGTCGACGGAGATTATTCAAGCGAGAATGGCAATTAAAACTCGGCGCGAATTTGTTGTGAAGAGGGTCAACCGGGTTCTGTCGAGGCAAATCTCCCGGAAGCTATGTATGATGCACGGACCCCCTGTCGTTCGTAAACATTTGAACGGAAACCAAGGTTTCTAACTTATGTTGGGTTGTGTCTAGACGCATAGACTCTTCGGTGGCGACATGGGTACTTTGATGAGACAATTCTGGGATAGTACTACTAGGTATGTATGCGTACAGGGATGTCCTCGAGGTGTCTGATGCCTCATGAGCGAGTCTAGTCGGAGGAGCTACTGTCATTGCGGATAGTAGTTAGTACATTTCAATCATAAGATAACAAGTAAGCTGATGGATAGAATGGCCGTCTGGATTCTTTTCGCTAGGGTAATACGAGACAGGTGGTCAAGTTAGACGAATACTTCGTTTACCTGGACATACCTACGACTCCCGGTTGGGCTTTGATACTAGCAATCCGAGCAACAGGCGACAGCACAAAGCTCCCGCTGCCGTTGGGGAATACGTAGAAGCCTATGACTGACATGATGCAGACACATTCAAACATATCGTGGCTCCAATCTGGGGAAGTTGCCGTAAGGGGAAAGTCATGCTGGTAAAGGCCCACTGCAAGTTGCCAAAATCCCTTCTCCTGAAACCTGCATGTGGTGGTTACTTTCACACAGAGAGCGTTTCTCATTTCAAATCCTCCAGCTTCCGAGGACTGCGGAGACGGCTGCTGTGGCAATAATCCGACGGGAGGGGCATGTCTGTGCAGACGAGATACGGGTACCAGGAACAGGTCCAAGATAATGTTTCACGTCTGCCGGTGGCCGTGTATATCATAGACAAGCCTCCAAAATTTGGTGACGGCAAGTCCTAATTACATGGACAGAAGCCGTAAGCTGCCCTGAGCAATTTGACAGAACTGAATTGCATTCAGCACCCAACAGACAGAGTATGTGGATGTGCATCAAATGCTTCCCACCGTGCATTTGGTTGGCTGGATGCCTTTGGCCAACACCAGTAGTGTAAAGGCATGGTAGATGTTGGATCACCAAGTTTAGGTATGTGAGTTTCAGGTAAGTACTGGTGGCTGATGCTGAGCCAAGTACTCTGTCGACAACATGTTTCATCGCCACGTTGAGTCACGTTGTTCAACGTTTACGAGGTGCTCGCAAGTCGAAACAAGCCACGTTTTGTAGTCTCGTGGTACCGCTGGACTCTTTCAGTCGTGTAATCGTGGTTTCGATGCACCCAATCAGGGGGTACGCTTGGAGATATACAATAGTCTCCTCCAAATGGAATTGGGTAGAGCATATATGAGATTGAGAGTTGGCATTCCCCTGAGGTATAGAACGGCACTGTGATACTACCTAGTAGTATTCAAAGGCGTACTCGAATTGCCCGAACTTGGCATGGCCTCATGAGAAAAGGTCAAGTAGGCTGTTTTGAAGAGATGCACCCCCATCTGTTGCTGACTCCGAGTATAAGATTCGTTACAAGGCGTATTACCCTCATGTCCAAACATAAGGCGTGTGAGCGTATGACGGAGACGCAAACAACCTTTTGCCTACTTGATGCTGCTACTGATCTGTTCCGGCCCTTTCCTGGGCAAAACGTCAAGGTCCTGGCGATGGGCAAGGGTGATGTACGCTCCGCTCTGAGAGAAGAGAATAAGCATTGCCGTGGAAGGAGATGGACCACTACCGGGCGTCAAGGCGGCGATGGACTTGAAATTTAGTATAAGCAAACTGCGAGGAGTGCGCGCCTGGTTGCGAGAACAACATTCAACCCCCCTGAGCATTCGGTGGGATGCCCGAAAATTCGTGCTCGTTGCATTGATCATTGTTTGGTCAGTGTTGACGCTTGGATTGTTGGACCAGACGTACGGTGCAAACGGCCGCACTACTCGATCGGGGCACAACCCGACTGCTTCACATATATGGATGGCAACATGTGTGTTTGGATACACTCAGCTGATTCGTAGAGGATGAGATAGATACCACCACCACACAGGCCAACGCCACCGGAAATTTAGCGACCGAACCTCGGGGTCGTGATTGGCGCCATACTCTTTGGCTCCGGCTGGTTGTTTGGGGATAGCTTTGTTGCTTTGAGTACACACGTCCGAAGCGCTGGTAATACGAGTACCGATGCTGGCGGCTGCATCTTGGAAGTGTAGCCAATGGAAATCGGTGGAGTTGTGTGACGGCGATGTGGTGCCGCGTCATGATTGTCAGGCTGAGGTCAGCTGTGCTCCCCAGCTTCCAATGGCAGCTTCTTAGTGGTAGCTGTGCGCGACAAGCTATCAAGCGCGTGTCACGGCATTTTCTTTCTTTATGCCGAATGTGAAAGAGGGAAAGCTCCTTGGGGCTTGCACACACTCGCACATGCATGCCACTTGTACGGAGTAGACGCTGCCTCACTGCGACACAGAGACAGCTCCGCGGCGTCGCAGCAAGTCGTCTGTCGTCCTCTGACGATCATGTCTAAGACATCGTTCGCGCCTTGTGTTGCTGCTTCAGAGGACGCTAGCTTCTCCACTGAATCTTCTGTAGATATGGAGTACCGGTACTCAGGCCTCTCCAATGGCCGCCAGCGAGAATGTCTTTGAGTGCCGCTTGGTCGTGTGGGGTCCCCGGCATCAGGTTCGCCTGAGTGTGGGCGAGTGGGCTGAAAGCTCTGTGCCTCAAGGGGATAGGCTCCGATGAAGGCATTGCGAGGCCCGGAGATGAGGTAAACTGGCAGTAGTGTGAAGACCAACATGCGACGGTCAAGGACGCTTTGCAAACCAAAGCTATGGATGGACAGATCAGCCGGGCTTGTGCTGCGGCTGTGACAGACTGCTTGACTGCGTAGGGACTTTTTGTCAGTCGTTGGCGCCCAGAAACCCGACCGGTTGGCCCCAGGGGCACTGTCCAATTGTCCAATTCCCATCTCGCATTGCCGTCCCCCCATGTCGTCTGCCCCTGTCAGCCACTTTTGGCGTCTTCCCACTCCAAGCCCCTTGTTTCTGCCACCGAGATCAAGCGAAGTGGTTGTCAGATCCCCAAAATGGCGATGTTGAAGCCTCCTTTTCTTCGCGAAGGAACAGGTAGGATGAAGCTGGTAGGTTGGGTGCTGTAGCTTGGCGTAGTAGGGCCGACAAGTGTGACATCTGTAGGAAGCCCGGCGGCATCAGACACACGCATCCTTTTCCTTCCAGGGAGTTGGTCGAGCGGTTGTCTGCCTGTGTCCACGTCTCTTGTTGTTCTAGCACGGCATCGAGAAGACGCGGAGGGGCAATTCTTGCCGGCGGCTCGGCAAATTGGACTCTGTACGGAGCACCGCTTCTGCTCATCAACGACTCCATAATAGGATCAGAGAAAAAAACAAAGGGAACAAAGGAAAAGAAAAAGAAAAAAAAAGAACACACAGACGAAGAGGCGTATGAGCCCGACCCTTGCTCGCCCAGCAAACCGTGCACTCGCGCACCCGCCGCCCCGTGAGAGCTGCTCCCGAACGAACTCCAGGGCTCGGCCACTTTGGTACATAATTTTCTGGCGCATCTGACGCGGCTGTTGTGACTGACGGTGACGGGTGAGTTCCCCCATTGGCATGTCCGTCCAGCAAGTGACATGTGAGCACAAGGACTAGCAGGTAGCAGGATTAGCAGTGCTACCAACCATTACGAGGTGAAGCTATAACCAATTCTTCCCTGTTTCCCGGTGGGGCTCAAAGCCGAGTCGGTGATCAACTCCCGGCTTGTGCTCTTGCCTCTGCTAAGGCGGTAGCGCACTCGCACAAGTTCTGCGCAGTAGAGATGCTTGTACATGTAGCTGGGAACTACTAGCCCGCCTCTACTTGCATCTGCAAACGAGCAGGTACTCGGTACTCATGCAGGTACGAGGTGTGACAGAGCACTAACGTGAGGCAAAGGTGCACGGCATCAGGCAAGCGCACAGGAACCAGAGCTCCGTACTCCCGTACTTGTACCTGGTAATACGAGTACAGGTACGGGCACAGGTACGGGCACAGGTACTTGCATCTGCTGCCAGCCGCCCAGAGCTCTGTAGGTATGAAGCTCGACGAACGCCTTCAGACCTCCGACCTTCCAGTTCTCGATCTCTACTCTACACCACCTGCGAGTACTTTTACCTTTTACTCTGCTCCTCCTTACACCCTCCTTTCCTCTCCTACTTACCAATCTTCTCCCTTCATTCTCTCTCGTCTCGTCTCGTCTCGTCTCCTCCATCGTATTCTACTCTTCTCTACTCTTCTCTGCTCTGTTCTATTCTCGTCTCGGCATCCTCACCCTTCTCTTCCGCGAGGCTTCTCCCGTCGTACTCGGTAGTCTTCGCCCACTTCCTTGCTGCTGGTCGTCCGGGCCCTGCAAGTCAACCCTTTCTTTCCTACCCCTGCTGACGTCCCCAGTTGTCACTTGTCATATCCCAGAGCTTGCGCTTTCGATAGAAAAACGCAGCCATAGCTCCAGGAAGCCCGTCGGGTTCTCGCAACTCCAACTGTCCCGGCGAATCAGAAATCTCGGCTGCGTCATTGCGGTCATGGTCTCTTCCAACGCTTACGAGTAAAAAAAACGCCAGAATAAACGACAAGAGACACGGGCGGAAGCACATCACTCACCCACCGCCATTCCAACCTACCTCGTCCCTGTTCTCCATCACTGCCTCCGCCGCGGCCCTGGGGCCCTGCGCGCAGTCAATCAGCTGAGAAATTCATCCCAACATTCTTCGGCTCCGCTTACATTTCTGGGCCGTTTCTCTTCTTGATTCAATCCGTCTTCACCCTCATCCAGACGCCTCTTGACGTCCAATCTTCACCATGGCGGACACCAAGCTGGAAGCTTACGGAAACATCGTCGCCTTCGAAGGCCATCCTGACGTTGTGTCGACTCAACTCCGGTTGCTGCCAACCTCGCCTCAAATCCTCATTCTTCCTGCAATTCAGTGCTACATTACCAGTGATGATTCAGACAAGGCCTTCGATGTACGGACTTACATTCGAAAGGTCCATGACGCCCTTATCGCCCGCCAAGAAGCTGCGCGTAGCTTCCTGCAAGATGCGACAACATCGAACAAGCGATTGGCGTTTCTCAATGGCGGTTCACCGAGCGCCCATGCGCTCTGTATCAAGGCGATCATGAAGCACGAGACAGGCGGAGACAGGGTTGAGGCAGAAGCTGTTTACGCCCAGCTAGCGAAAGACGGCCTGGCTGGTCTCGAGGCTAAGAGCCAAATACACAGTCGGGCGGGCTCTGTTGGTGGCGAGTCAATGCTCAACGAGGAGCTCCATGATCCCATAACACGGGCCATGAGAGCTGCTGATGCTTTGGACCGCGACACAGCTAATCTTCAGCCATCCGACATGCTCGAGCTTACCATGACAACTCGACCACGAAGCCTAAGCCTGCCACTGTATGGCTACTCGGATGGCTTTGGTGATGCAGCCCCCTTTTTCCTCTTTGGCGCGCACGTTGAAGATGAGCCCGATGTGGAAGAGAGCTCCCCTCTAGCCCCAGGGGCGCCGACGTTTGCTGTTGTGGACTATAACCAGCCGTCAAAACGGCCGTCACCAGACTCGGTAGAACTCGCACCTGCATCGCCGAGCGGTGCTGATAAATCCAAAAGGCAGTCAAACCTTGGAGTGCGCCGTGAAATGGAAATGCTCTCCCCGACAGCCCCGACTTTCAATGCCCGCACACGCGATACCTTCACCAGCGGAGACTCCACCACGCCCGACATACGCACATCAGTTTCGAGCTCCAAGGGAACACTACAAAGAGTCAGATCGTTAGATAGAATCTATCCGATCAGTGCCAAGCTGAGAGATCTCTGCATCACTGGGGCTTCGCAAGAGATGGGAGAAGGGTCTGGTGTGTTCCCCCGTTCACGCTCTTTCATGGGTGTTGGCGAAGAGAGACCTCCAGCCATCCGGAGGTTGAGTTACATTGACCGGCGAACGGCCTTATCCAAGGGCCGTCGGCCAACAGTCAGGGTTGAACAAACTTCTCTCGATAAAAAGACGAAACATGGTCCAAATTCTGGCGGAGCATTTCAATCTCACTTAGGAGCAGACGTTGCCACCACTCCAGATGTCCCGTTCCAGCCATTACTACCTTGGGTAGAAAATCTAGTGGTTCACTTCAGGGATGAGACACCAAATTTGCTTCTCTCTTCAATTATCAAATCGTTCAAAGCCGGCAACTATCCTATACTGTCGTCCCCCGCTTCGGTGTCTGTGTACTCTGGAAATGTGTCCGCTCCAACGACTTTTCTTCTTCAGCCGACCGCATTTGATCAAAGGTCTCATGAAAGACCTCACGACCTCTCTGCGTTGGGTATAGTAAATGGCGGTTATGATCCATTTGTTTACGCTCGGCTTCAACCACCGCCTGCGAGAGAACGAACCGTCCCATCCGTGAATGTCATTCGCCCTCCAACACCAGCACAGACGCCACCTCCTTGCACAGGAATGGAGGGCAAGTTTCACGAGTTCGATATTGTTTCGGGACAGACTGCCGTCGCTATCCAGAACTCGCTTAGATCAGTCCTAAGCCTATACTTTCCTCCAGAAGCCGAGGGCTATCGCCAATTCCAATTCTCTCTCCTTCCCGAATTCGATGGTTTATGGAAGCCTGTATTCCGAGAGACCGAGCCCAAGGGCTCTCCAAGAGGAACCAACCGAAGAGTCGACCACATTCTGGCGATAGGGTCCCAGCAAGGTGTGGACAAAGTGTACTCGTCGGGAATCATCAAGCAACTAGAGACGATTGGGACGAAATCAAGCGATCGCCAGGGTCGCAGCGGGCGGGTAGATTTCCGGTGGGTTGCTCGTGCACGATATAAGCCTGGCATAATTGGTGACAGACAAGGCTAACTGATCTCTAGATACTTACTCGCCAATGCCATGCAAGCATTTACCGCCCTTCCCCTGACAAACCAAACATCCGATAACCCTTTCGCCAATTCCTATCTTCTGGCGACACTGCTTATTCCCCATCTCGAAACATACTTGGCACTCCACTCGGAAATTCGCTATCTTCTGCTAGAGTATCCTCCTGAGCACCTGGCCACCGTACTGGCATTGCAAAAGTTGATAGGCGTGGACCTTATCAAGGTGGCCCAAATTGTTGACCCTACCAACAAAGACTGTTTGCCATTTACGCAGATTGGGGGTCCTAACGTCGGGACCAAGATCAATACCAAAACACCCAATTTGTCACCACAGTCGTCAAGCTCGGATATCACCGTCTCCAACGCAAACTTCCTACTCACATGCACGGCCACCCCCAAAGATATAGCCAAGTTCGTTTCCGCTGTCTGGAATATTCAGATCGAAACTTGCGACCCTGAGCCTTCGCCCAAAAGGAAGAGTTTACCTGGCAAAAAACCGAGACCAGCACCGCTTGATGTCCTGCTCACCAAGTTTCCTCGATCGTCATTGTCGACTCGTGGTGGATCGTCGCCTACTTCGGCCGAGCCCTCTTCCAGTCCTGAATCATTGACGTTGTCCTCTCGACGCCAGTCGTTTACGGATAATATCAAGACACCCAAGTCAGCGACCATCTACAGCCGAGCCTTCTCCCGACGACGACTCTTCCGCAGCGACTCGGCATCGATGACTACCTTTGACCACGGTAGTGACGACAGTGAATTAGATCTAGAAGAACGGAGGCTCATGCCCATGTTCATGAAAACCGTTGAGCCTAAGGGTAATACCCGCAAAGCTCTCAAATTCTTGGGCTTGGCATAATAATCCGCAATCTGGGCCCTAAACTTCTTCTTTTTCTCTCTCTTTTTCTTTGTTTCATTATGTCGCGAAGCTTTTCTGCTTTGCCATGAGAAGTGCCAGGCTGGTCGCCAGGTACTTGTCTTGTTCCAACGACTTATGACATCTACATGCCACTGCTCCCTTCTCGCGTATCCCTTTATCGATTTTTAAACTTTTTCTTTTTCTTCTCATTTCAGTTTGAAGCCTTGTTTTATTTATTTCTTTTATTTGACGTCTTAGAGTTTTACACGGAAAGCTGGAGTTGTTTGGGCAACATACAAAATACGGAGATAGACAAGCGTACTGCAAGGTAGTGAGTGAGTGGTGGAAAACGGGGACGGTTAAGGACGCGAGTCTAGTTTTTTTTTAATCTCTAGCTTTTTCTTTTTCATTTATCGAAATGTTGCTGGGCCTGTCGGATAATACAAGATGATTGTTGATCAAGACTGATAACTGCAGTCGCTCGTTTTTTTCGTGCATGACACTTTGTAGAGAGCACTCCTTCTGCCAAGGACACTGACGGTGTTGCAGTGTCGTGTGATTGTGTGTATAATCAAGCAATTTCTTGTGCTATGTAGATGAGACGAAGCTGAATTACTAGCCCTTGCAAGACGAATAAACTAAACCTCCCCATGTCCTCCGTATTCTTTACATGGAATTAGTTTGACCAGGTACTTGTATCCTTCTAGAACGAACCCCCCCTATTCATAACTCCTCTCCCCCAGATCCTTGTCAATGATCACTGTATGAAGTACACCCGTCATCTTGCAATTCCAGTGTCCTGGTCGAGATGTGCAGGATGTCATGGTCCTTGCATTTTTTGCACATCTGCCCCGTCCCGAAATATGAATTGACTTGTCTACATCTTGAATCCTTACCTGTATCATTACTAGAGAGATGTTAATATAAAGTGAACATCTTCACCACGGAGACAGGGATGGAGACGAGACCAGACAACGGAATTGGGAGACGGTTAAATAGTAATTACGGGTAACAAGGCAAAAAGAAAGAAAAAAAGAAAACAGACATCCCTGAAACACAACATCATGGTCAATCAACATGCGCAATTCCCCTGTGTATTAATGGTACCCCCTCCCATTCTCGTAAAAAAGAAGGGTTGAAGAGAGGAAAAAAGGTACCGGAAAGCCTTCCGGGATGAAGCACCACAAAAAGCTGTAAGCGACAAAGGTAGGTAGGTTGTGAACAAATAATACCAACATAATAAAAAAAACCAAAGCTTGCTGCAAAGGCCATAGTTTCCATAAGCGTCCATTGTTCTCCCACATAGAAATCTTTGTGGGAGGGAGTCATTATGGGAAAAAAAGGAAGGCGTGAAAAGTACAGCTAGCGCAACCGTAAGGTCCTCATCTCTCTTGAATCTTGAATTTTGCGCCTTGTTCCCAAAGTGTATCACGTCCTTCCACCCGTATGACCGTCTTCTCCCTTTCCCGTCCGACCCTAATGTGTCCTAAAAAGCAAGCGAGATTTGCCACGTTGTGCGTGCGTGTGTCTGAAGGGGCGAGATCCAACGAGACATGATGTAATCTATGCGCAGAAATGGGGGCAAACTGAAACCCTAGAATAATGGAGAAAAAGGTCATAACAAACATTGTTCAGTCGTTTCCCAAGGGACGTCACACTGCTCTAATCATCCTGTCACCAGACTCGGCCACGACAAAGCGAACCACACGAAACCATCAAAGAGGAATACATTTAACAGCAGCTGCTGTTGGAAGAGTTGCCCACACCCTGGCCCTTGCCAACGTGCACGCTGGGTTTCGTGTTGTTGGCAGTCGTGGTGCCCATGCGCTCCTTGATCTGGCGAGCCATGGTCAGGAAAGCCTGCTCAACGTTGCTGGCGTTCTTGGCGGAAGTCTCGAGGAATGGGATGCCCAGGCTGTCAGCGAATTCCTAGAGAGGGGTCGTCAGCTTCAGCTTTGCAGGGGGAACCTGGGGGTCCGAGACATGGCAGCCTGGAGACGGCAACCGCCTTCTAGTTGCAGGTGACGGTGCGGCCACCAGGCTGCAGTTGAGGCGCTAACTCACCTTGGCAACAGTGTACTCGACAACCTTCTTATCGGACATATCGCTCTTGTTGCCCACGAGCAGCTTGTTGACGCCCTCGGTAGCATACCGGTCAATCTCCTGGAGCCACTGCTTGACGTTGTTGAAGGAGTCCATATCAGTGACATCGTAGACGACGCAGATGCCGTGAGCACCGCGGTAGTAAGACGAGGTGATGGTTCGGAAACGCTCCTGGCCGGCAGTATCCCACTGTAAAAGCAAAAAAAAAAAAAAAAAGAGTCTCAGCCAGCTGCATCGCATCGCCTTGATACGAGGCTTAGGTTTGCATCACTTACGATCTGCAGCTTCACGGTCTTGCCATCGAGCTCTATCGTTCGGATCTTCTGCGGAGGGGGGTCAGTGCCTGGCGAGATGAGAGGAAGCCAAATCAACGTACGAAATCGACACCGATGGTGGAGATGTAAGACTCGGTGTAGGTGTCATCGGCAAATCGCAGAAGCAAGCAAGACTTTCCAACACCGGAATCACCGATGAGGAGGAGCTTGAAGAGGTAGTCGTATCTAGAATGGGGGAAAGCGGCGTGTCAGCACACGGCTTCTCCTCTGCAACGGGCGCCGCCGCCGTCAATCAATCAAAGGCCATCCATCCATCGACTCAGCAGAACCAAGCATCGACGGAGACGACGCGGCCGACGGACGGAAAGTGCTTTTTCTGCACTGGACTGGACTGTACTCTGCGGAGTCGGTTAGCACCCGATAAGACGGACAGTTTCAGGAGATGAGATGCTATCGCAATCCAGCGACGGGACGGGGGGCTGCGTACCACTCGGGGTTCATGGTGGCGGTTGATTGTTTGATGTCGGTGTTGGCGTTGGAACGGAGAGAAATGGCAGCAGAAGCAGAAGGCAGGTTTGGTTTGGTCAAAGTGGCGATCGAAGCGGATGGTTGGCTCGAAGGTCAAAGGAGCGTCGGCTGGCCAAGTCTCGAGTACGTCAGGGAAAGATGACCTCGTTGGCTGGGCCTTGGGCTGGGAGGATGGGATGGGCGGTTTGGCGGTGGGAGCGCCAGTCACGTGCAGGGACCTCCCTCTGTGCCAGTGGCTCATTTGCCTATTATTAGCCGTGGATTGGTGATGGGCGCCGAGCTGCGTTGGCAGCTAGCACGCTGTACTACAGTACTAAGGTACCTGGGTACGGAGGCTGTACCTCGGAGCGCGCAGATGGCCGGCCGCGCTGCACAGATTGAGTACTCCCTACCGTCAAACAGTTTGGAATTCAACAGGAACCTTTAATGAAATCAAAACCTGCTTCTATGGGTTACTTGCAACAGGTGCTACCTGGGGTCAGCTTGTACTGTTTGTTATCTTATCTGGGGTGCCCACCTCCAGTATTAGCACATGTCACGACACAAAGAGCCTCCATTCGCAATGCCTTGAGCCTCCTCAGCGGCATGGTTCGCTTCTTGAACTCGTCAAAATGTCATCACCCACAAAGAGGATTTCCTCAACAAATCTATTCTCCTGCTTTGATGATTTCTCCTTCTTTTTTCTTCTTACCTATCCTTTTCCATCTCTCCACTATATCCCCCTCTCCCCTCACTGTCGCTCCCGTGTAAGTGTCCCTGCCTGGTACGAGTACGACTCTGCACTGCATTGCCAACTCCAGGCTACTACCTATACTTCGTGCTGCGGCACAAAAATACAGTTGCACGTTAGGCCAGCCGCGCATGTGATTCGAGCTCCATTCTCTCGCCCGGCCCTTGATCACCTGAGATTCAGCCACGGCGTCTTCCCAATCAGCGACCGGCCTCCCGATCAAGACAAGCAGTGCGAGAGAAAAAAAAAAAATACCATCGCAGGTGTCGTGATTCCGATTCCAGCTGCTGGAATCAGTCGACCAATCCCGAATCCACCCGCGTCATGTGCATCGTTATCTATCAAGAGAAGATCATTTTCTTTTCTTGTTCCTTTTAGAAGCGTTCCATTCCAGCCCAGCCTCTCTTCGTCTCCGTGACCCGGAATAGCGGAACGGCCCCGCAACGATGCTCCCTAAAGCAGCCCACTGTAGCCTTGTAAGAGGAGGCGCTACGGAAGCAAGGCGAGAAAAAAAATGACGGATTGTTTCCCGGCACTCTCCGTCCAATGCCGTGTGACATTGCTGCTTCAAACTTGTAAATTCTCTGATACCAACTTGAATACAGCAAACCTGCGAAAAACGGATACTCCTCACACCCCTCTCGCAAACCCCCCCAATCCCATGCGGCTCCTCCCCGGGAGCGCCAACCGCAATCAATGGCCGCGCCCCTGCGCAACACTCTGACGAGCCCAGCCGGCCGCTCATCATTCCGATCTTGGCCCGGCGCTTCAGTTCGCGGCATCACCAGCTTCAGCCCGGCCAATGCCCCAGCCCAGATTGCCGCGCGGCCGCCGTCAGAGAGTGTCTTGGAACAGCCACCTCCTGATGCGTTATTGCTGAAGAGACCAGTGTCTGCGCCGCGAGACAGCTTGCCCCAGACGTCCTTTGAGAGCTCGGGAGCCGTGTGGGTGGGAGGCCGGGGAGACCAGCCGCCGGATCCAAACAAAGCAAAGCTCGGCAAAAGTAAGTAGAAGCTTTCAATATGATGTACCTATCTGAAAAGAAGAGAAGGGAGACAAGAGAATAAGCATATTTAAAAAAAAAAAGAGCATATGAAGGCAATGGAAGCTTACTTACACGCTGAACCCTCGCAGCTCTACGAATCCTCCAAGAGCGCCTCCCGACGCTCCTCCAATCTCCCCTCCCGCAAGACATCCTCGCTCCCAACATCTCGCTCCAGCTCTTCCCCTCCACGCACCCCCATCTCCCCGTCGTCTCCGGCCGAGTCGCCTACAACGCCGCCCTCTGGACCTCCCCCATCGCCTGGAACCGCGTCCCCATCATCGGCAACGTCAAGCTCGAGATCCTCGCCGAGCGCATGACCTCGGAGCCCCTGACCTTTCTGCCCCGCCGCGCCGGCGCCATCCAGGAGCAGCTCGTCGTGCGCTGGTGCGAGAAGCGCAAGGTCAAGGAAAAGGATGACAAGCACAAGGGCACGGGCATCTCGCTGCCCTCGCTGCGCTTGGCCCGCGGCGTCGACCCCAAGGAGGCCTTTACGGGGCTCTTCATCTTCGATTTCGATGCGGAGGGCAGGATCCTTACGCATACCATTGAGCAGGCTCAGGAGGGTGGCGATTGGGAGAAGGGCATGGGAGCCAAGTTCGTGGGTCTCACTGATTGGCTGCTAGGGGGCTTGCAAGGTCCGGATGACACCCCGATACCCATGTTTGAGAGAAAACGGACGTTGTGATTTTTCGAAATGATTTGGTGGGAGAGGGTGTGTTTTCAGAAGCAGAAAGATGGAGGAAAGAAGGGATGTTTTGGTCCCCCCCGGCGTTGATGGCATCATCTTGATTTGGTCTCTTCACCTACCTAGTTGACCCCGAGGTAAGGTGTATGTTGTAACGATAGCTGCCCACTTAGAAGGCATTTGTATAACCCTGTATATCTTAGCAAGACTCTCTACTATGTTTATAATTAGCATCTCATAAACTACCCAGCAATATCATGTATAATAAGCCTGTCACATAACGAAGCAACATTCTTCAAAATCAAGCCGCATCATGCCAATATCACAAAGCCAGCAGTTGCGCGGAATAGACGTCTCTAGTCATTCAAAGGCGTGTAGCATGAAAACTACCTCTTTTGCACCAGTCAACTCTCGGTCCGGGGGCATTTCACAATATTCTGCCGCCGAACCGCCTCTGCCGCAGCGCATAAAAAAAACAAATAAAAAAAAAGAAAAAAGAAAAAGAATTCCCTGCTGTCGGCTTCTCAACCCCCTGCTTCTTGTTTGTTCCTCTAGAACAACGGGGTCCCATCTTTAAAAGAAAATATCTCCCAAATTCTCGCCCTCAAACCCAATCCGGACGAGCTTTTTCAACCGCGCCTTCTCCTTGGCCTTGTCCGCCGTCTTCTTCGCCTCGGCGAGCTTCTTCACCACCTCCACCTCGGCGAGCTCATATCCCGGCGGCGCATCGTCGTCCTTGTCCAGGTCAATCTCCCCCAGGAGCAAGACGTTCTCGCCTCGCACGAGGAAGATGCCGTGCGTTATATCGGCAAAGTAGCCGTAAGGATACTCTGATTCAGGGTTATTGGGTCTAGGAGCGAATATCCTCTCTGTCGTCGATTGGAGAACAATGTTGGCTGTTTTGCATGATAAAAAAGGTATTAGATGATCGAGGCTTTTTTCTCTTTCTCGTGTTTCGCACAAGATCCTTTTCGCAGCTCTTGGTTTTTTTTTTTTTGTTTTGGAGGGGGGACTACACACCGAATTGGTCCCAGCTTCGTAATACTCCAATCAACTTTCTCCCGTCACGCAGAACCACCATGAGTTTTTCTACAACCCGCCTGTTAGTATAAAGCAACCCCTAGTCTCCACGTCTCCCATCCTCCGATCCGACATTGTTCCATGGGAGGCATACTATCGGTGAGATCCAACAGCTGCGCGGCAGTCGTAAACATCTGCGGCGGCAGCTGGGCAAAGGGTTGCGAGGCCGGAGCCCCAGGAGGGGCGTCGGAAATGGTTAGATTTTCCATCATGATAGCATGAGGCGACGAGAACGAAAGGTTTTGTGTAATTCTGGTTTCGTGTTCCGGCTCAGGGTTCCATGAGCTGTGGTGTTTCGGCGTTCTTTTTGTTCTATATCAACATGGCCGGAGGAGGTTCTTGGTTAGCAACGAGGCTGTAGAGAGCAGCACATTGGCAAGTCCCAGTGAGGTTGGCTGGCCATCGCCCTGCCCGCTGTGGTTGAGCCGATGCGCTGTCGCCTTATCGATAAGTCCATCACGTGTCAGCGCCGTTTCCTAGAGTGTCTCGCCCGCCTACGTCAGAGGAACGAATTAGGTTTGTCGGGATACCAGGTAGCTAGAGACTACCTATACCTATTAACCCGCGCCTGTACCTATACTCCCACGGCGGGCATTGGAGCCTCGGGTGAATTGGGATTCAAAAGATGACGCAAGGTCCAATCCAATTTGATGCGTGGCATTTGGTTTCATCAGAGGTTGGATGCGCCCTCATCTGGACGTACCGGCACAGTACTGTATGCTAATAACTTCAAGGTTGTAAGCCGTCAACGATATTACTAAGAGTTACCTGCCCGTATTAGCTCATGCAGATCCCAGGGCTGGAACATTAGTACATGCCGTGGACGCCTCGTGAGCGTTTGCCTTACGTCGAAGCATGTGTAAAATTGCATACAAGGCATTCGACATTGGCAGCTCGTTTTACAGCAGCACGCCATCTTCCAACCCAATCAATCAAAGCTACGACGGTTGAGTCATCAGGTACTCGTGCTCGTACATGTACTTGTCAGAAGGAGGGGTGTCTGGGGCCCAGAGCTAAGGCAGGTACTTAGCTCCAGCGCACACGACAGCTCCCTCGTCATGTCTATGGCATCGATTTCTTCTATGCTCTCTATCATCCAGACATCCGGAACGCGCGATAGGCCGCCTCTCCGCCGTCGTTGTGTAAACAATTAATTTTGTGTATCCTATTTCAAGAGCATTGTGCCTTGTAATACACCAGATGTGCCCCGCCCCGTCTGAGTATTTTTCTTTCTGCGTGGTAGCTTCTATGATAAGTTAAAAAAAAAAAAGACCTGCCGACAACGCCTGAGCCGGATTCAAAAACTCATCGCACTCCTGGATGGTTAGCGGCTTTGTGTGTGTGTGTATGTGTGCGTGTGTGTGTCGAGGAAATGTTGTAGAGTAGCCGCGGTGACCAAATGGACCGCCGTGATCCGGTCAACCAGAAAGCAAGCATCTTCTATCTTCTTCTTCACTCCTGCTCTTGCTCTTGCTCTTGCTCTCCGGCTGTTCCGCCGTTGTTCACTGTTGCATCCGAGCTGTCTGCTGTGTGCAAGTTGCTTCCGCGACCTCAAAGCACTTGCCTTTCTATGGCGCTCCCCGGAGATTGTGAGGGGATGATTAATAAAGTATACAAGGAGAAGGGAAAGGGGTGGGGATATTTTTTGCAGAGAAGGACAACAGCCGAAAGCACAAAGCCCAAAGGGCAGCTTGCTCATGTCCTGTTCATCGAAGAGCGATTCAAGGCTTCTTGGAGCTCAGGTCTGTTGACGAGAACCTCAATTGCCTTGGTGTAGGTGAACCACTCGCGCTCTCTCTTGTCCTTTTCCGGCCACTCGTCCAACTGGTCCAGAACGGTGCCCTGGTAAAAGTAATAGCGAGAGCGGTCCTTGGACGTCTTGGGCGGCCGCTTCTCCTCAAAGTTGCCCAAGTCATAGTCAATGTTGACCGTAATGCCAGCCTCCTCCCATGCCTCCCGCACCGCAGACTCCTGACATGATTCATCCGACTCCCATCCTCCTTTGGGCAGGACCCAGCCCTTCCGCCGGGTAGACTGGATCAGGATGACGTGGTTGCGGTCTGCGCTGAGCGGCACGATGCCGGCGACAAGTCGTTCTCCTTGCGAGTTGTACCCTGCAGGAGGGAGATGGGTCAGTGGGATCCCGGGCTTTGGCATCGGCGGAGCGAAGCAAAAGCAGACAAATGACGCGGCTGGCAATGCAAGGACGGCAGAGAGGCGCCACAGGACAAACGGGGGGGGACAGAGGGGGGAATGAAAGAGTTTTTGGTGAGACACGGGGGCAGAGGGTGCGAGATTGAAGTCTTTGGGGGGAAAGACAGTCAAGGTAGTTGTGTGAAACAAGGTGCAATCAATCTTGACTCGAGAGAGGACTTACGTTGTTTGCTCCGCCCGGTCCGCGACTGCATTGACCGATTGTTGGATCCCTCGCCGCTGGACGCCGAACCCGACATTTTGCAAGCTGCCGTTGCCGACGTGCTCTGTGAATTTTGTGTGCGCGTGTTGAGGTTAAGCAGGATTTGGTGATGATTGGCCACTCGATTCTAGGTACGGAATAGAATTGGCCGAGGAGGGAAAGGAAAAAAAGAGGTGCCGGAAACGGGGGCTTCGCCGGCGGTCGAGAGCGTCGTAAGGCGGAGAGGCAGGGAGAAAAGTCACAGTGACATGTGCTGCATCATCATCGATTTAAGAGAGCAGGAAAATGGGATAAGGGATAAGGGCAAAAGGAAAAAAGTAAAAGGTGAAAAAAAGGGTCTTTGCTGTGTCGTCCCCGTTGAGATAATGACGGAGGCCGGGGGAGGGAACGAATGCAGGTCTCCAGCTAGGTGTATTTTTTTTTCTGCGGCAGGATGGCGTTCTAGACGGGGTCCGAAAGCGATGTATAAGTAACTCGGCGCGGACTCGGGGAACCGCCAGGCGTGGATGGTGCCTTGGACTTTGGGGGGAGGGACTTTCAGTTAGTACGGCAAAAGTGGCCAATATCGGAATACCTGACCTGACCTGACCTGACCTGATGGATTTAGCACTGGACTGGACTGGACTGGACTGGACTGGAACTGGTTTGTTCGTCCCAAGGCGGAACTGGAACTACTGGAGCTGTAAGCGCGGGCTTGGTGCGGTGCGGCGTGATTTGGACTTGGACTGTGCTGTGCTGTGCTGTGCTGTGCAAGCCTGAGCTGGTACCTGGCGCTGGTAGTGGAACCAAGGGCTTGCAAGGTTCAATATTGGGTTGGCTCAAACGCGGAGATGGGGCCAGAGTTTTGTCGCGCACTGGTACTTGTACTGTATGTACAGCAGCCCGTGGGGTTTATTAATTGCCCGGGCAAGATTCTGGTTCTGGCCTGGCCTGGCCTTGGTCCTGGCAGTGGTCTGTACTGTACGAGTGTGTAGGTACTTGGTGGCCTGGATACCTATAGTAGACGGTACAAAGTGGTGCTACTGTACTCCGTAGGTACTGTACAAAGCATCAAGGGTGTTGGTGGTGGTGGCAGTTTGGGGGTTCAATACTTGGAAAGTTGGGGGCCACCAAAAGCGCCAGCTGCGGGATGCCAACATGTACAGTATGTACGGATACCAAGTGCTTGGTTTGGCGACGCACGCGCGCAAGCTTCAGCCGTGCTGGCCGGGTGCAAACTCCGTCAGCGCAATCCGCGGCGGTATCAGGGGCAGCAAGCCGGCCACGGCCGCATCAACTAGGCTCAGGCGACGGGGAGGCACACGTGCGTCTGCGAGCGCGGTACGGCGAGGCGGCACGGGGGGTTGCGGTCTGGGGGGCAATAAAGGGAGTGAGTGGGTGAGAGGTAGGTAGGTAGGTAGAGTAGAGGTTGGTGAGCGGGAAAAAAGGGAGTTTGGAAACTCTCCGGGAGCTTGTACTCGCACTTGTACTCGTATATAACAGCAACGGACAAGGACAAGGGCAAGGAGGGACTCCCAACCTGCCAAGCAGTACAGTAACGATGGGGGTAACAAACAGTACGAGTACTCCCGCAGCCAGAAACCACGGCTTCTAGGCTGTCTGCTGCGTGTCTCGTGCCATGACAATACCTTAGATGGGAGGGTCCCGGCCGAGGAGGATCCGCGTTAGCTTTATAGTCAAACTAAGGTGCCATCTATGTTAGTGTCATGAGCGGGATGGAGCTCGACAAGGCCTGCCTGCCCAGTCATGTCGTGCGTCAGGGCCGGTGGCGCCGGGACGACGTGAACAAGGGCAGGCAAGGACTTTTTAACGACGAGGAACGAAGCTGTTATTGATGGAGGCAAAGGCGAGGCGAGGCAGGCGAGGCGATGCCATGTGCAGTGATGTGATGTGATGTGAAGCGGCAGGGAGGAGGAGGCAGCAAGGCAGATTGTGGGATATTGATGTTGCTCCGGTCTGCTCTGGTCCGCTCAGCTGTGCTTTGCTAAACACCACAGCAACACCAACGAGAAACGGACAGACAGATGGACAGCCTTTTTGTATGTCATCAAGTCCGCACGTGTGCGAGCAGGTACCTCGTACGCCTACAGTAACAGGACACGCGGGATGAGATGGAAGAGACATGGCACGGGCCCGAGGCCGAAAAACTGTACATGTACCTAGGGACCAGGTCCAGTGGGAGAGTTTGGGGGTTTCCATCCCACGAAGCCGCAATTCGCCCTGGAGAGGAACGAGGAAAAAAGGTTGGCAAGGCCTGGAAAATCCCCAAAATTAAATTAAATCAAAATAAACCAAAATAAAATAGCACCGCCAAGCACCCCTGTCCCTCCATGCAGGCGACGCGCACCCGATGCGTCGTCCAATGGGCGCCGGGCCAAATGCTCCATATAACAACAATGTGCAGACGACGAGCAATGGCCATAACACTACTGGCTGTGGTACGGAGAGCTATATACCGACATGGAGGCAGAGAGGCACCACTCAGCTGCCAAGGTGACACAAAGACCCGTGTAATGCATTGATTCTGAACCTTTAAAGGTAGTTGAGTCAAGACACATGCGCGCCGAGACAGACGGAGCAGAGGGGAGACTGGATGGAGAGCTTTTGTGACTCAGGTGATGCTCGACTTGCTGCCGGATAAGCTTTCACTAACTGGGAGCTGAGATGGGATTGATCAATGTCCTGGACCCTCCGTACACCTCCATCTGTATGAGCACCTACTTGTATGTAGGTATGTACCTGTGCATGGACGAGGCGCCACGCCATCGTGGTATTTGCAGCACATATATCGTTTAGTCAGGGGGGCTCGTCCGTCCAATCATTAAATATAGGCCGCCCTCGCCTCATTAGCCCGCATCGAGAAATAGTCGCATGAGGCTTCTGCTGGCTGATATTACCCGGCAAAGCTGTGTGCATATTCGGCATGTCCAAACAGAATAGCATACCGAGTAGAGGAGGGGGAAACGGTGAGCAAAAGCCGTTGCCTCGCTCCCCCTTGCAGCCAGAAGACGCATCCCAACGGCCTCGCCAGGTCCAACAAGATGCTAGAGCGTCGCCACGCTCCTTGGTCTCTCGGGCAAGGGAGGGCAAAGGCAGTTTGCGTTCCTGGCTTCAACCTGGCACACACGGCTAGTATTACTAGGATGTGCGTATTACCAAGTTGCCTGATATAGTACGAGTAGTATCACAAAAGTAATCAATGCGGGCGTATCCTTTCTACTCCCAGCATGCTAGACGTCACATCGGAAGAGTCAAGTAAAGTGCTTAGTAGTGCGGAATGATCCCATTGAGAGCGGTGGTGACTCAACGACTGCCTCCAATATACATGCATGCATGCATGGACACTTTAGTATCCACGTACGGACGACATCATGTAGACGTACGCGAGACGTACCGCCTAGCATCGGCCGCAGAGCCCGAACCCTAGATGCAATGCCTATGGATAACCCGGCAACTGGAACATTTCGGAAACATGACGGTACGATAAAAGACCCCAAGGGACGGGTTGATCCTCTGCTGCGTTGCCAAACCAGGCCGATGAGCTGTCATTGTCTCCATCCATCCACATGTTACCTGTATCCTCCAGGGCCCAAGCTGCCAGCTTCTATACTCGTACCTGTGCCGCCTTGAGATTGAAATCACCCATGCCTGCACGTACCTTGTAGTGCTCTCACGTTAGTACAGGCGGTTGAGCCCATTACAGCACGCCGACAAGGAGCTCTGGAGGTCTTTTGGGGACTTGGCAGCATCAAGCCCGGATGCCCGCGGCCGCTCTGAGCACCCAAGCCGCGCAGTTGAACAACTTACATTGAGGTCAATCCATGGATATGCATGTACCTGAGGTACGCACCTGTGGCCCTCGTGCTTGGTGGGTTTAGCGACTGGACGGGCCGCTGAATCTGGCGCTGTAAACGCATCCCGTCACCCTGGCAGCCACTAACACAATCAACTCAACCCCTCACTTGCTGCCCCGCCATGGCGACTCGAGCTTGACCTCATCAACCCATGAGAACCTCTTTTTCTACTCCGCCGACGCGCGCTTGCGGTGCTTGAATCATCTCTCCTTCTCTCCATCTCCATCTCCATCTCTGTGAATATGAATTACTGCCGTCGGCAGCAGAGATAGCGCCTCTGCCCTGCCCTGCCCTGCCCTGCCCCGTCCAACCAAGCAACTGCATCCTCGCCCGTGGCCCTCCTGTCGCTTCAAGACCGCATAAGCCTGCTTCTACTGTATCGGCATCATGACTGCGGCTAGATCACATACATGCCACCCCACAAGTTAAATTCGTCCCTTCGTCTCTCACCCAGCTCAAGTGCCCAGCACGGTGGTTCTGCTTGTTCCGCTTGGACTTTGTGCCGCTTCGACTCCCTCCTGCGCTATTCCCGTACGCCTTACCTTAACCTTGGGCCATCTCCATCTATATGGAAACGCTCGCATTCACTCCATCTTGACGCCTCACGCACCAACTTGCCTGTTCAGGAAAACTCGAGGTGCCAGACCAGCCATGGACCTGGACGGCGGGCAGACCCCTGAAGACGCCTCGACGAGCGAACTTATATCCCCGATCGGTGAGTCAATAAAATCACACTCGTTTTTGTTCCTCTGCCTTTTTTTCCCTGACACGTGCGGCATTCAATGCATGTCGTTGGCTCAGGGCATTTCAATCCCTTTCGGCAAAGTCTCTGCTTGAATGCGAACCCCTGTCCAGCCTTTTTTTCATCCCACAACACAACACGGGCACACTCTTATCACGCATTTCCATGTCAAGAAAGCGTGGGATTCGTGTTACTCCAACGGCGTTCGAGTTGCCCAGTGGCTGCCACCCTGAGTCTTTTGCCTCTCATTTGCGTAATGGCTCCCCCATCCTGTCTTATACCGAACCCCCACTTTGCAATCTCTCGATATTGTTCGTTGCAACACTACTTTCCAATGTTCTCTTTACTGGCTGCCAGTTCATCAATGCGTGTAAGCCGCCGCTACGATGCCGTGTCCAAAGAGACAAGCTGTTTTGCGGTCATCCCCATATAGCTCCTGTTTTTCATCTCTCAGAAACAACACCGCCAACGTCCAGTTGTCTCCCGTCTTTGCCATCATTTAACCAAGGTTCACATGTAGTAGATATTTGGTAATCTATACAAATACTCCTTGATACATGATTGCCCCCGATTTCATAGCTGATGTACTATTTTTCAAATCACGCTAACAAATTGCAAAGGATATTCAAACTCCTCAAAATGCGGTTACTGTGGCACTCGAGGACAAAGTTAGTGCCATCATCATTCTCGTTCATGTATTTCAAGGCGTATCAACGGAGATGGGGAATCCAAGCCTTACCCGCCCTAGACTTGCCGTAGTTGTTGTACTGCTTTCAGAAAGCAAAGATGGATTCCATTTTTCAAGTCACAGGCTAACCCTTTTCCTTGAGCGTTTAGGCTTTTCGTATTATGCCAGTGCTACGTCTCTTAGCCCTCAATTTTATCTCACCATGCTAGATCGTTGTTGGAGGCGATCAGGAAAGCTCCTATATCGCCCCAATCAGCGAGCATCCTGTTGTCCTCATTACACCATTCGTCTAGATTCGGACCAATTTTACCCAACAAGGGGTCAGCGCCAAACCGTTAATCGCTTCAACAAATATGTTTTCGGCGAGGCTTATGCTAAGCAAGCCGCTCGTCTGTATCCAAGATCACGCGAAGAGACCAAAAAGCGTGATAATGAGTTTTGCCTAACAGAGCGTATACACGAGGCTGAGCTAAGTCGAGTCAAGATACCGCCTGAGCCAGCACACAAGTGGGTAGTTACCCTTGAAGAAGACACTTTTACTGAGGAAAAGTATCTCGTTTATGATAACTACCAGAGAGTTGTCCATGGAGATGAACCCGGTGAAAGGACGAGGCACTCGTTTGAACGTTTTCTCTGCAATTCGCCCCTGCAGCGTCAGGTCATGGTTGGGCCTGATGGACGGCAACGCCGCTTAGGTTCCTACCACCAATGCTATCGCCTAGACGGCGTCCTAGTGGCTGTTGGTGTACTTGACCTGTTGCCGCAATGCGTCAGCTCTGTTTACTTCCTTTACCATGAAAGCGTTCATGCATTTGCTCCTGGGAAACTAGGTGCCCTTTATGAAATAGCTCTCGCCGTTGAGGAGGGCTACCGATGGTGGTATCCTGGATTCTACATTCACAGCTGCCCCAAAATGAAATACAAAATCGACTACGGCCCTCAGTATATTCTCGATCCGGATAACTTGGACTGGAGGCCTCTCGACAAGGCTGTTCTGGATATTCTTGGCAGGGACACTTATACAAGTTTCTCGGCAGTCTTGGGGGGAAACGGTTCTAATAGTACATCTGAGATGCGCTCTGCAGTCTCCACAGGCATACCCTCCAGTGGAGCTTCCGAGACGCCCATGTCTTTGGATGAGAGCCCACAGAGCCCGGAGGATGCCAACTCGGACGAAGAGGACGACGAGCAGGTCGACGAAGTGTACGACTCTTTGTTCCGATCCAAAATGCCAGGCATCCCTTCTGTCGCCACCATGGAAAGTTTAGACCTGGACCACATTATTCTCAGAATCTTTCCCACAGGCCCGTTGTTTGAGACATCGGATCTAGTTGGCTGGAGGCACAGCAATATCAGACAGCCGTCGGGCATCAGGCACAGTATTGCACAGCTGATTGCAGCATTAGGACCTGACTTGATGGGTGACATATGTCTAGATCTAGTGCGCCGGCAACTCTAGTTGACGGCATTGGGAAGATTGAACTACCTACCCTCTTCATTCAGTTGGTTATTGTGTGTAGGATTGGTTAGGATACCATCGCTCTTGTAGCGCCAGTGTGTACTTCGCCGGCGGATTGTTGTAGATAGACTTTCATCTTACATTATCTAATTATCGAGGCGCTTTTGAATTCCAGGCCTTATATATGCTTATGCCTTCTATATAAGTCCTTTTGCATTATTCGGTTCTCTCTAGGTTAAGCCGCGTGAGCTTGGGAAAGCTCAGAGCTCCAAGCAGCTGCCCCACCCCCGCATCCTATCTTATCTTATCGCTCACCTAGGTGAGCCGATACAACTTTTTGTCAAGTTCAAAAACCTTTCAGCAACAAGCATCACCAGGCCGGCAATCCACGCCCCCCCTGGAGCAATTGCGACGGATTACCCTGCCTCGGCTTCATAAAAACACATGGAAACACGGTGACAATGGCTCAACAAACGCTTTTATCCCCCGCCGAGCTTGCGTACCTCCACAGTTCCCTCTCCCTCAGCCCGCCCATCCGGCCCGACGGCAGGACATCTAAGCAATTCCGACCCCTGACGGCAGAGACTGGTATCTTGCCTGGCACAAACGGCAGCGCGCGCGTCTGTTTGGCGGACGGCACGGAGGCCATTGTGGGCGTCAAGGCGGAGATTGAGAAGACGGTCGACCCGCTGGGCGGCGAAGGGTACCAGGAGTACGTCAAGAGCGCGAGCGGCGTGGGCGGCGGCGATGCGGAGGAGGACAGGCGCGAGGCGAGGGGCGAGTGGCTCGAGATGACGGTGGAGATTCCGGGGCTGAGAGACGACGATGCGGGGACGGTGTTTTTGGCTGAGTTGTTGAGGGAGGCGCTGCTTGCGGATGGGGAGTTTGCGAAGAAGCTGTGGATTAACAGGCGGTTTCACTGGAGGCTATATCTCGACGTGAGTGGATCGAATCTCTCTTTTGTTCTACATGATATTGGTTTTTGTCTTTGGGTCGGCTTTGTTTAATATTGGGAGTACTAATGAATTTGTGGCCGCAGATTCTTTTGATATCACCACCGCTTTCATATCCTCTGCCGCTCCTCTCCCTCACAACACATCTCGCCCTCCTCGCCACAAGACTCCCGCGTCTCAGATCAGAAGGTGACGAGGATCCCATGTTCGACGACGACTGGGAGGCCGCCCCGTTCCTATACCCCCGCGGGGGCGCGACCACGGGCTCACGGCCGTCCATTACGCTGCTGGTCGTTGCCGTGGGCGACAGCATCCTGTTCGACCCTTCCAAGGAGGAGCTCGCCGTCGCCGACTCTGCGCTGGCCGTGTCGCTGTGCGAGGTTAGGACGCAGCGGGAGCAGGGCGGCATGGAGGTGGATTCCGGGCGCGAGCTGCGGCTGGTGTCGATGCGGACGATTGATCCTCCCTCGAGGCTGACGCCGCCCGGGGTGCCCAGCACGGCTAATCTGGCGGCGAGCGGGACTTTTGATACGACGCAGCAAAAGCAACAGCAGAGAGCGGATCAACATCCCCAAGAAGGCGTCTGGAAGGCACCGCTGGGAGGCACTAGGTTTGCCGTCTTGGATAGCATTATGCAGGCTGTCCTAGAAAAGGGGGGTGTTGCAGACGAAGTCTTGGATGGGCTGGAAGGGGTAGACCTGGCGTGAAAAAAACATGTTGTCATATTCTGGGCTGCGTTTATTTGTTTTGTTGCTTTTTTGCTATATACTGGTACATCTACATCATGTTCGGTTCTCACTGACATTGGGGGAATTTGCCTAATGCCTAATGTGCGGGGTTACATCCTAGTGTTACAATAGAAAAGGGCATCTGGCCCTGCCTGTCAATCAATGCACATATAAATAATCGGCTCATGATGCCTCAATCAAAAGATGCCCAGCCACTTCTTCTTCTGCCCAGCGGGGGCCTCAGCCTCGGCCTCGGCCTGGGACGGCAGCTCGCGTCCCATGGCGGCAGCCTCGAGCTGCTCCTCCGACTTGGGCTCGTCCTTTCCAAACACCATCTGCACGGGGTCCTTGGCCTCGATGCCGTGCATCTTCATAAAGTACCTGCGCTTCGCAACGTCGTCGAGGTGTCGGGTCCGGTGCTCGGTGGCCTTGAGGGCCTTGTCCTTTTCGTGCATGAGGATGACGTTTTTCCACTGGGCGAAGAAGTAAGTGGGCTGGTGCCACAGGTCGGATATCGGCGGCACGAGGTCCTTGAAGGGAGAGTTGTAGGCGTAGTTCATGAAGAAGGTGTAGACGCCCATAGCGAGAAGCGCGCCCTAACGCAGATTAAAACAAAAAAATGTCAGCCCAAACGCCGCACAACAACTCTCAGTAGCAAAAGAAAGAAGAAAACCATGATCCATTGACAGCCCGTACCATGGTGATAAAGGTATGCAGCAGCCTGCTGTGCCAGAACCAGTGCGTCCAGGTTCCCTCGGGCGCCATCATGCCCGGGTAGTTTTTCTTGTTTTGGGCCGCAATCTCGTCCTCGGTCAGGGCAGGGCCGTAGTGCTTGGGGATTGAATTCCGCTTGAGCCTGGACCCGTGCGAGGGCGGGTTGAACTTGGCCGGCTTCTCCAGCACGATGGGCTTCTCGGTCGAGACGAAGCGGACGTGGATGTTCTGCGAGAGGGGAATCTGGATGCCTCGCCAGAGCGGCCCCTGCAGCGGCAGCAGGAAGCGCGGGATGACTGCCCTCGTCACCATTGCGAGTATGGGCTGACGATGCAAGGCGATGGATAAGAGGTGTTGTAGTGATGGAATCCGGACAAGAAAACGAGAAAGAAAAGAAAAGAAAAGATGAACCACAAGCACCGCCGAAAGGCCTCGGTCGGTCTCTCTTTTTTTTTTTTCCCACTGGCGTTGCTATGAAGCTCTGCTCATCCCACCAAAAAAAACTAGCGGGATGTTGAAAAAAATGGGGACCCCCAGGAAAAGGCTGACCTGAGAGCCTCTTTCCTTTGCCGATGTTTCTCCGGCCGAAGAAGAAGCCGAGTTTGAGCAAAAGGAAGCGCGGAACGAAGGAAAATCCGGTGGACCCGGAAGAGAGAAGAAAAAAATCTGGCAGGGAACAAGGATGGGAGACAAAGGGAAAGCCCACATGCTGTGGCGTGGCGCCTTCCCTTGGACGCCGCTTTGGCCGCCCGACTTTACCCGGGGAAATCGCCCGACGAGTGAGCGTGACTGTGTAATTGCGGGCGTGTGATTGGCTGCGCACCAGCCACACGTGTGGCTGATCACCGCCGGTTCTGCAGCACCATGGTGTCATAAACTTTTTTTTCCTTGAAATTTCTGGTTTCCTCCTGTTCCTTTCTTTTCCTTCTCCTATACTTGTCTCATAAACCTATTTTTCAACCTCTGAAAATTTTTGCTTTCCAAAGCAGTTAACCGGCTTAGGTTTCTCTTTGGACTTTTCAAACTCTTACGTCTTTCTTTTCTTCCTAACAACTCTTTAATACCCCATACTTCAACATGGCTGGCGGTAAGTTTGCTTTCAACTTGGCAGAATTCCGGTTGCCGAGACGTTTCCGAACAAGACGTGGGAGTTGCCATTGAGGCGGGCCACGACGGTCGACGACCTGGACGCTTGGTGTTTTGGACTTTCCGGTGAATGATGCACTCAAAGGTGTTTTCTTCGTGTGCTCATGTCGCCGGTGAGAGTGCTGAGGCTGCCTGGCGCAGTGCGTCATTTTCATATGACGGCCTTACGAATGACGGCCCAGTGCAAACACCACACACACACCACCTCGGTCCTTTGTTGTCGACTCCGTGCTGCACCGATTGAACTCTTTTGTCACGTCCTCGAACAAACCAACTATTTCTCGATTTCACAAAAAAAAAAAAAAAAAACAACCCCCGGTTGCTAAGACTTTTTTCTTTTAGGTGACACTAAGAAGGGTGCCAACCTCTTCAAGACCCGTTGCGCTCAGTGCCACACCGTCGAGGCCAACGGCGGCAACAAGATCGGCCCTGCCCTGCACGGCCTCTTCGGCCGCAAGACGGGCTCCGTCGAGGGCTACGCCTACACCGACGCCAACAAGCAGGCCGGCGTCACCTGGGACGACAAGACCCTGTTCGCCTACCTTGAGAACCCCAAGAAGTACATTCCCGGCACCAAGATGGCCTTTGGTGGCCTGAAGAAGGACAAGGATCGCAACGACCTCATTGCGTACGTTTTTTCCCCGCCAATCCCACGTTTGAAAACCACTGTTGCTAACACACCTCGCCCCAGCTACCTCAAGGAGTCTACCGCTTAAGCGATGAATGAAAGAAAAAAAAAGAATTGTAATGACAGAGATATCAATAGACGGGGTGCCGCGATTGTACTACTATAGATAAAGTTAGAATAGTCGAAGCACCATCACTGTGCTTGTACCATTAATATCCAACTCCGCTTTTTCAGCGACTGGACGCTGCTTTGGCCTTTTTTTCTTCTTGGCTCAACTTGATGGCGGGTGTGACGGGTGTGTGTGAGATGCTGAATTTTCTTCTTCAGTGTGTGTAGTGGGGGGAGGGTTGTTTTTACTTGTGATGGACAGGACAGGGTTGAACGGGGACTCGGTATTGGCTGACGGGATCCCGAATCGCCGTCTGCCATGTGTTACATTTGCTACCCTCCTGTTGTGGGAATTGCCGGACAGGGTCACGCTGCATGGATCGGACGATGCATGTGCTGTTACGGAGAATATGTGATAAAAAAAAGACCACCGCTTCGTACTTGTGTACGTAAAATCAACACCACATCTATATGCGTACGCCTGGTATATCTACATTTGCCGTCATCTAAACACCTATGTTTCCCCCCTTTTTACTCCCCCTTTCCCAGCTTCCTATCCAGCTTCCTGTACGAGTCTGGGTTGAGCACGCTACACCGCGTATTCTCCAGCGCATGCTCCCAGTCGTCCTGGTCAATCTCCCGCGCCGCCTTCTTGCCCAGCATAAACTTCCTCAGCGCGGCCTCGGCGGCCTTGATGTGCAGGCCGCCGAGATCCGCGCCGCTAAAGTCCTTGCACCGGGAGTCCAGGGCGACGGCCGGCAGCCTGGCGAGCTCGGCCTCGGAGGCGTTGCCGTGGGCCGTCTTGTAGATGGCGCGGAGGATGTCGACGCGCTCCTCGGGGGTGGGGAGATCGACGAAGAGCCGCACGCTGAGACGTCCCGGGCGGAGCATCGCCGCGTCGATCATGTCTGGCCGGTTGGTCGTGCCCATGACGTAGATGCCCGAGCGGTCTTGGGCGCCGTCGAGCTCTGTGAGCAGGGCGTTGACGACGCGGACGCCGGCGTCTGTGGAGGCGTTGTCTCGTCGGGGCACGAGCGAGTCGATTTCGTCAAAGAAGAGGATGCAGGGCGTGGAGGAACGGGCTCGCTGGAAGAGCTCGCGGACAGCCCGTTCGGACTCACCGACGTACTTGTTCAGCAGCTCGGGGCCGTTGATGAGGATGAAGGAGGCCTGTGCCTCGTTGGCAACGGCCTGGGCGACGAGGGTTTTGCCGCATCCGGGGGGTCCCCAGAGGAGCGCGCCGGCGGGACGTCTGAGACCAAACTCCTGGTAGAGCTCTGGGTTTTTGATGGGCCCAATGATGGACATGTGTAGCTGCTCGCGAACTTGCTCCAGGGCGCCGACCTGATCCCAGGTTACGCTTGGAATCACGGTAAAGCCTTCTCTCCGGAGAGACGGCGTGAAACCCTTGATGGCAAGCCGGAAGTCATCGAGCGTCAACGGCTCTGTGGGTATCGTTGTAAATGCGGGCTGTCTTAGATCCAACGAGATGCCTGACACATCCATCTGGTCTCTGTGGGGAGGCCGAGTAAGTATCTCCAGCTGCCGTCCATCGGGGTCTTCTGCATTGAGAATTCGCTCCTGTGCTGCTTGTTCCGCCAATGTTGTGACAATAATAATGTCTGCGCCGACGAAGCCGTGTGTCATCTTTGCTACTTCTCCGAGGTCTAGGCTATCGGATAGTATCTTCTCCCGCGTCACCACCTTGAGAATATCATGCCGAGCATCTAGGTCTGGCACCCTCATTTGGATTGTCCTTTCGAATAGGCCGGCTTCAAGCGCAACGGGGTCGACATCCGTTAGCCTTGATGTTGTTGCCATTGCCAAAACGTTGGCCTGTTCTTGTTGAAGTCTTTGCATCTGCCGTACGAACTGGTTGAGCATCTTTCGGCCGTGCTCGTTGTGATTGGAGCTTCCCGGGTTAGGTATGTGCCAGTCAAGATCCTCGATGAGGACGATACTCGGGGCCAGCCCGATGGCCGTATCGAAAGCCTCGGCCAGACTCTTCTCCACGCGTTCGGGATCCTCGAAGCAGCCATTGAGAGTGATGACAGGCACCTCAAGGTTCGCCGCTACCGTGCGGATAAGTGACCTCTTGCCCGTTCCCGGAGGACCGAACAGGAGCATTCCGGGGACTCTCCTCCAACCATTTCCTTGGTAGAGTTCCGGACACTTGAGAAGATAACGTGTTTGGCGTAAAAGGTGGCGATGTATCTCGCCAACACCTCCCAGCGGTAACGGCTCGTCCAATTGCTCGACTTTGAAGCGGGTAGACTTGGGCGACTTCTTCTGCACCGTCTTGTCCTGCCTCTCGGGCTTTGGTGTATCTTTCGATGCGTCGCCATTGATTGCCGCCTCGGTACCTGTATCGGGGCCACTTACTGTGCCGTCTCTCTCGTCGCCTTCGGTCTGGATACGTCGTTTCTTGGCCGCAGGCTGCTCGGTAGTGCCCAGAGGTATAGGGTCGACTTGCCAGTGTTTTGTCAGCTGTCGGTTGAGTAGAAATCGATCGTCGTCTGGTTTCTTCGGCTCAGACTCTTCTATAGCTGCCTCTGAGTCTTCCGAATCCTCGAGTTCTTCCTTGCGGAACTGCAGCACCCGATCAATCGAGTCTTCGAGGGGGCGCTTCTTCTGCCTGGAAACGCTCGAATTGGATCGCTTGATGGCATCGTATGCCGCGGTGATGGTTTTGAATGGCTTGCCGTCGTTGGCCTCTTCCAATTTCTTGATGATCTGGTAGACATCTCGATCAAGGCCCTGGCGCAGGTTCAGCCGGGACTTGAAATTGGGCGCCATTTTGGCTGTGAGGCTGTCGACGACGCTCTTGAAAAAGACGAGTTTTGCTTCATGGTTTGCGCAAAAATAAAAGTTGCCCTGTTTAATTCAGCACGAGGCGGGGATGAGATTTTGTATCAGCGCTAGCCGTATATGATCAGTCTATCGATTTAGTGCAGGTTGTGTACAGTGAAGAGTACGGGCACATGAGCGCCGGCGGCAAGGCATTGGGGAGCCTTATTACGCTGCTTGGAAGAAAAAGAAATATTTGACTAAATTGAAAGGAGGTTCCAATGCTAATTTAATTGACATTTCATCGTAAAGTCAATGGCATTTTCTTGGCTTCCACTCTCTTTCGTGCCTATCTATTCTTGATCTAGCCTAAAACCTGTATAAATACCGACCAAGTGAGATTCCGTCCCCGAACCCCTGTTTATCGATAAAGCTTTCGGGCGCCACATGATACATCGAGACAATGACGACAAGGGCCTTGTCCGCCGATTATCGTCCGGACTTGCGTTCCCTCTCCATTCCCCGTCTGCGGACTCACGGTCGAACAAATTGACAAGAGCAGCGGCCGAGTCCGTAGCGCAACGCATCGTCTCTCACAATGGGTGGCAAACAGAGCAAGATCACCGACCAGGACAAGTAACGAGCCCCCAGTCCGCCGTTGTCGCTGCCCACAGACCGTCGACTGACAAGAGAACCACTCCAGGGCGATTCTGGACATGAAGATCCAGCGCGACAGGTTACACCAGTACCAGCGCCGCATCACCGTCCTCACGGATAAAGAAACGGACATTGCCAAGCAGATGCTCGCCAAGGGCGACAAGAAGCGGGCGCTGCTGGCGCTGCGGCGCAAGAAGTACCAGGAGTCGCTGTTGACCAAGACGGATGCGCAGCTGGAGCAGCTGGAGAGGCTGACGGCCAGCGTCGAGTTTGCGCAGATCCAGAAGGACGTCGTGTTTGGCTTGCAGCAGGGCACAAAGGTGCTGTCCGAGATTCACGCCGAGATGGGCGGCATTGAGCACGTGGAGAAGTTGATGGGGGAGACTGCGGATGCGATTGCATACCAAAATGTATTGATTTGCCTAGACTTCTTTTTGCACATCTAGTTACCTCTTGAATGCTGACTGACCATTGCAGGAAATCAGCGAAATGCTCGGCTCGCGCATCACCGCGGCAGACGAGGAAGAAGTCGACGAAGAACTCGCCGCGCTGGAGGCGGAAATGTCCGGCGTGAACCAGAAACTCCCCACGGTCCCGAGCGCTCAGCTTCCCGTTTCCGAACGGCCGGCGGAACAAGAGGAAGAAGCGCAGGAGAACAGACCAGAGAGACAGGCGATGCTGGCTGCTTGATTGACTGAATGAATGACTGATTGATATGGGAGTATTGGCATGTTGGGGTTCCGGATGATTATTAGACATCTATTTCTTTCGTTTTTCATGTTGGGTCATGTGCTTGAGTACATGTATAGATGGCAGCAAACACCATGGCGAGCACGGGAAGGCGTTTTTGTATCTTTCACTACTTTAACATCTTCTGAATTTATATAAGATTTCCATGATTTATTATATTTGATACTAGTTTTGGCCATGTATCATCCATCCGTAAGAATACTTTGTACTTTAGCTGCCGTATTTGGATACCAGCTTCTTCATAATTGACATGGCTCCTCCACGGTACCCCGTCCCAAAGATTGAGTAGTGGTTTAAATGGTGATATCTGTAAAAGGCCGTCAGCTCTGCTTGCCTCTGACTTTACACGCCATAGACTCATCTGTCAATCACGTTTAGCACTCACAATTCATAGAGCATGATACGATCATCCCACTCCTCCTTTGGCTCTGCCCTAGGCACGAGCTCCTCATAGTCGCTCCAAAAGGAACCCCCGTAGCCACCAAACATCCTCATGATGCCCAATTCGTATTCCGAGTGGCCATACACGCAGGAAGGGTCAAAGACAACCTCTTCTCGCCCACCCTGCCCGGCAATCTGGCCCTCGGAATGATTCCCGCTCCAGAGATCGCCGTGGACGACAACGGGCGTGATGCTGATGCGATCGTCCCCGATAAGCCGCGGGACGACGCTACTAGCAATCTTCTCGACTGTGTCGGCGGCCTGGTCATCGGGCCCGTGATTCTCCACGATGCGCCTCATGATGAAGCGCAGCCTGTTCTCGGCGAAGAAGTCGGCCCAGGAGGCGCGCCACGAATTATCCTGCTGCGTGTCGCCGCAGCACGTCGGCACGGGGAAGCCGAACACGGGCCTGTCGAAGCCGTCGGGAACGGGCGCGGGGGTCGTATGCAGCTTGGCGAGCTTTGCGGCGAAAGAGACGCCGGAACCCTTTGACGCGGAGTAGCCAAGGTTGAGGAAGTCGGTGGCGAGGAAGTACTTGTTGGAGAGCTGCAGGGGGCCGTGGAAGTATGATTTGGGGCAGAAGTTGGGGACGGCGTCGTGGATCGCGTTGAGAGAGGCGTGTTCGCCTGTAAGTGAGGAGGCGAGGATGTTTAGCTTTGAAGGCGGAGGGGGGGAGGCTGGATGAGGGGCTGGACCTTGAAACATTACTTTTGCGCCCTCGCCGGAGGCTGTTTTGACAAAGTAGTCGAATGGCTGGCCATCTTTTGTCGTGGAGAGCTTGAAGGTTGATGAGAAGCCTGAGCCCCCGACAGGTGAGATTGTGGTGCTGTTTTTGTCTAGGTCCAAGGCTGCGAGGATGGCGGGATCGATTGTGTGGGACATGATGAATGGGAGATGTTTGAAATCGGTGAGTATGAAGTTGATATATTAGTAGTTCTACATGTGAGTTGTACTGAGTTTGATGTTGTACTAATTATTGATGTGAGCATGTGAGTGACGTCAAGGTGCTGCGTGGATGGCCCCATGAAAATCACACCCAGCAATCTCAACACAGACAAAAGCATTCAGAATGAGAGTATCAAATCATCTTGGAAGTAAAATAAAGTAAACATATGAAAAGCTCTAAATTTCATCAAGGGGGGTATTCCAACCAAAATTCCATCGCTAAGACCCGATATCCGCTCGTATTATGTATTCATCCCTCCTTGCCAAAATCCTTCCCAATCCCCGTTCCTTATTGTGTGTGTGTGTGTATTTTGTCCGGCCTGGCCGCTCGCAAGTGGGGCCGGACGCCGAACCCGAAACTCATCGGGAGAAGCGCCGTTGGTTGCTTTTCCCTCGCGCCCGTTTTATATTGTATTTCGCTCGCTCACTAGAGAGACAAGGGAAACCAAAGTGGAAATGTTGAAACCGAAAATGTATGCATCTCGTCATGGCCAAGGAAGTATTCGTTTATTTTGGTGATTCGTGTTCAGTGACCCGGCGCATCGTTTACTGCTTCTCGACCTTTTCCACGTGAGAAGACGAAGTCGAGCTGATGCGGCCTCGGGGGCTGGCGGGTCGAGACTGGACTGGGGTGTTTGTCTCGGAGCAGTTGGACGACTCGGGGTAGTCGAGCTCACAGGCGGGCTTGTTGTAGCAGTAGTGGCAGGGGCAGGCGACGACCTTGTTGATCGGGGGTCGCGGGGTGCAGTGGCGAGCCCACCAGCTTTGTCCTTGAGAAGAAGGCATAGTGATTGTGAGTTGTGGAGTGAGTTTGTTGAGAAGAAGAAAAGAGTCGAGCGAAACCGGTTGGGGTTTGTGATGTCGTATGTTGTGTTTGTTGATAAAGTAGTGTGTTGTGTTGTTGTGTAAGAGCTCAGTGCTTTAGTGGAGAGCTGTATAATAGAACAGTCGAGTCAAGTCAAGTTCGAGTTTTCTTCACAAGGAGCCTGAAAAAAGATGGAGAAGCTTGTTTGTGAGTATGAGTAGTAAAAACATCAAAAGCAACGGGGGGAGACTCAGATGAGTTTATATACAACTTATCCTCGCCCCCCTCAAGGGTCTCTCCGATATCAATAGTAGTCATTTCGCCATAATTGGAAAAAATGAACAGGAAAAAAAAAAATACCCACTAACCTCATGCGCAGCAAGATGACTGGACAGCCACATACCCGAACACTGCCGAAGACAACACACACACTCCGTTCCCCTGCAAAACCATACCGGAAACGTACAGATTACGGTCTCGGCGCTCCGTCGGTGTTTCGCAATCTACGAAGCTGACTGGCCTCTTTTTTTCTCCGACGCTGCAAAAGGCGGCAGCTTATCAGAAACGCGCCGTCTGGACATCGTGATGGATCACATTGCATTGCAGTTTGTCGCCCAGTGCCATCGATGGAAAAGAGCAACTTCCAAAACAAAAGGACCTGATGAGTTGTGACCGGCCGAATTGGACCGCGTTGGTGCGAAGCTCAACGTCTCTCTCTCTCGTCAAATCAACTGCACTGTAACCTCAGAGTCTCAACTTGATTCAGGCTCAACTGCACTGCGGTAACTAATCCCAACGGGGCCATTGCTGCCTCATTAAGCCCTGCGTAGATCTTGCCCGGCACAACGTAAAGATGCCTCTAGTGGTGACTAAGCCCTGCAGAACTTACAAATTGCGCTGCTGCTATGAAGTAATAGTGCATCGAGTTGCATAAGCAATTCCGCCTGCTTCATTCCAAATTCCAAATCAATCGAGAAAGAGACACGGCAAAATCCGTTCCCAAGTTGCCAAAGTTCCAGAAAGCAACAGAAACCCCCAAGAAATCAAGGAAAGCAAACCAACTGCCGCCCGTGCAGGATACGAGTATTCTTTCAGGCACCAAGAATCTCCATCTCGGCACTGTTCCACTGCAGGGCCACACCCCTGCTCTAAAAAAAGATAAAAAAGATAAAAAAATCCGCAGCCCTTGCCGTGCCATTCATCCGAACCAGCAACATCGAGCAATAACCGAACGACTTCCGAACCACCGCCTTCAAAATCGAAATTGCCGGCCCGCCTCAGCTCCAGCCTCCAAGCTCCAGCTACAAGCTCCCAACATGTGGCGGCTACTCGTATGCATGAATAAGGCACCTAGTTCCATAGGTTCATAGTCCTCGTAAACGGTACTCGTGTAACGGTAGAAGCTCCTCTCATGAGTCCACAATCATCCGATTTCTTTGCCTCTCTGGTCGATAAATCGATGCACTTGGCTCCGTCATCTTCCGTAGACATGGGCACTTATAACGGACGGATGCCTGCCCTTGAAAGACCCAGCACCGACAAAAAAGAAACGGCCCTTTCCAAGCAAATCTTGTTGTTATTATCGTCGTGAAACTCCACTAGGTGCTGACATGGCGGCTCCCTCTCCTGACTCTGGCTCGGGATCCGAATGCCCTCCCCTAGTCGAATCAGATCATTCTCGTCCAATTCTCATCGGTCCGGAAGCCATCCCCAACAGACAAACAAACAAACGCGAACCCGCACAATACTTGCGCCATAGCCATGGTGTGGCAAGAATTAATTAAGGCTTTGATTTTTTTCTCTTTACCTCCTCCTGGTTTCTCACCTACAACGTAAAAAAAAAAAAAAAAAAAGAGATACGTCGATATATGCTATGAACAAGCAAGAGCAACAAAAATGCCTTGACCGCCGCATCATTCCCGAGCCCCTTCTCATTGGTTGATTTGCTCCCCTGCCACCCAAAAACAGATATTACAAGGAATCCATGCCATCCAGTCTTACGACTCTGTTGTTACCGTCTAGATACCCAGGGTGAACTCAACACCAACGTCAATGTCGCGGGCTACATGTTTTGAAAAATTTACATCGTCAGCAGGTGATTCTTCTCTTCTTTTTTAAAAATTTTTTTTTTTCTTCTTCTTTTTCTTTTTCATTGTTCATCATAGAGTTGCGTCGTAAACTTACCCAGCTTGACAACCTTGGACAGCTGCACGGCCTTCTCGGCGGCGCTCTGCAGGTCATCAATAGAAAAGATCTTCATACCAGACTCGTTGATGATCTGGTGGGCAAGCTCGACGTTGGTACCCTGCAGACGGGCAATGATGGGGATCTTGAGGTTGAGGGCCTCGACGGTGCGGATCAGGCCGGTGGCGATGGCGTCGCAGCGGACGATGCCGCCAAAGATGTTGACGAAGATGGCGCTGACCTTGGGGTCGCTGGTGATGAGCTCAAAGGCCTCTCGGATGGCGGCGGGAGTGGCGCCACCGCCGACGTCGAGGAAGTTGGCGGGCTGGCCGCCGTTGAGCTTGATGATGTCCATGGTGGCCATGGCGAGGCCGGCACCGTTGACGAGGCAGCCAATGTCGCCGTCCAGCTTGATGAAGTTGAGGTTGGACTGGGCGGCACGGACCTCGTCGGGGTCCTCCTGGGTAGTGTCGCGCCACTCGAAAACCTCCTGCTGGCGGTAGTCGGCGTTGTCGTCGAAGCCAAACTTGGCGTCCATGCAGAGGACCTGGTGGTCCGACGTCTCGGACAGGGGGTTGATCTCGATCTGGGTGGCGTCACGCTCGAGGAAGATCTTGTAGAGCTTCTGGATGGTGTCCTTGGCGTCCTCGACGCACTGCTCGCTGAAGCCCAGGCCGGTGGCGATGCCGCGAGCAATCTCGTCGGTCACGCCGGTGTTGATGTCGATGTAGGTCGTAGTGATGGCATCGGGCTGCTCCTTGGCAACGGTCTCAATGTCGACACCTCCCTGGGACGACGAGACGATGACGGGGGTCTGGGAAGCACGGTCCATCAGGATAGCCAGGTAGAACTCGCGGCGGGCAAACTTGCGCTCGCAAATGTAGACGGCATTGCACAGACGGCCGCCGGCGCCCGTCTGCTTGGTGATGAGCTTGTGGCCAATCATCTGCTGGGCAAACATCTCGGCCTCGTGGGGGGAGTAGATGACACGGACACCGCCCTTGAGGCCGTTGTCAAAGGTTCCCTTTCCTCGTCCACCGGCGAGGACCTGGGCCTTGATGACCAGGTCGCCGGTACCAATCTCCTTGGCCACAGACTTGGCCTCGGCGGCCGTCTTGGCCACGGCGCCCTTGGGAACGCCTACGCCATACTGTTGTTGCAGAAAAGACAAGGTGCCGTGTCAGCCGGATGCCGCGCGGGGGGGAGGTATTAGAATGAGGTGATTTGGTTTACCTTTCTCAGGAGGTCGGCGGACAGGTACTCGTGGATGCTGAGAGCTCGTCGCTGCTGAGCGACGCCGGGCAGTCGGACAGAAGGAGTGGCGTGGCGCTGCGAAAGGGAGCAGAAGCTCAGCGTTAGAAGCTGCTTGCAAGATGCAACACCCCCAAGGAGGGGCGGGGTTTTTTTTTATATCGGCCAAGGGGGGGTAAAAAGAGAGCAACTTTTGCGACGATTGCATACCTTTGCGGCACTGAGCGCCGACGCCGCCGCGCGGCTACGGCCAATGTTGAACATTGCGATGAAGGGGCTGGCGGCTGCCAAATTGAGTGGAGAGAGACGGTGAGGGAGGGAGATGGAGGAAGTCGTCGTCGACCGAGATGTGGTTTTTTTCTCTTTTTTTTTTTGGCGGTTTGATGCTCAAAGACGCACAGCTCTCAATGCGGAAACCGATTTCCTGGCTTGTTCGGCCTAGGCTGGTGACGGGGGTACCCGAGTTTCGCCGACTGGTGCGGAAAATCGTTGCGCCGGGGCGCGACAGCTGCCGAAGAGCCCTGTCAAGCGGCTGTCAGGCTGGCGGCGATGTACCAGAGTACCTGGGCGGTGTATGCGCAGACGCGGGGCCAGCCGGGTACTCGGTACTCGCTCGTCTTAAGCCAATTGGCGGTGCGTGGGGGGAGCCATGCGGTGCGTCTTTCGATGTTTTGACTGCCGCATCCCGAGCCGAATGAGGCGCAACTTTGATGATAGCCAGGATCCGGGACGCTTGTTTTGCATCACCCCAAGGTTGTTGCCTGATCCACTATACAGGTACGAGTACTCTTTACGAATTACAGAATGTACTTGGGACTGGAGACTTCAGGTTTCTATTAGTCTTATCGATAGCTAGGAGGTACCTTGGCAGTAAGAGACAGGCTTCTTCTTTCAGCTCTCATGTCTCACCGTATGTCTCTCTTCACCTCGTACTCGATCCAATCCAATCCAATCCAATCTATGCAAGGCTTCAAGATCTCATGCACGGACGCCATCCCACACATGCCGGCATCTAACTGGAACCCAACATCCAAACGCCGGATCTACACCACACCCACCGCCGCCCATCCCATGCACCCACCCATCCGTTCCAAGTCACAGTTGAACGCCTCCCAACATCCATCTGACTTGAACAATTCCCCAATACTATCAGCCCTATAACACCTGATATGTTCTGTGCTACATGCTCCGGACTTTTCAGCCCTGCAATTACCAGCTAAATCAATACGAGTAAACGCAGCCAATCCAAATACTACCACATGTAGCCCCAGCCCCCCCTTACGCTATGCTCGTAAGCCAGCCATTCGCAGTCGAGCCTCGCCCAAATGGCTTGCAGCTGCTGGACTCTACTAGTTCGCCTCCAATTCGGGCAATTTCGCCCTCTCCTTTTCCCTTTTCACCTCTTCCTACGGAGTAAATGTGTTCCCCTGCTTCCAGCTGGCCTCGTTTGTCGTATTTCCCCGTATCATCGCCCGCCATTTGCTACAAGGGTCGTGCCCTCTTGCATTGGCTGCTACATTAGCTTCAATGTTCCTTGTGCTCCCTTTCAGCGCCGCCACCGCGCCAAAAATGGCTGCCTTTTTGGAAACCCGGGCTCTCGCTCTGTGACCTATCGCGTCAAAGCCGTAGATTTTTTTTTTTTTTTTTTTAAACTAAACAAGGTTACGGGCCGTAGATCTAGAATTATGCTCGGGTTACAAGTACGAGTACTCGTAGAATGCGATTTCTCGTGGGACTTGGGAATAAGAAGCAGCCGAGCCCGCTTCCCGTTGCAAGTAATAGCGGCTCTCTCTCTCTCTCTCCTGTGCTGTCAACCGCGCGACTCGATTCCGTCCTTTGTTGCTCTCCTGTTGTTTGTTTGCTTGCGTTGCTTTGCGTCAAGCTGGCACGCAGCTGTTGCTTGCCGCGCTCTACAGCTTTCGACATCAAGATCCTTTCGTCCAACGGCATCAACACTGCTGGGGAAAAGCAAGAGGCCGTCATTCCCCACGTCCCAACGTTTCGCCTCATTGGCCATAGCTCTTCTTGTCTGCCCTTGGAGTCCTGCGGTAGGATCAAGTTCGCGGCTTCCTACTTACAGGCCCAGTTCCGTTGTGTAATCCCACCCGTCTGTACCTCTATATATTTTACCCTCGTCGCCCAAGTTACACGGTCCGCCATGTTGCTATCAAGTATACAATCGGCGAGTTTCACCATGGTTGCCAGCGTCGGGCTTGCTGCTGTAACCATCCTGACCGTGCTCGTGTGGCTCCGGCATTTTGCGTCAGATATCAGAATCAGGAAGCTTGGCGGTGTCCGGGCACCAATCCTGGCGGGCAACTTGCTGTCAGGTAATTGTCCCCCCCGTTGACATTGTTTGTTTGCTCTCCCCTGATCGTCACCACAGCTTCCAAGTTATACTACGAGATTGGCAAGAATCAGTACAACAACAACCTTGTCGCTTGGTGTACGGCGCGGCTGGACAAGCTGCCACCCGGAAAGAGAACGTTTGCCGAATTCAGCTTGACGGGATCCAAGAGAGTCCTCATCACCAGGGATCCAGAGCAGACCAAGGCGGTTTTAGCGACCAATGTCGCCAGCTTCGGCCATGGGCCCATGTGGCACAAGCTATGGCGCCCCTTTCTAGGAGACGGCATATTTGCTGTAGACGGACAGCTCTGGCACGACAGCCGCGCCATGATCAAGCCCATGTTTGTCAGGGACAGGCTGCGCAACCTCGTCATCTTTGATACCTGTACTAGCAAGCTGATGTCCAAGATTCCCTCTGCGGGAGCCACTGTCGACCTCAAGGACCTCTTCTACCGGTGGTCGATGGACACGACGACGGAGTTCCTGCTTGGGGAGAATGTCAACAGCCTGGATTTGTAAGAATTGTTGATCCGTGAATCGGTATACGAAAAGGAATGCTAATACCGGGTTCTAGCCCCGACAATGACGTCTTGGATGCCATGCATGTTGCACAACGGATCCAAATGTTCATCTTTGTCCTCAAGTTAGTCTATCCATCGGTTTTGAGCAAAATATGACTGAGCGGGTACTAAACAGCTGCTTCCAGTCCCATCGCGCCGTTGATCCCAAAAGGTGACTATCACCGAGCCATTAGGAAGATGGAAGAGTTTATTGAGCCGGCCATCGCCCGGACTCTAGCCATCCCTCAAGCTCGGCTTGAAGAGCTCTCCAAATTGGACATGGAATTCTCGTTTTTGCACAGCATCGCACGCCACACCAGGGACCCCAAAGTAATCCGAGATCAAATCATGTCCGTACTCCTTGCCGCAAGAGACACCACGGCGGCAACCATGTCGTGGGCAATGTACGAGCTGTCCAACTATCCCAAGCTCTGGGCTAGGTTGCGCAGAGAGGTCCTGAGCGAACTTGGGAGCCACGAAACGCCAACGTACGAGGCACTCAAGGATCTGACATATGTCAAAAACGTCCTCAACGAGACCCTTCGGCTTCACCCGGCCGCTCCTCTCAACATGCGCCAAGTCCTGGAGACGACAACCATTCCGGGCCGACCGGGCGAGCCGGGCGTTGTGCTGCTCAAGGGAGACAGTGTGACGATCAACACGCTCGGGATGCACATGTACGCAGACTTGTACCCTCCCGTGTCTGATACCTTTGCGGATCCCAGGATATTCAGCCCCGAGAGGTGGGAGCACTGGACGCCCAAGCCTTGGACGTATGTTCCTTTTTCTGGAGGGCCTAGGATATGCGCCGGGCAGAATTTTGCTTTGACGGAAATGGCATTTTGCTGTGAGTTGCAGATGGAGATGATGATGATGATGATGAAGATGTCCCTCTTACTTGTGTGCATCAACTGACTGTTTGTCTGTGTCTAGTGGTCCGCCTGGCTCAGCGGTTCGAGAGCATCGAGTATCGCGGCGATTGGGCGGCTCAGAGGCTGCGGGCAGACATCATCGGGACGCCAGCATTGGGAGTTCACGTGGCCTTGTACGAGCCGGGTGAGAAGCCCGATTTGCGGTTCAAAGGCCATGCCAATTAAAAAGGTTTCATGCTACATACAGCTGCATTTGATATTTTACATAGTCTATACCCATACGTTAGTTTCGTCATGAAGAGCAATACAACAAAATCTGATGCAATATAACGCCTTCCCTGTATCATACACCCGTAGTTAGATTACTCAAACCCAGACCACACCGTCCCCAGCACCCTCCCCCGATCATCGAGCCTCACTCCTTCGCCCCTCAGCAAGCTCTTCTTCTCCGTCATCGTAATCCCCTCCCCGTCCTTGGGCCAGCTGCCCTTGAACCCGCCCAGCGTCCCTCCCGTCGCCACCACGCGATGGCACGGCACCTCTGGCGCGAACGGGTTCCTCCGCAGCGCGTTGCCCACGGCCCGCGGCGACGTGCCCAGGTGCGCCGACAGCAGGCCGTACGTGGTCACCCGGCCGCGCGGGATCTGGCAGAGGGCCGTCCAGACGCGCTTCTCGAAGGGCGTGCGCTGGCTTTGCGCGATGCGGAGGAGCTGTGGCTGCATGTCTGCCGGGACGGGGATGGACGTGGATGTGGATTTTGTGGCTTTTTGGACTTTTGAGATTGAAGGTTTCATCGCTTTGGTGGTGTGTGCTGGTTTTGGTTTGTTGGGTTTTTGTATGGTGGGTGCCATGGGGAAAGGAAAAGTGTTGATTGCTTGTGTTTTTGTTTGCGAGGTGGTGATGAGTCTTTGTGTGGTTGTGCGTGTAAGTGGTTTCGAGTGTCTTGGTGTGGTAGAGATGGTACCGTGTTTGTTCTGATGATTTTTTTTTGGAGTATGAATTAATATTGTTCGAGGTGAAGTAAATCAAGGATAGGGTGATTTTCAAAGGAATATATATATATATATATGTGCACGGGCGAATTCGGTATTCCTGGTCAACTTATTTGTCGCAACACACAATAGTTGGTTAATTGGTTGGCGTCGCGATATCGAAAGCAACACTCGACGCCGGGTCACGTGGCATTGCTTCGGAGCTGCGATGACATCAGCGGGTGAAGGGCATCAAACTTGTGTTGCGATGAATATGGCGTAGGATTTCTCATGGTGGATTTCTTACAATGGAATTCAAATAGGCAGTGTAAATCTCCATAGAATATATGCAGCAAAAAGACTCATCCACGTCCACGAGCTTAGTAATAAAATACAATCTTGTCTATTTCAGTTCCATCACCACCAGGCCGAGAATTAATCAGAGTAGTAAATTCAACATTTATATGATCAATGGCCGCATGTGCCTCTAACCTAACGCCGGTATCATGCCCCTATAGTGATATCGCATCTTTGCTCCGTGCCCGCAACGTACTTGTATCGGCACCATTATAATCAAACCCTTTCGTGGAATGGGCCGGGGCAGCTCTAATTCAGAGACCTGCCTCGCCCTGGTATTCTGTCTCTCTAGTCGTCATCGTACAATCTCTCCGTAAATCGGCCTTGGTAGTATTCTCATGAGCCGTGGCCTTTGTCTTGTTCCTTTGTAGCTTCGCAAGCGTCTTAGACCATAAATGACTCTCCGCAGCCGCATTGCTCCTCTGCTACTGGTCAGTCTCTGAATATCGTAGGAATAAACAGCCAATGAATTGATATGACGGGATAGCACGTACTGATGTTGGGGTTCTTGAACACAAACTTCTGACTCAGTTTATCTTCCGCCCAGTCCATTTCGCTGCCGATGATGCTGAAGAGCGCCTTGCTGTCAATCAAAACCTTGACGCCGTCTTGCTCCACCAGTTCATCGAAAGCGCCCGGTTTGTCGACGTATTCCAGCTGGTAGGCCAGCCCACTGCAGCCTCGGTTCCGTACACCGACCTTGATGAGCTTCGGGTCGGGCTGGTTGAGCAGTGCGCGCAGCTGCTCCACGGCAGCGGGTGTGAGCTTCATTGCCGCCTTGCGCGCGCGAAGCTTGGAACGAGGTCGGGCTGCAGGGGCAGGCTGCGTCTTTTGCGCATCGGTCTCGGCAGTTTTGGGAGATGGAGGAGCCGAGGAGGTCGTTGGAGAAGGCGACTGAGCCTCAACCTGCGGTGGGGCCATCGGCTTGGGTACGGCATCGTGTTGAGGCGGCGGCCGTGTCTCGTGGACTCGAGGAAGGGCCTCTGGCTGGGCAAGGGATGACTTGGCGAGGTTGTCGCTTGTGGGAGGCTCGGGGATTTTGGACGGCAGCGGATAGGAGTGGTAGGCAAAGCCGGCCACTCTGGATGCGCACAGGTGGCGGAAGGACGAGCGGCTGAGGCGCAGCGCGGCGCGGCCGGTAGAGAAGGAGACGTTCATCATTGTATCATAAAGATGCTGCCCAAACGTGCATGCTTGGGGGATTGTGGGAAGGATTGGGATCCGGAGGTTCCAGGTGGGGAGGGTTAGATGCGGATGTTTTGAAATCAATTTCTCGGCTCAGCTCAGGAACCCTCAACGGTTATGACATGATCTTTTTGCCGTCCTGTACCGCCGTGGCCCTGTGCCCGCACAGCGGTCGGCCGAGCCAATCGGCATCCGAGAATTAGTCAGTGGCTGAGGGAAAATGTCGGAATAGCCATTTTCGGTTTGCCGCTACGTATCTTTGCGTGGCAAATGACCAAGGCGCTAATAGAGCTTTGACAGCAATGTTTGCACAGCTAATAAGCTACTAATTGCGAAAGGTGATGATGCCTGGGTATCTGAGTTGAAGCATTGAAGCTGCAGATGAGTCTATTATTAAGTATCTAGGTAGGTATGACTAACTTTGGTTCGATGGTGTTCAAAAGGGTTGGGTTCTCTTTCTGGTAACCCTTTTGGGGTATTCTCCTTAAGATGTCCATATCCACCAATTACAAGCTGTAAGATCGAGCTGAAATGTGGTATATGCTTGACAACCTTGAAAAGTAGATGGACATAAATTGAGCAAGTGGAGCGTGCAAGTTCAATCAGCGACCCAAGACTTTGGATTCAAATGGACTACATCAAAACCGTTACCTAAACTCAATCATCTATTACCATCATCCATTGCCGGGTAGGAGAAAGAAAGCAGACGAAATCCCCTGGAAACCGAAGGGATATATGAGAGCCAGAATCTGGTATTATCCAAGAGCAACTCACAATAGAGGGCCTATAGGTGTGTCATTGTTGTGAAAGGGCTGAGTCGGTGAGCAATTGTGGAAACTGCTCACTGCCGCCAAATGCTGCAAGGGCGCCGAAAGTGGTATTTTCCGACGACATGCAGGTGCAAGAGGCTGGCTGAAAGTGAACAAGACAACAAAAAGGCACAGCAAAAGACGCCCTGCCATGAGCCCGACAAAATAAGCTGCATGTACTTCGTAGTCTAATCTCCACCTCGATCCCATTTAGTCATGATCGACATCCCCCAGCCACGTCATATGCAGCTGCATTGGCCATCACGATGCCATCAATGGCCTAAACATCAAGATGACCAGGGAGAGATTAAGTTTATCCTCTTTCGACTACGGATACGACGCTGTCATGTAGCTACCCCTGCCATAGCTCTGTCCAGGTGCATTTCAGCTCCCAATGGCAATGCCGGCCAGCGGTGCTTTCGTCGTCTCTGCCTGCGACTCAGCTGGTTTATTGCATGGCAGCTTTGCCTTTTTTCACCCCGAGACATTGAACGGCTGAAAACTCCGGTGGGAAATCGGCAAATGAGGTCTTTGCAACAAGATCATGGCCGCAGGCACTGCAGTTAGGTCTACTACAGTCCTACTACCATTTTCCAGGTAACAGTGCTGCGATGGGAGTATAAATAGAGACGTAATGGTCGGTAGAACAGCTCTTGTCAACTCTGTTCTCACTCTCAGTTCATCAATCACCGGGTTTATCAACTCTCAACTTTTACAGTTGCCATGGCTGTACACAAGACGCTGGTTCAGGTCCTCGTGGCTTCAGCCGCAATGGCTAGTGTTGGCACCGCTCATGCCATCGCCGTCCCTGCCGGCCAGCTAGATGCCCGCACATATCCGACTCCCACGTGTGACCCAAGCCAAACAGTAACACAGACGGAGACCAAGACAGTCACCTCGTGGAAGGCCCTGTTGACGATTACTCTGGGTGGAGGCACCAATACGGAGACCAAGACTGAGATCTGCACCGTCACCGACACGGAGACGGTCACCCAGACAGAAACCTCTACCTCTACCACCACCGTCACTCCGACAATCACACCCCCAAGCTGCCCGACGCAGTGTCCGCCTCCTCCGTCGTGCAACAACCTTGGGTTTGACTGGGCGTACTACAATAACTCGGCTCGTAACACCGACACAACATACTCTACCTTCCACCCAGACTCCTACAAGAAGACAGCCCCCATCTATGTCGGCACCACTTCATATGTCGGCGGTCTTTATGAGGGCTCTGGGACAACTGGCCCCATCTACGATTCCAGCCGAAACTTTCCTCTCGATTTCTTTGCCCTGAACCACCACGCCTACATCTACGCCTGCGAGGCCGGCACATATAGCATCTCCATCCCCTATGCAAACGACGCCGTCTACCTATGGACCGGTGCGAGCGCCTACTCTGGCTGGACGGATAATAACGCGGTCGCCAAAGCACGTTACAATCAACCAGACCACATCGCCGGCCGTGCTAGCTTTAATCTCGACATTCCGGCTAATTCGTACGTGCCCATCCGCTTCTTCTATGGACAGGCGCAGTACGGCGGAGGCTTCAACTTTAACATTACGACCCCGAGCGGACAAGTCATTGTCAGCAACGAGGAAACGTTTAGCCCGTATGTCGTGCGGTATTCGTGTGATGGAACTACGGCGCCTCCGTTTCCGGCATTTGGAAAGGAGACTTGATTAGCTCCATCACATCGTTGGGGGAAGCAGTCTGAAATATACTGGACGTATTATGCTTAATATAGGTATATATTAAATAAAATGACTACCGGGCACTCACCAAGTACATGCATTTCTTCCAATGTCGTGGTAATAAATTTAGAGATTATATACAGGCTGTGAAATCTTCGAGGGAGACTGTCTCTCGAACAACTGATCCCGACAGAAATTTTGGAATTGTCGCTTCTTAATAACTGAAACCAGGGAGCTCCTACAGCATTACACTGGAATATACCTTGAAGAGACTGGGCAGCCAATAACTGCACGCATTAGGCAGATGTTGGTAGTACCGTTGACCAAGATGCCCATTGAGGCTTCTTCTACCCCGTGGCTGTGGCTGTGGCTGTGGTGGCGGTGATGGCGGTGACGGCTAGTCCAGCCACACAAAGAGACTGTACTGTTATTAAAGGCATTTATTCAATTCTCGCAATAGTACATCAGTTGAGGTATTTCCTACTTTTGCCGGGTGGATGCCCTGTTCCTTGAAGATCTGCTACTGTGGCTATGTACATTTCTCTATTGTCCGCTATATTCCGACTATATATCTCCTGTATTTGGTAATATGGCTATAATCCTCTAGTCCCTGCATACATGTACTAAAACCATCTTCGTCTAGTATCGGCTAGTTTTCACTAGGTACTAAGACAGCTCCAAGCTTGAGACCGGATTACTGCATGGCCGCTCCCTATATTAGTCTATGGACAGTAAGAATGCCTCCCGCCCTGTCAGACGGCACTCGATGCCCTGTCAGATCCAGATCGCGAGTGGGCTTCAGGCACCAATCTGCCCGATACAGCGGCTGAGTCTTATTCAGTGGAGCGCGCTACGGCGGATTCAGCAACATAAGCCTCTGGTAAGCCTCTGGAACCGCCTAGCGCAGCCCTTGGCCAGGCACCCGGACTCTTTGAGTTTCCATCCTTCAACTCGGATCGGTCCTCGATCAACAACAAGCATCAAGGCATCGGCACCGTCAAAGATTGCATCTCCACAAAGGCCCGGCAGTAATGGATGATGAAAACGACGATTTGGAGGAATGGATGCGCGCAAATCCCCTCCCTGCATCCCCGGGGGGCACCGTCCCCAGTTATGGTCTGGTACAGGTGCCGAAGCTGGACAAGTGCGTCGTCAGTCCTGAGCGATGGTGCAGAGCTTGTGGGGAGGCCATGAACGGTGGGGAGTCTTTTGTATCTGGTAAGTCGAACCAACTGTTCCCCTCTTCCATGTCCGTTCTGTTGGTGGGGGGTTTTCGCTGATCGGTTAAGTGCAGTCTTCCTCGAAGAGGGCTCAGTTAGAGTCGATGGCCCGCACAAATATCTGGCTGATGAAGACGATGACGAAGACGAAGACGATGGGTCTGACCTGCGGGTGGTCCGTCGACCTTTCTTCAGCTGGGATCCCTTTGGTAGGCCTCGGAAGCCCAACTACGAGAGTGCCACGATACACACCGAATGCTTTAATCTGTTCCGACGCAACTGCCCAGATGGCCAGGCAGCGCCCCGGCTGTTCCTTGCGGCACGCTGGAGAAGCCCTTGGGAGGGTGCGCCGAAATTCATATTGAGCGTCAAATCCGATGTTACTAGCTTGATACGGCTGGCGGCGATAGCATGCAACATGCCGCAGCTGGAACTGATGCCGACGGAGCTCAAGCGCCTGGTGTGGGAAGACTTGATCGCCCAACCGTGCGCTCTTACTCGCTATTACTCTGTTGTATCGCTAGCCGCCGATTCGAGCTGCCAGCCTTTGGATGGGCAAATCTCAATGCCCGTTGCCAAGGTTGCTCATTGGGAGCGAGGCCAAGGCCCGGCGAGCGAGGAGGAAGTCCTTCCGCCCGTCATTCGAATCGTCATTGATCACCAGGGAATCAGCCGCATCGAGAGGCTTGCAAAAAGGCCCGAAGCGCTTTCACAGCCATCGGATACTGAATTGTACATTGTGGAGAGTCAAGAAGCGCTAAAGCATGTCGAGGTGCAATTTCAGGTAACTCACCAACAACCGCCCCAAATCAATTGTATTGTGCTTGTCACCTACCAGGCTAACGACCATTGAATATGATATAGTCAGGATTAGCGCGCCTAAGACACCACGGGGATGAAAAGGCATTGAATCTTCTTCCCTGGGATACGCCCTCGCCTCCGGTGGTAGAGCATCTGCTGAGCCCAACAGCCGGACGGCCCAGTTATGTTAGTGTAACGCAATTTTCAACCATTGAGGTGTCAAAGATTACAGGAATGACATTTTTCATGACCTGGGCAAATCATTATGCCTCACCTAGGGGAACTGGGCCCCAGTACTTTATGCATGCGCACACCTCCAAGGAGCCTTCTGCCAGATCAACATTCGATAAGCTCCTCTACCCACAACAATGGGCTGGGCTTTGGCACTATGTGCCATTTCCACATGGCGACCGATTGCTGTGTTTTGGAGTTGAACACGAATCTGGGACGAGTCTCAAGGTCTTGGTACGAATCTATGCTTCCATTGGCGTCTTATCGTCTGGTCTAACTTTGTTACAGTTTCGATTTGAGAAAGCCGGCGATGTCACGGTTGGCATCCATTATGACGGATATCCCAACCGCACCCAGACGCTGTGGCCGGCAAGCGACCGGATGCAGCTGATTTGCGGTCTATCAGAGACCGGCAGCGTCATCACACTAGATGCACATGCCGAGGGGGATGACATGCCAGACAGGCCTTTCAGACTGCCCTTTAGGCAGAGCGTGGTGCCATTTAGTCACGGAGGATGCTTGTCGTGGGCGCCGCTGGAGCACGTCGCACGCCTACGGCTTTTCACGAACGAAGATGACGGCGTCTGCCGGGGCCTCTTGTTAGAATACGAAGACGGTGGACAAAGAACCGTTGGAGAATGCCGAGTTGGCGTTGATGTAGAGCGGGCCTATGTGAAGCCCGTGTGCCTTTGCATTGGGCGGAAGTCGGGGTATTCCCGCTGGAATGTTCGAGCCAGAGTTGATGGTCAAGCGGAACACACGCACACGGAGAGGAATTGGCAATGTTACGAAATGCGAGGCAGACTTGTTTCCTGGCAGAGGCGGGGGTATTCTACGCTCAAGGTAGTTGGTGAGGATGACGCCGGTGTTGATAATGGTGGTGATGGTGCTGGCGCTGCTGTTGTTTTTATTAACGATGATGATGATGATGATATGCCATTTTAAAACCATCTGTTTGGTTTTGTATATGATTGGCACAGGATTGGCAGATGACGATATGTTGGATGATAGATGGATATTGGCAGTAAGACAAATTGACACCTTTTTTGATGAACAATGTGTTGTCCCTAAACTACTAACTTGAAGGATAGTTGGCAGGCGAAATAGACTTGAAACAGCAACCTGAAAGCTCAGTTCTACTAGATACTACTAATACAACTTGGAATATACAAGGTACCCAATTTGTCTGCGGCACAACTCTCAAGAGAAAAGTCTCGACTCTGTACTTGCATGTTGGCCACCACGACATTCAGCAACAGAAACAGGCCACTTTGGCCCAGTGTAAATAACCAGGGTAACATACAAACTCTGCATCCAAGTGTTTAATGTCGCAGCCTTCACTACCCTAATAATTGAACTTGGGTATTACATGTCAAGGCCTTCCAAACTCGATAACCTGGTACGTACCCGCCTACCTCCGTGAAGTACTAAAGGTACCTGCCTCTTGTAACTTGCCACAACTTCTCACTACCAACGTTGGCTAACCCTGTATGTAAACACCTAACACCACAACCCTTCAACAAAAACAACACAAAATAAGGCACTTTGGCCGAGCGGTCTAAGGCGCCGTGTTCAGGTTCAGCTTGCTTCGCGGTCTAGTAATAGGCGAGGGTTCGAATCCCTCAGGTGTCATTCTTTTTGTTGAAGTTCTCACCCCCCCCTTTTGTTACCGAACAGGAGCACAAGTTGCGAATGGCGGAGCAGAGGGTTACTTTTCTTTTCTTTCTTCTTTTTTTTTTGAGTTCTTTTGTGTTGCGAATTCTGGCGCCCGCTCTCTGCTTACATTCCCTGGTTTGGTGGGGGCTCGCGGGAGACTGGAAATTACCTACCTATAGTAGGTATGTGCGAACAACTTTTTACTTGTCAAACTGTCTCCTGTTTTGCTATACTGCCAAATCTTCTTTCTTTCTTTCTTTCTTTTCTTTTCTTTTCTTTTTTTGCACGTTATAAGTCAAGACTTGAGTCAAATTGTAACATTACATACATCTTCCACGTTAACACGAAGCAAAAGGCCACAAAAGGGGTCAACTTCCCAACTCCCTCCCACAAGAAACAAAAAAAAAACATATACACGTCCCCAATACAAGGGGGGTTCAGTGCTCCGTCCATTACGGATAAAAAAAAAAATTCCCACAAAAAAGATGACCGCTACGAGCACAAGGTACCTCGCTATATCCGACCAGCGCGGCCGGGCGGTGCCGTCTTGGCCACGTTCCCTTCGGCACCTCGCCGGCAATTCGCCTCTTGGCCTACGCACAAGTTTTGATTTTTTTTCTTTGGCGCGGATTTTCGGACAATTTCTCGATTCTTAGCGTTACGGAGATGAAAACTGGGTATGAAATCTTAGCACGCACTTGCAACGGGTACTTGGATCTACGGCTTTTGAAAATACGGGCACAACTCTCGGTAGTCTCTCTTTGTTTTTTTTGTTCTCAGGGTGGAAGAGGCTATTATGATACTCCGTAATCGGCCGTCCAACAGCGGCAAAATGAATCATCTCTTCTTGACGAAAAAAGTGTCCAGAATCGTTCGTCTGATGATTCGAGTGGACTCCCCAGCCCGTGGAAAGTGGCGTGGCGCTATTTTATACGACAACGTTAACAAGAAAGAAAAAGTTATGCATGGAAGTATTCGAGAAAGGCTAGGACACTGGCGCCGAGCTAGGAGAAACGCATCAGCTAACGGGTTTCCACTCAGACAGGAGCAAGAGTCAGGTCATCACAGCTGTCTCTCTCTCTCTTATCAGTGGGTAACAATGCTTGTGCTATAAACATGCTGTGATATTGATATTGAATGTTTTTCTTTGTAAAAAGTCATTATAATACATTAAACGCGTGGTATCTACATCCGCTCCATTACAGTACTGTACACTATACACAAAACTCCCCCCTCTCCGCCGTTAGTTAGCCTCCGTCTCGGCCTCAACCTCCTTGCTGGGAGGAAGGGCGGGTGCCTCGCGGTCGAGCTCGAATGACTCGTCCTCAATCTTGTCGTAGTGGTGGAAGAGGGCGAAGAAGACAAAGGCAGTGATGATACTGGCTCCGGCAACACCGGTGTACATCCAGATGAACTCGGGGTCCTTGGACACGGAGACCAGGGCCTCGGAGATGGCAGAGCCAAAGGCGTTGGTGAAGAGGTACAAGCTCTGGACAAACGACTTCATGCTGGGGGGAGCCTTGGTGTAGGCGTACTCGAGACCGGTGACGGAAATGAAGATCTCGGCCAGGCCGACGAAGACGTAGGCAGGAGCCTGGACGGCAATGTGCACGTTGTTGGGGAGAGTCTTGCCGTCGACGTTGGCGGCGTCGCACTCGAGGGGGCTCTTGTAGCAAGGGCCGGCGTTGTAGATGAGGTGCTGGACAATGGCGGCATAGCCAAGGCACATGGAGATCCAGACGAAACCAAGCGTTATTCGGGCAATGGGTCGGATCTGGATGCCGGCCTTGCGCAGTGCGGGGTACACGAGCATCTCGAGGAAAGGAGTGAAGATGAGAATCGAGATGGCATCAAAGTTCTGCATAAAGTCGTTGGGCATGCCGTGGCCGTTCATCTGGCCGGCCTGGGTAACAAAGTTTGTCGAGAATTGACCGTAGCCAACCCAGAAGATGGGGTAAAAGACAAAGACCTTGCAGGCGCGGATGGCACGCTTGAGCTCGTCGACGAAGTGGTCGTTCCAGACAACGGGCTTGGTCTTGCCGTGGGCAGCGCGCCATGAAGGCTTGGCGGCGTCCATGTCGCGGCTGGCAATCATCATGCCGAGGGCCTTGAAGGCGTCGGTGATGATGGAGCCCTGCGGGGGGTGGATGATGTACGACTTGCGGCGGATGACGAGGATGAAGATGCCCACGTTGAACATGAGGAAGCACATGAGGAAGGCGGTCCAGAAGCCGCAGTACTTTTCCATGAAGGGGGTGGCGATGAGGGACAGAGAGCCCAGGTTGATGCACCAGTAGAAGATCATGTAGATGCGCTGGTAGGTAATGGCAGGGTCGATGATGATTCGCTCGCCAGAACTTTCTGTTCGGATAGCCATGGTTCGGCGCTGGTACTGATCGGCAATCAGGGGGGCGATGTTGGACTTGATACCGCCGGTACCGAAACCAATGACGATGATAGCAACAATGTATCCAGGCAGGCCGGCATTGGCCGCGTGAGCTGCAGGCAGAGATGTCGTCCAGAGGATGACGAGACCGACCCAGTAGACGCCGCAGAAGAGCATGATGGCCTTGTACTTGCCCAAGTACTGATCAGAGATGATGGCACCGAGAATAGGAGTCACTGCACAGGAGAACCCAAAGTCAGCAAAGGCTCCTCCTCGATGTAGCTGACGGAAGCTCATTGTTTTGACGTACCGTAGCAGAACCATTGGAAGAACAAGTTCAGACCAGTGGCGGCCTGGCCACCCATACCCAGTCCGGGAGCATCGGTGGTGTCGCCCTTGTCGTTGCTGATGTAGTTCTGGAAGAGACCCGAGGCACCGTAGTAGGTGAAACGCTCCATAAGCTCGACAATGGCGATGAGGAAGGCAGAGGCAGGCAGGTTCTCGCCAACACGGCGCAGCGTCCGCTTCTCAAAGTCATTGGGTTCCTCGCCATCGGCGGTGTTGCCCTCCTCGGCACTCTCCGGCGAGGAGCTAAAGTCCTTCTTCTCATCGGCAATGAAGCCTCCAGCGAGATCGCGAGTCTCGCCGTGAGGGACACGCTCGTTGAACTCCTCGTGGAGCCTGTCAAAGCAAGATGTGTAAGTATATGGCTAGATGGTGAGAAGCAAGAGAAGAAGACGAAGAAGAAATAATCTTCAGTCCCTCCATGGAGACGTACTCAGCAACGGTATCTTCGTGATTGTTGGCCATGGTTGCAATCCGACTATTCGTCTACACCTCTACTGTTCCAAACCCAAGACAGGCCCTTTCAAAGAAACGACAAGACCAGCCAGGAAGTGAGCAAGGGAAGAACAAGAGGAGAGAAGGACGAGTAAACCGCGCAGACGGGGTGGGATGCCACGATTTAAAGGATTTCAGGGCACTCCAGTCTCCAACAGTCCACTCCAGTCGCCAGTCTCCAGATAGATACAACGTTGTCCGCCACCAAGCTTTCGTAGTCTCAGGACGGGGACGAGAGAGAGACAGAGGGAGCTGCCCCCCCAGAACTTTTGGCCCTAGCCACGCCGCGGTCGTCTCGCTTCGTGCTTCTTCCCCACGGGCCAGTCCATGTATCCTAGGTAGTACGAGTGGTTTTAGTTTCCCAGCAGCCTGTATGTACTCGTACGAGTACACCCACGCGGCGAGGGCGCTGACTTTGGCAGTTATCCGAGGCCGTCAATCGTCATAGCAAGAGGGCAGACGCTGCGATTCGTGCGAGTGAGATGCGGTCCCTCGCCATCAGCCCCATCGGACGGCAAAGACCTTGTTGAGCTAGGCCACAAGCAGCCGCCTGGTGGTCAGGGGCCTCCCTTGCTCCGTTTGTCGTTTTTGCCTTGTTCCTTGTCTGTGGTTGGTTTTCCTTTGCCTGCGGTTGATTCTCTCTCAGATCGAGGTCCACAGCCTAAAGGCCCGAAACGAGCAGGAGGGCCACGCGAGTTGCCCACCAAGAAAAAAAAAGCCATGCCTGGCAACTCCGTGGCTGCCGCTGCCTCGAAGCCACCGGCATGTGGCGTGCCGATTAGTTACCTGATGGCTATAGTAGTACCTGTACTTGTACTAGTAGTTGGGAGCATTTGCGGGTCGGGGCTCATCGTTGCTGCTGTTGGAAATTGGCCGGAGATGTAAAGGCGAGGTTCGCGTGTGTTCTAGCAGTTCCAGCGGCTTGTAGGGCCTGAGATGCACCGAGGCAAAAGGCTTGCAGATGATTCTAGTGGCTACAGGGCAATTGCCTAGCGCCTCCGCCCGGGGGGCCACTTGCCTGGGGCGAATCAGCGCGCGGAAGGGGCGACTCAGATGCGCGTTTTTGGAAGAGCGCAGCCACTGGCCTGGGAAGGTGCCGGCACGGGGGAAAAAAGAACCGAACCTTGAAGCATGCACAAAACTCAATCCTCAATAAGCGTATATCCCATGCGATGCGACGCCCAGTTCGCAGCATCAGGTTTTCTTCTTCTTCTTTTTCCTTTTTCGGCCGTGGCATGATTCGTGGACCTTTGACGACTCGCCAGGGCTCTCACGTGCCAGCCCGGAGCTTGTCTTGTCCATCTTTACCGCAGACGGGAGGTGGCAGTCGAGTGTCGGACGACGGGCGACTCGAACGGACTCGAATGGACAGGTACTTGTGTGTCGACAGGTTGCATTCGATTCGGGGCCGGCAATGGCAGTGCACAAGGGTCAGGGGACGGGAATATTCACGAGTACCGTCGGGCTACTACCAGCACTAGCACCAGCACTGCCGGTACGAGCCATGCGCTCAACTGCGCTACCTACAGAAGGCGCCGGGCGCTACTGCTACCATACATACGAGTACAGCAGAAACAATTTGATTTGAAAGACGGAATCGGAAAAGCATTCATTGGATCGAATGTGCGCTCGACTATGCCCTTCGTGGCCGCCTCAGCACCTCGTCGGGCAAGGAAGCCGAAGGGCGGTTAACCTGATCGGTTCAGGCCACGCAAATCGTCATCAACAATGCCCATGTTACATACGAGCACTGCGGGCATAAATGGCTCGAAATGAGGCTCAAGATGAGACGCCCGACGTCTGCTGCATTGCAATGTCCGGGCTCCAGCTCAGCTCAGGCCGCCAACCATTGATTGAGGCGCCATGCCATGCGCTTTTACGCGCAGACCGCCAGAGCCCGAGTCATTCATCCAGTTGGCGATGCCTCGGGCGGCGATGTGCCGACCATGTAGGCAGTACTGCGCGCTTCGTGTGTGTTTGGCTCGCCATGCAGGTACCGTATACCCATGACTTGCCGTGCTGGGGCAGGCTGACTGCCAGCTCAGCCGTCTCGTCAACTCCGTTCCGTCTTCTTGCTCTTAGCCTTCCTCACCATCCAGCCGCACCACCGTTGCTAATCCCTCCCTCAGGCGCCTATTTCCGTCCTGGTGGCGCGAGCATGAGCATTTGCCTACTTAGTACGGATTGCCTAGCGTCAGGTACAAGTGCCATTTATGCAAAGAGAAGCTGCATGTGAAGAATCTGATGATGGGCTAACTGGGATTGTTTAGCAGCGGCACATCTACGAGATGCCAATGCTTGCAATCATTCTTCTAGAACACAGTGGCAAAATTACTGCAGAACATTCTTGTACATACAGTAGCGTGCGATGCGGCTAATTATCACCGGGCAGTCATCCTTTCGACATCTACATACACCAAATCTACGCTTCGTATTCAGCACATCTGCGGCATCAATGGCACCACCTCGCAACCCGTGTCATCGAACGGCTAATCGGCGCCCTCGCCAAGGGGCTTGCGGAGAGGCTTGGGGAACTTTTTGACTGACTCCTCCATCTGTGCGCACCCTTCATCACGGCCTCCACACGCGTTGTGCGATGGTGCGGAGGGTGGAATTAAGGGTTCTGGGGTTGAATCGCATTATGTACGAGAAACCTCAAGACGTGGTGAGCTGAGGCTGTATTGGTCAGTTCCCGCAACCCATGTGGGGTGATGACCATGCTTCAGTTGTTTACTTCTGCTACCCTGCTTGCCTGCCATTGGTGAGAGCCGATTCTCCGTACGGTGGCAGGAAAGCTCGGAAAACGGAAGAGTTTGGCTGAGCAAAGCCAGCGACTTGGAAATGAGGCGGCATCGATGCTTGCACTCGCTAATAGTATAGGAAACTAGGCACGGACAATTCGGAGATATCCTTCTTCTGGTGCCGAAATAGCGCCCCGGTCTGAACACTCCGAGACTCCAAACGCTCGACGCAAAACTTGCTTCGTCCGACTATGTAGGTGGAACAGGAAAATAGTCTAAGAGGTTGGGGAGACGGGGAAAAGGGGGTCGTGATGGAGACGAGTGTCATGCTCGGTGCCACCCAGCTGCTAGCTTTATCAACGATTCTTCAATTTTATTACACGTAGTATTGCCTCATCGCAATATTTCAGATACAGCTGGGCGATATGACTTGCCGACTGCTCGACCTCGCGAGAAAGCCGCAACCAAGTCTCAGGAGGGTATCGAAAACATCACGGGTGATACTAGATACCAGGTGAAAATTCTTTCAATGTCACCAGCTACGACTGACATATTTACTGAGAGTGCTAAGGTTATATTTAAGAAGAATCTCCCCCAAAGCGATACCATGAGCAATACGAGTTAATGACATGACAGAGCGTCGAAAAAGATGGCTATTTGCTGAATGTTCGAAACTAACATACTCTCGTTTCGTTGTCATAGTTTACCAAACGGAATACAGGGTAGATACTTGACCGACAGCGATGACAACTGCTCCTTGATAGAAGAGAAACAACTTGCCAGTAAATACCTAACGACTTGGTAGTTACGAATTGCTTCAGTGAGAAGCTGAAATGAGTCTTGGAGCCGACTACAAAGAAGAGAAGAATCCAGAGCTGAAAAATGAGACGAAACGGAAGATGACGACGATTCCTCTAAAAGCGGCAAAAGGAAGACCAAAAGGCTAAAGACTAAAGGTTTGCTAATGCTATTTGAAGCCTGACGAAGAAAAACCCTTGTTTCGGATCATGAAGCTATCAAAGAATCCCGCTTGGTGTATATTTCGCGTGTGCCGCTTTTAGGGAGCCCGACGTGAAGTTTCCCAAGTACAGTACGGCGATTCTCTGTCAGATGTCTGCCATGAATGTGCAGCGAGCACTAGAATTTTCGGTCGCATGGCATGTACCGTACACGCACCTATCAAAAGCACCTCATTGAGAAGCCCACTGGCCATTACAGCATCTATCTTACAAATCATAGTCTTGTCGCAACGGAAATACTCTAGCTCTCTCTGACGTGGCTGCAAAGTCTTTGGATGAGACTAAGTTTGCTGTGAAGAGAGGTGTTACGCACTTAGTCCACGTGAAAGTGGGCAATCAAAGCCTCGAGTGAGGTTAAAATTGCTGTGAAATGTCGTTGTGGCGAGTGGGATACGATGACGGTGTGAGGAGGCTCAATGGGACACCCCTACAACTGGGACATTCCATACTAGTTTTATGATGGACCTATTAGACTGCGCACTTCCATTGCTATCTGCGGCAAGAGCTGAGAATCCTTTTAATAGAAGTGGACAAGTCATAAAAGAACACGAAAGGAGAACAAGGCACATTTGAATTACGCCCAAGCTATGAAAGCTGGCATTCCTCCCCCAAAGTTCTTCTGGACAAACACAGCCAAAATTTGCGTCTTGTGCTATGACAATCAGAGGAACATATGGAATGTGTCTTCCCCGAGAGGGATTGGGAAATAGGAGACGACATGGAGAGTACTCTTCATTGGCGAAACGGGTTTGCTCATGAGTGCGTTGGTAAAACTCATCAATGGATATCGTGAAGCCTCCAAGGGGGGGGGTTAAGATTGCCGTAAAGGGGGGAGCTGCATATCTGATTATAACACGACACTTATAAGCTAATACATAGCCGCACAGCCAAGCAAAGGGAACAATACCAAGGCTTGATGAGGGCTAAGAATGTTGTAAAAGAAGTTGAACTAGCAAAATGCCTACTGTAGCGACTACCTCTTTGGGCTTGCTACAATTTGAGGGCACACTAGAAGGATTCAAACCCACAGCCACGTGGAAGATATGGAGGCGAAGCTGAAGCCTTCACCTTGGTGGGATTAAAAATGCTGTGAAGCGAACTCCCTCTCTCCATGTGGCACAAATTGATAGGTGCACTACATCTCATTAGACTGCCACGCCAAAGTAGCAAGATCAAGGCCTCGGGTGGGCATAAAAATGCTCCAATGGAAATGATAGGGTGAGACATGTAGCCATCTCAAGGCTTGAGGTGAGTTTAAAAATGCTGTGAAGAGGGTATGAGACACGTCACATATAGCCATCTGCTGCAGGATGCGCTAAACACACAGCCAATGAAATAAAGCCAGAGCGATATAGTAAAAGAGCACACCGTTATGAGATCCCTGACATAGATCTGAGGCTACTACCTATACACACATACTATGTTTAGTAATGCCAATCTAACCTCACGTCAGTTTCTGAGACAGTCCGACATGATCAACTGGTAAAGGATGAGTTTGTTAGAGTGAGTAGATGAGTTTCAACATGCTAATTGGCTGAGATACTTGTTGAAAAGATTATACGTTACATGTAATCTAAATGAAGAAGAGGCGACTTGTGAAACCATGTCCAGAGCATGCTTTCTACTTCCGAGCTAGATTATCACAATTCGCCCCATGACGCACTATGCGTTCATGACTAGTCAAAGATTGATAGGCTATTGATAGAGAGGGAGAGGAGAAACTATAATGTGTTGCTGAGAGGTCTCTTGAACAGCTCACCGCATTGCTCATGAATTGGACAGATAATTCGCGGCGACTCTCTCAATGAGTTGCCTCGCATTACTGAATTTCAACATCTGGGGCTACGTGGCAAAATCTCACTCCTGTTGACAAGTCTTGTTGAAAATATCTATAATCATATATTTAACTATTCTTGGGTATCATTACTTTTACGACCTTTTTGATCAAACGTGTATTCCCACCTCTTGCAACGCCCATGACAAAAACCCAGCTGGGGCTCCTAGATTGTTGAAATAGAGCTCACCAGCCTCGCCCAGAAACAGTCTTATGAGCTGCGTCGTCCATATGGCTCATAGGGGAATACTGCTGAAATACCAGCAGCAAGAATGAAGAGAGCCGCACAGATATACAGAGGCGCCGACGTCTGAGTGTTTGCAAAAGTCGCCACGATAGCTGAGACAATACCCATGATGCGGTTAAAGGCCACGGCAACACCGTTGCCAGTGCCACGGTGGGCACTGGGAAGCACCTCCGGAGTGTAGGCGTACAGCGTGCCATAGTAGATGTTTAGGAAACACGCGATCAGGCAGGTAAAGGCCGTATCTTGGGCTGCGGTCTTGACTGCGGTGTAGGCAAAGAAGAAAGCACAGGTAATCAAAGCGCCAATGGACATGGTGTATTTGCGGCCAAGCAGTTTTGTGTTGCACATGTATCCTGCAATGATCGGACCGGGAATACCGCAAATGTTGGTGATGCAGTAGTTGCGCCACGTTTCGAAGGTGGTTCGATCAAAGACTCTGCCGTGGTTGGCAAGGTAGGTACTGAGATACTGGTCAGCAAGAGGCTTTGTGGTACAATGGACTCATGGGGAACATACGGAAGGAATACGTAGAAGAGCGGGTAGATGAGGCCGATCAAAGCCCACGAAACCCAGACCAGGATGGTGGAGATTGTCATCTTCTTGTTGATAAAGAGTCCACGGAAATGAATGCGGGTTTCGGAGAAGGAAAACAGCTTCTTGCCGTGAGCCGATCGAATCTTTCCACAGGCTTCGAGCTTCTCAAGAGTCAGGGAGCATGGGCGGTTGTACTTGGCAGCCAAGAACTGGAACGTCTCCACCACCTTGGCATCCTCACCAAGGCCGAGGAGATACTTGGGCGTCTCACGCAGTCTGACCACCGTGATTCGAAGAACCGACATGACGAACACTATGGCACCACCGGTGAAGAGCATATATCGCCAGCCCCAGTTGTTGGCCTTTGTACAAGTCTCAACATCGGTACAGTTCCATTTTCCAGGAACCATGAATCCCCAGGCAATGAAACCAGTGATGGCCTGTCCGAGGCCCCACCATGCCGCCAGGAAGGTCAAGAGCCACTGCTTATTGCCAGGAAGATACTCGAGGAAGACGGTTGTGTCTAGGATGAGGTTGCCGCCTCCACCAAAGCCGAGAAGGGCGATGAAGAATGCGAGGGATGGCCAGTTGGGCATAGCACCAGCGATAACGCAGCTTGCAGAGCAGATGAAGAGGGTAATGTTAAAAGCCCACTTGCGACCAATGACATCGGCGCTGAAACCCCAGAAAATGGCGCCCGTCAGCATACCGACGTACACGGCGATGGTGAGCGCATTGGCGTAGCCGTGCTGGCCGAATTCGCGGAAAGCGGACGGGGCAACAATGGATTGGAATAGGAGGATCAAGGAATCGACGGCATAGCTACGAAGCACCGTCGGTTAGCACACCAAATCATCGTTTACCACATATACATGAAACCGGTGGATGGGAAGAGACGAGAGCAGTATTAAATGATGAGATCACCGCGCAATGGCAACTTACCCAAATCCATTGAGGAAGAAGAGTTTCCAGTGGTAGCCAGTCCAGCCAATCTCGTCAATTGCCTTTAGTCCAGTGTTAGTGCTGAAGCGTTTTGGAGACGAGATTTGGAGCTTGGGAAGAGACAAGTGTCGTCGCAGTTCACCGCCACAGGGACCATGGCCTGGGTCATAGTAAGGCTCTCGTATCACTCACGTTGTTCACAAGATGCATCTTCATGTTCAAGGCGGGGTCGAGATCCTGCAGGGAGAGGATATCTTCGCCGCTGCGCAGCGACGACCCATCGGCGTTTCTGAGATCGCCAAACATTGGGTCATTTTTACCACCTCCGACATCCTTCTCCATTGAGCTGGTGTCAATGGCTGACTTTTCCGGGTTTGCAGTATCAGCCATGGTTGCGGATCGTTTGGACGCAATTGAGGACTCTCGCTCAATTATCACACAGGATGCCAGGATGCAGCAAAACCGGGCTCACAGAAGCACAGGAGAGCTTCGTTGCTTGGGCTAGGTATCTCAATCGCGTCAAGCTCTGCGGAGGAGCCTGTTGTGGTACCCGAGGAATTGGACGCAGCGTCACAAGCAAAGTCAATTGAGCTTGCTTTTCGGCTTGTTCCACCCGAAACGGACTTTGCCGTAGAGGAGAACGGAGGGGCAAGCTTTGTAGGTAATTGTCGATACCGGTTTCTGAGCGCGCTCTGGACCTCGACAGAGGGTTTATCAGGCTGGTGGGAGAAGACAAAGCAAAGAGGAAGCAACCAGAGAAGAAACAGCTGTGGTCACCAGAGAAACCACACCAGAAAAAAAAGAGCTATCCTGCCAAGTACAGTAGGACTAACCCAGTGACGATTGCGAGAATGGGGAAGAGAATGGGAAAAAAAGTGCGGGCGAGGATGTATTAAATGGACACACAATGCAGCAAAACCACCACGCGACGTAATCATCAAAGGCACACGACCAAGGCTAAGGAACCATGACATGCAAGGGCCTTATGTGGTAAAAGACCACGCGAAGATCCCATCTCCAAGCTGGGCTTTTGCATGTATTGCTCGTGCTTGTGATTGAGAGGCAATCTGGCGCTCTAGTGCGCAGTAGCCTTCCAGGAAGACGGCTCTATCGCCGACTCGATCCAATCAGCGCAGCCGGCTCCGTGAGAGGCCCCGTCCGGTGGAGATGCAGCCAGCCCGGGGCTCTCAAGCTGTGGAGGTTTTGCAGGTTGGGGGGGTTTTTGCTTTGCGCGCAGTGAGACTCCAGTGTGGGGGGCCCGGCCGGTAGCGTCTCGCTGGTGGTGCGGCAAAGCGTCTCCCCGTGCTCTCAACGAATGGCGCTGATAGGTGCGAGCGGCGTCGACATCGTGAGCGTTCGAAGGGGCTTGCTTGGACGGGCAAGGCGTGGTGGGGATGTTGGCTCGGCCAGACTCAGCAGCACGAACTGCTCGGCGGCGGGCTGGTGCAGTCGCGGGCATCGTGGCATCGCGGCCTCGATTCGTTGGCTGCTTCAATCGACGCCTTGGAGGGTTGCGAGATATAATTGACGGGCGACAGGCCCGGCCTCGTTTGTTTGCGGAGAGTCATGGTCCAGGTCCAGGTCCAGGTCCAGGTCATGGTCATGGTCCGAGTCCGGGTCTGTTGAGAATTTTCTTTTATCATCTCTCTCTTTTTCTCTCTCTCTTTCTCCTTCCCTGCCTCCTTCCCGTCTTCTTCCTTGCTCCTCCTCTTCTTTCCGTCGTTCATCCGCAACGCATGCGGGAGGCGCTATCCATCGCATTTATAACGACAACTGCCGCAAAGAGAACTACAGTATGTGCAGGGCAAGTACCTTAGGTATCAATACTCGTACCTCCTCGTACCCCGTACCCCGTACTCGTTGTACTTCGGCCTTGGTTACAACTTGTTCTTACCTCCGGGATCGATTGTCTGGAGCATGACTTATTCCTTCATCCTCCAGCTACAGTACCAACGAGCATGAGCTTGATTGGTTGGCCTGTAAACCGAAAGCTGAGCGACAGCCCGCCCGTCGTGATTCGAGCCTTTCGTTTTATCCGAAGGAAAATGCATGTTTCTCGTACTAATGCGGAGGAGATTGTCGAATGACACACATAATGGCTGCGTCAATTACCGAACGCATGCATCATAGTCTCGGCCCTTACAAAAGGGTGGGCATGGCGCCGGTTTCTGGAATCGCAGCCTGGTGATTAAACCTTTTACTCCCACAGGTGGCTTGCACTGGATTGATATCTTTGAGGGTGTCGTCATTTACGACTACACTCCCCTCTGTGCGTGTGTCCTTGTGTCTCTTCCCCATGTGTAGCCAGACGCCTTGGCATTGGATCCCATTCACGCCACGAAAAGCGCAGTAATCAGTACGAGTATGATCTTGGACGCAATTCTACCTAGACCTACGCTAAAATCGTCTCTCTGGCCACTCCTAAAAGTTCTTTTCTTTTCATCCAAAGTCTTGGAATGAATGGATTTACAGTGCGGCCCGGACTAGAAGACGCCCCTAGCACCAACTAGCTATTGTGAGGTAGTACTAGAGAAAATCTCCCGCCCCGCCTGCAGCCAGCATACCGTATTGTACATGGCTTAAACCAGCCTCTCTCATTGGCTCTGCTTCCGCTTTCTAAGCCACGATGGGGGCTTGCCTGCTAGGTCTTGGCGTTCGTCATCGGGGACAGACCACAATGGCAGTTACTAGGTAGGTAGTTCTTTTTTTTTTTTTTTGCAAGGCTGTTGCTTTGGCTTCGAATCGTATCAGTTATCGGTGCCTTGCCATTTTCTCCCCCAACAAAATTCCTTTCCACAGTTATTCATCGGCTAGCGTCGGGCTCACCGCTTTAATCACAATCTGGAGAAGCGTTAGTGTGCTTTCTAGCACGCAATGTCACGATTATCATGTGATTCTGCCGTCGAATCAAAGGCGGACAAGGTACATGCAATTGAGATGGCGCCCTCGTATACATTCCTGAGTAGGTACATGGTGTAAGATGGGGGTTTTCCGACTTCATATCGATTTCTAGGCCTTATTACCGGGTAAGATCATATTCATTGACGGGTTTAGACCAGGGCCATTCCCTTCATACAAGCTACCTCGTAGATGGAGTACGGCGATCTGAGCAGGTACCGTTGCTGTATTCTGCTTAATTGACTTCTTCGTGGCTATCTCATCTTGCAACCTTTTCTTTTATTTTGGTTATACACCTGTTATTTGGCATGTTCCAATTCTACATGCTGTGACGATGTTGCTCTTCTGGAAGATGTGTCCAATGTGCTCTCATTGACGCTATTAGCCATTGGATTGGCTGACTAAGACTCATTAATGATTTGATGACGGGATTTTCAGGCATCAAGGTTGCGTCAAATCGCCATCCATCAACTGCCATCAAATAGCTGCATAGCGTTTCGATTGGGTAGCTTCTAACCGAATCAACTGTCTCTTTTGCCATGATACCCCGGGTTTCACCATCTTTGTGCCAGGAATGTCTCCAGGCTGCAGCTCGCTTCGGTCCGCAGGGAGCCCGCCGATATACTTCACCAGCAAATCAGTTGACGGGCGATGAGGCAAAGACAGACCAGGGAAACACCTCTAGGCCAGATAATGATGACAATTCACAAGAATCAGAGCCCGGGGCAATGACGCGGAGACTACAAGACGCAACTGAAGAGGCGCTATTCTCGGGCGGCTCATCCGGTAGACGAGCCGTGCAGGATGCGGGATTCTCTGACGAGCTGAAAGAGAAGCTTCTGAATAAGATTGCAGACGCAAATTTTAGACAAGAGTTTTCCAGCGCATTCGCCGAGAAGGATCTCACATCTGCGGCTGGTGAAGGTACTAAGCACATCGCCACCTCGGCACCGTGGACCGGGGAGGAATCCACCGCAAACGCAGTATTGAGGATGCTGGATGACGCCAAAAAGCCCCTGAAACCAGAATTCAGAGGCAAGTTCCAACCGCCTGTTGTTGATCCTCGAGTGAAGCGGACTCCGGCAGTGCCTCCTCGCCTGAGAGCAGTAAATGCCCGCGATAGAGCATCCATGTACGCTGGCTTGGGACTGAAAGAAGACAAAGGCTTGAGTGACAAGGAGCGGGAAGAGATGAGAAAGGAGTTTCGTGCACGATTCGAGCCGATCGCGCGAGTAATGCCCTCAACACCATCAGGTCTTGCTGCGCTGGCTAATGACCACATCGAAAACGCCATTGCCAGGGGCCAGTTCAAGAACATTGCGCGCGGCAAAGGCGTGGAGATTGATCTTACCCGAAGCAATCCATTCGTTGATACCACGGAGTATTTGATGAATAGGATCATTCAGCGTCAAGATATTGTGCCTCCCTGGATTGAGAAGCAACAGGAACTCTCAAAGGCCGCATACTCTCTTCGGTCCAGGCTGCGGGCTGACTGGAAGCGTCATGCTGCAAGGATGATTGCTTCCAAGGGAGGTTCTCTAGAAGAGCAGATGGCTAGAGCAGATCAATATGCCGTTGCCGAAACGCTGCACAATCCGCGACAGTCGGCCGAGAAAACAGTAAGCACGGCGGAGCAAGAGTCCGAACAGAGCAGTGAGCCAGATATTGTTCCCATATCAAGGCCATTCCGTGACCCGGATTGGGAAAGGGCAGAGCATGCGTACTTGAAGCTATCCATAGAACAACTCAACGGCATCGCAAGAAGTTACAACCTCATGGCTCCGGAACTGGCCAAAAAGCCGTATTACAATCTGCAACGAGAACTGGATGCCTGTTTCGCGGATGTCGCACCTCTGATTGCCAAGGAGATAAAAGACAGGGCAACACGGCCGCGCGTTACGTCGAATTTAACGTCAAAACCGTCTCCTTTCGGAGGAGACGGACTAATGAGTCACTTGGTGGGTAAAGATACCGTAAAGATTTACGATACGAGGGCGCAGCCGTATGGGTTCAAGGAGTGGTGGAAGGATGTATGGAAGAAGGAATAAGGCTCGAATGGAGTATTATCTGAGAGGCCGTGACGCTCTCCATTGATGTTTTGGTCTGCTGGAGCTGAGTTTGGAGGACTTCCCCTGAACTTGAACACACCTTGGGTATAAATTTTAATTTGAACAAATAGCTAATCTGTGAGCGTTATTACATTGGCTGTCATAAAAGTTCAGCATATCGATCCATTTCGACCATAGGAATATATCATCTTTTACGTCATCTTATTCATGATTCAGAGCCTCCGCATAGATGTTTACTTGACGATATTACTATGAGGAAGATCTGCTTGGCCTCAAGCACTGGTTCGTGATCTGTCACACTCCCGGCTTGGCCAATCGGGTATTTTCTTGGAGGCTTAGCACTGAGTCCATCTTGAACCTTGCAGTTCGTGTTGTATCCCAATTTCACAGCAACTTTAAACTCTTCCGCGGCCATCTCTTCACCCCCGACCCTCTCATTGGCTGCACTCGCATGCAAGTACATGCATGCAGTGGCTTTCACAGCATTTTAAGCCCACCCAAGGTCTTTGTCTTCCCTTTCTCCATCGGTCATGTTACGCTTCTTCATTTCCGTTTAGAAGATGTATCGTTTGTCATGATAATATCGAGCTACTACCACATAACCTGATTTCACAGCATGATTCCCCCCCCGGTCCTTTGGCTTCCATTGGCTGTAATCGTTTGCAATGCTAATAGTCGGTCCACCCCCTCTCAAATCCTTGTTTTTAATGAATTTGCTTCGTTGGATTAATAGTGACGGTATAGATTGAGAGCACGATTGATGGGCCATTGTTGGCCATGACTCTCGACTTCAGTATTCATGAAATTCCTAACAGTGGAATTGTTAGAGTGAGCGCTATTAGGTTCATGTTGACTTATTTCTCACCTCTACATAGGCAAGCTGGATACCGTGTAGCATGACGATAGATTGACCTGAGGTCAAACAGGCCCCCCTTTCGATCGTAGGTGAGTTGCTCTGGGAGCCTCTGTTCGCGTACCAACGCTTCACAGCACTTTTAAACTCTCCCAACGCCCGGAATCTTTGCGTTTCTCACTTTTCCCTGGTTGTACTCTTATGCAACTACGGGAAGCTGCATGATGGGTGCAGCAATCCTAGGTTGTTGCATAAGGCTGATCCGTCACGGTGGATTTCACAGCAATTTTAATCCCTCCCAATGGCTTCGTATTTCTACTCCACACCGGGTGCCATGTTCTTCTTCTGCGGATATGATTGACATATTTCATTACGCTACTGTGAATTTTGTGCAATTCCAATATCTATATCAAATGCGAGTATCCAACCAGGTATACAGAGCTCACACCTACCAACCAATAACCTCTAAGTGAGTACTCACCTCGTATCTATACGTTATGAATGCATGTTGTTCAGCAAAGTTTACGGATCCTGACATTGCTTCCTAGGCAAATGAGATTCTCTTTTTTTTCGCGGGGTCCTGCCAACAGCAAAACTGCCCCTCCAAGGCCGGAAATCAATCAGTCACTGTGGACAGTCAAAGACTCCACCACAAGCAGCTACATATGAACAACGATCAAGATGGCTTCAGACTCCATCAGCTGCTTGCTCTGTCCATCATTGTGTCGTGATCCTAAGCTAATCTGCTATGCTACAATTTAGGCGGGGTTGGACCCATTGATGGTCAAATACACCAGGAGTATCTACTTTGACCGAGTTTCTCTATTCGTAAGATGCTATGGGAAGTATTGCGTTTGCCAGGTCAAATGCAAAGGCCGGCATAATTTCCTTGGAGGAGCTCGAGTCAGGCCTCCGTGAGGTCGAAAAGGAGTTGGAAGCCGACACCTTTTCCATTGTTCCCGGCGTCGAGCCCCGCCTATTCGATGAAGCCATTGGATGCTGTCAAATTCATTCGCCCGTCAGTGACTTGCAGAAGCTTGGTGAGGTTATCAAGAGCGTCAACTGGAATACTCTAGGGTGTGGTGCCCTTGCGGGCAACCCATTTGAAATTGACCGTGACTTGATCACCAAGGAACTTGGATTTCACTCCCCAGCTGAGTTTGGCTTCATCCATCTTTCGGATGCTTACTCTACCGTCAGTCTCGAGATATTATGAGGTAAGAGTGGCCGTGTCTTTGGTCATATGGCTGGGCTTAATGATACCCAAAAGGGCCTCCCCAGCAACTACAACAAGGGAGTTCTCTCTCAAGAGACGCACAACATCTCTGGTCAATGTGCTGCCAAGTCGGACAAGACTGGCATCCCCATGGATGAGATCTCATTGAAGCAGCTCAAAGCTATTGGTGACTGCTTTGAAGAGGATATTACATAGGCACTCGTCACGAGCGAGCGTGGAGAGTAGGTTAGCTAAGGACGGCACTAGCAAGTCGTCGGTGCTGGAAAAGAGCCAAGTGATCAAGGCAGCACTAAGCGGAACCCAAGTTTGAGAATGATGAATAAAGAAAACCCCGTATGAATTTGTAAAAATAGGAAAAGTGTAATAAAATTAGATAACCAGCGCAAGTTGCGTATATGATGCAAGCTTGGATCATCGTTCCGTGCCGAGCGGTGTTGATCATCTTTCCCCATCAAATGCAGGACAATCTTGTGCTGTCATACTGACTCGATCCCCCGTCATCTGCTGATCAAAAGCCAATTCCCACAAGGCTGCCTCTTGCTTGCCATGCGCCCCCCCTCTTTCTCTCCAGTACCTGAATGAGGCAGCTGACCCAAATCAGCAGCACGCGGCGACCACGGCAAAGCTACTGCAAGGCATCCTTCAGACTGAAGCGAAACAAAAACCTGGCCAATGAAGCCCATGAGCATGAGACCCCGGTTTGTGCCCTGTCGCTGTTTATCTTCTCACTACGCAGAGAGTATCGATATCGTGATAAGAGAACTAACTAGTAGAACTATTGATCTTCGCTATGATGATGATGAGCCCACGGCTGCGGCCCCGGTTCAGCTACCCCACACCCCAGCCTTTTCTCCATGGTGATGGCTCAGTTTGGTCATAAGAATGGCAGTGCCTTTTTGTCGAATCTCGGAATTCATCACTTTTCCCTTTTTCTCTCTCTCTGTAATTCCCCTGCGTCTCATCTCACCCCGTTTCGCATGCGACCCGCGTTTCCAAACCGGAACCATCTGAATTGCTGACCACAGGTTCTGCTCCTATTGGCCACCCCCCGTCTCCTTTTGCTTCACGGGTCAAGGCGCGCGGTTTCATCGGGGGTTCTATTTAAATCGCTGTTAAAAGTAGATTACGAGCGATTCGAATCGTTGTTCTTGGCTTTTTCTTGTCCTTGGTCATCTTCGAATCTTGTGCCGCCCTTCTTTTCACCCTCCCGTCTGACAACTCTCAAGCGTTGTTGTGCACGAGGCCCTCGACTTGTGTACCTGCTGACACCGGCTGAGTTTTGACTCAAAAAGGGCTGAATATAGTAATTCTTGCTTTTTGGGCCGTCTAGAGAATATCAAAGCCCGTTTCATCACCAGTCATTCGCCCGTTTGATTCGGTATTTGTAGATAGAATTAATTATCCCCCCCCCTCCCGTCTTTCCAACATGGACAACAACCAAGATTTGGACTTTGAACCTTGCGAGGTCGCCAACGCCATGCAGCTGCGAACCAGAAAACACCAGAAATTCGACGACGTCGAACAGCAGCTCGTCAACCCCAAGGCATCCGCGCCGTACCAATTCTCCGTCAGCAATGTCCTCAACGAGATAAGCACCTGGAACCCGTTCGCCAAGGCCATCGTCAAGGGCGACGTCGTCTGGCTCTTCGACAACACCGCCTTCAAGGCCACCGAGCACGAGCCGTGGCAGGCCGAGTTCATCATGGCCGTGTTCGAAAATGAGCCCAAGTGCGCGGTCGCCGACATCGTCGCGGGCATCGCGGGCGCCGTTGGGCTGGCCGACGATGCCGAGGAGCGCCAGACCATTGAGGAGAGGCTGCTGCCGTTCTTGTGGGACATTCAGGCGGCGAGGACGACGACGGTGTCGCAGGGGGGCTTGGAGCTGAAGCTGGGGCCGAGCGGCTTCAATGGCATCTCGGCGAATGTTTTGAAGCTGCTGCATAACAGCAAGGCGTCGTTTACTACCAAGAAGACTACGTTGAGTATTGAGGGTGTGAGCGGTGTCTTGAGCATGGAGACTCATTTTGCGGCTCCTGAGGGTTGGGGGATCATATCCGGTATGAGCTTGCCACCTCGATCTCCGATCGGCTCACATGAAGACTCAAAAACTAACTTGAAAATTGCTAGATATTGACGACACAATCAAAATCACGACAACCAGTGATCCCGTCGGCATCCTCAAAGAGACATTCATCAACCCCCCATCCCCCGTTCCTGGAATGCCCGAGCTCTACGCAGGCATCAAGTCGTTTCTCCCCCACAACACGCCGTGGTTCTACCTCTCCGCATCGCCTTACAACCTGTATCCTTTCCTCAAGGGCTTCCGGGACACGTACTACCCCCCAGGGACCTTTATTCTACGCGATTCCAGCTGGAAGACCGTGTCGGGACTTTTGTCTTCGCTGACGGTGGGCACGGAGGAGTACAAGGTAGACCGCATGAAGAAGATCAATTCGTGGCTGCCCAAGCGGAAGCTCATCGTTTTCGGAGACTCTACGCAGTCTGATCCCGAGGCTTACGGCGAGATGTAAGATCACCTTTTCTCTACCTGAATTGAAGCTAACGTTGTCTGCTACCCAGTTATCGAAAGTTCCCTGGCTGGATTAGGATGATTTTCATCCGCAAGGATACCAACTCGGCTGCCTTTGGCCTCGCGGAGAAGAATGAGCCGCAGAGGTTTGAAAAGGCGTTTACGGGTATTCCTAGAGATGCCTGGCACGTCTTTGAGGACCCCGACGAGTGTTTGGATCTGGTGAAGAAGGCCGTCCAGAGAAACTCATAATGTTGAGGCAGCTTTTGTTCTGGTATCATTTGTATTTTTATTGTTTTTGAGTGGCGCTCGGGTTGTAATCTGATTGTACATGCTCATATGATTTCGGAGGATATAATTGTTCATTCAAGGGTGCCTTGAGGTGTCAGACACGCAACAAACGCTTCATCACATTTCCATTGGCCATGTGTTTCCATGTTATTCGTTGTATTGAAATGAATGGTCGGTGTATCGATATAATAACAGCTCTTGTGGCTGTTTCCTTTTTCGTCATGCAAAGGACCGTCGTCTCCTATCCAAGGCCCAATAGAGACTTTTCGAATACAGTCAATCCAAGTACATATTGTGACAACTCCCAACCCATTGTTTCCATCTCCCCTTGTGTACTGACAGTCAAGATCACCCAAAAAACGCCTTTCGCCTATACCCATCCGTATGCTTTGATGATGCCCACCGAAGCTATTATACCATCATATTTCCAAAAGCTGCCCCTCCGAGATAAATTCCCAGCAGCTATCCAAAGTGTATGCAACTCTACTCTCAGTCGCGAGATAATGGCGCCTCTATGAAAGGAACAAGTACTCTCGAATTTGAGCAGCAGTCTGCTTCGCCAGCTCCTCTTTGGCACGTTCTCCAAAAGTAAACTCGTCATAGAATAAGTGGTCGTTTGGAACTTCACACTCTTGGCTGGGCTGGGATGCGCTTATGACCGTAACGGATCGAGCATCGGCGATGCAGGGTGTCCAAACGTCAAAAAACCGCATCGCATCATCTGCAGGTCTGCTGCCTCGGCCTCGGCTATCCCTAAGGCCGGATCGCTGCATTTCTTCTTCCGTCATGGCATCCAAGACGCTCTTGACCAAGGAGGACTGCAAGCCCAATCGTCGCGGGTAAGGTGCGTAAATGATGTCTTCACCGCTCTCTTGTCCATTGCTGTCCTTGTCCTTGGGCTGAAGCGATTCCGGGAGATATCGCAGCAAGGATGCCATTGTCGGAACTGACGAGGCCGTGTCGATGCCCTCCTCTTCAACCCCCTCGGGCTTAGTGTTACCCTTCCTTCTCCAATCCTCCAGCTGTTTAGACACTTGGTCATTCCACCTTGCGTTGAGATATGCAGCGTTACGCATCTGAACGCCCCTCGACTGCGATTCAGATGGAAGGGGGCGCTTCTGCCAGCCTGGGGCTAGAGTAATGTCAAAGAGCTGCGGGATCACGACGCGGAAGCTCTCCGTTTTGCGCTCGTCGGGCTTGTTCTCGGGGTCGGGGTGCGTGAGAGCGTGGATTTCTTCCTTGGTAACATTCGACCAAAAATCAGAAAAAGCAGGAGACGCTGGGTTCAAGGACTTTCGGTAGAGCAATTCGATCTGAGTGAAGATATCGGCGACCGAGGCGTCAATGAGTCTTTCGCCCGTTCCCCGCGGCAGCGAGGCCATGTTCCACGTCTCCCAGGTGCCAAATGTGAAAACCCACAGCGTCTCTCGAGGCGGAATCTTTGGCGCAGACATGGTAAGAAACTTTTGGACTTGCGCTGCCAGATCCGGGGTCTTTGTTGGCACCGGATACTGTTCCGGGATGTACAAGTTGTCAAGGGCAGGTTTTCCCGTGAGATTCGCCTGCTCATTAAACATTTCCAAGGCTCGTATCTCTGTGCCATAGATGCTGTTGGAGGTTAGGCCGGGTTGTGATTCGATCGGAGGGATAAAAGAAAGAACAGAGTGACATTTGAGCTGGCAGAGTAGTAAATTAGCATTGTCGAGTGTAGGTATATGTATACACGAGTCGATGTAAGTGCATATAGGTAAGTATTGGTTGATTTCCCCTCTTACCTGTTTGCAGAGGTGTTCTGGCCAAGATGTGTGCGTGTGCTTGGCATTAGGCGCACTTCCCATCAAGTCTTGCGACCCAAACACGACAATTCGAAGTTGACCGGGGCCAGCCGATTCGGGCGTTGACCAGCTCAAGATTCGCTGGTAACGGTCGTCGAGCTGCAGCGTGACAAAGTAGAAGAGCATGAGCAGGCCAAAGGCAGCGGCGGCGATCTGCAGGATAGATCGTGGACCGCCCCGCCACATGCGATGCGAGCAGACGACGAGAAGTGCCTTTGCGCGGAGGCTCCATTTCGACGAGCCATCGCTTGGGAGCTGTTCTTTGGCGAAGCCGCTCATGCTGCCACAAGCTCGCGTTGGCGAGGGTTAGGGTTAAGGAAGCAGAAACGAAATGGAGGCAAAAGGAAACGGCGGCTTCAGCAAACAAACATGAGATGAGATTGAGTTCGAGATTGAGATTGATATAAAAGAATCGGGCGCCGGTACCAGGCCTGGGCGTGTACGAGTACAAGTATTAAAGCAGTCCAGTATCAAAGGATGGGGTTGAGACGGCGCGAGACCCAGGGGGGATGTGCATGGGCCTGTCGAGAAGCGCTAAGCAGACCCCTAAAACTGATCACCAGGGGCCCGGGAGAAGAAGAATCACAGCGGGTGGGATATAGGTATGTATAGGTAGTAGAAGCGGCGATGAGTAAGTAGGTACGGCGGTGCAAGGGAAAGGAGCGTGCGAGGACTCGTAAGTGGTTGGTAGGTTAGTATGAGTAAAAGCGAGTGAGTGAGGATGGAGTGGAAGCGCAGTTCCAGGGAGCACGGGCAGGCTAATAGCACGGGCAGTAATCATGGAGGATCGCCGACCGTTTACCCAGTACGGAGCACGCGCACGCGAGCAACAGATGCGTCGACATTGACATCCATGGAGGTACGGAGCATGTACGAGTACGTGTAGTATTGAGAAGGACCAGGTGACGGCGTTCCAAATGCTAGCAGCGAACTACCTGATTGATTATACCGGAGAATCCTTGCCACTGAATCCTGACACAATGCCGTGCGGACAAGGTGGTACGTACGCCAGCACACGTAAGTCGCTGTTGATAAACGGCGGTGCAGCTGGAGTACAAGTACCGATGTGTACTTGCTCCGTACCTGGTACCTAAGGTAACTTGATGGAGAACAGTTGTAACAACCAACTCGAAACTCTGTTGGATATGCCTACTAAGGTACCTACCTAGGTATAATCACACACTCTTGCACGTATTGATGAGGCATACGTGTACACAACTCACATCAGCCGCCTTTTGATATGTCTCTGTCCATTGATGCCCGAGTGCTACACCGGTTTTCTTTATGCCATGCAATGTTGGTTATATTATACCCGGCAACCGGAATGGCTGAAACGCAGCTTCGTTGCCGCATTGCCGTGGGTGGGCATTTAGCGATGCCACAAAGCCACCGCTTTCGGGGGAGTGGAGACACGGACGCTGTTACAAAGTACTAACTGACTTGTGCGTCTCCCGTGCAGACGCTACTAGATGTAATGCAGCAGGTCGTTGGAGCTCCTGGTTGAAGAGGAAATAAAGATGGAGGAATGCCCGGCCGACATACAGTACCCTTACTGGAGATGGGGGAGGCTACAGTAGCCCCCCGAAGCACGATGAAGGCAGTGATCCGCAGGCCCTTTGTCTGATCAAGTCCGGAGTAACAAAGAAGAGACAAACTACCTAGTAATGTTACTTTCGAGCCTTGGCCTACGTGACAGGAGGCTGGTCTGAATGAGAATGGGCGAATGAAGGCCGGAATCAATGCAGTGGTTCTTTGATGCCGAGGGCGCCTAATTTGCTTGGACACTGCATCTGGAAAAGGGGCACGCGACAGAATCTCCCATCTTCTGGACGAGGCCAAGACCCCGACGCGACCCCTTGGCTTGGAGAGTGCCTGTACCTGTACCTGTACTTGATAGCTACAAGCCATCACCGGCTGCTACTCAGGAAAGGCGTAGAGTAAAACTGCATACAAGGCATTTTGGCGTCGTTGAAAGACTTCCAGGTTCCGTCTTGGAAGTAAGTACCTACCTCTAAGGAGATGGTAGTGGTAGCATCTCGGAATGGGAGACGTTCAAGGGTTGGGTACCTGCATCCACCATATCGATAGCGAGAACATCGGGCATGGGCTCTTCCAGCGACACCCATTTTTCCCCTACCAAGGAGCATGAAAGCTGGAATTGGAAGAGGGGGGCGTAAAAGCACACACTAGAGAAATGCCACCACCGTTAGCTGTTGATGGCCGTCGATCAAACAGCCAAGATGATGCGTTATGAAGGATGTGGCTTTCCTGCCAGTGCGCTACCTAGGTAGGTACTACCTACAGGTAGTACTAAGGTACAATTTCTCACCCAAAGCTACATGTAAAGAGGGGCTGAAGTGAACTGATTCCACGATGCGCTCTTGATGCCGACACACTTATACTTGTAAGCCACCACGAACGAAACAGCCCATTTTCTCCGAGACCCAGATTTGGTCCGTCGGCAGTGTCTGCCGGTGAGGCGGTGCCCGTCAGCTACACCAGAGTTGCCGAACCCGGTCCCGAAGCTTCATCTCACTCAACATGCTAGACTACCTACCTAGGTACCTAGGCCTATATAATACACGTAAAGACACTGCAGCTTACGTGTTGCACCCTTCACTAGCTGTCTGTACGCGCCCGAGGGATGAAAATTTTCTTCTTGTTCTTGTTCGATAGCGTTGCTCTGTGTGCCGCGTGTATTTGATAGCTGGAGGTAGTTTGAGGGAGGGTGATTAGCTGGTCATCACATTCCAGTGCGCCAGGCAAATACGCCGCAGCAATGTGCTTCAATGTAGAGGGATACGGTCACCAACAACATCTGACCTTAGTACTGCATAATATACTAGTACAAGTGCATGTTCTCTGCAAATAAAAAGGACGAGCCCATCACCAAAGCAACGGTGAAGCAGAGCTCGTCTCGATTTCCTCTAGGCTCACATGTATGTAAGCGCCCTGCTGGAAGCCTGCAGCCTTAACCGTGACCGACATCCAGTCACAGTCCAGGACTTCCGTGATAGGGCTCACTCGGTCCTATTCTGGAAGCCACTGGTTTTTCTTCAAAAGGCGATGAATTAGCACCACGCATCGGCAATCTCCTCCCTTGCATGGCCTTGCGGCGCTCAACCAGTTCGATTCAAGAAGTTGTTGTGAAAACACCAGCAGCCGCTGCTGACATCATCTTCCTTGAATTTCGGTCCCCCCGTAATCTCAAGGGCACAGCGCACGTGGCGGGACTGGCATGTTGCCAACTTTGCAGCTGAAGTGTGAGTGTTTACCAACAAAGGGACTGGACAGGATTGATGGATGTTTTAAGATTGGATCAACCTCGAACTGGGCTTTTGTTGGGACCTGCTGTATCTGTACCTACCTACTATAGCCACTGTCGGAATCGCTGCGAGGGGCTTTAACCCGGCGGTACTCAATACCTGTGCATTTACTTTAGTAGTACCTTTAGCGGCTCCCCTGCTTACCCGCTCTGCCTGGATTTTGTATTCATGGGACCGCCCGTTGTCGATCGCGCCTAGAACGTCACACACACACACACACACACACACACACACACACACACAGACGCCAGCGTCGTCTCTGCCCGTCTGAACCACCGGCTGTTTGCGCCGCAGCTTCGTCCGAGAGCGCACATTGAGCAGTTGATTTCGACCAGGCGGCAGGGCGCGGTCAATCCGGGACGCAGAGCTTCAGCCACCGCGACGGACCTGCAGCGCCATCCAACCGCCCCCGTCAGTTCAGTTCGGTTGCTGTCTCGAGACCCCTCTCAACCCGACGTCGAATCAATCAACAATGCACAAGGTCCGAATCCGCGAGCTACAAGCATGATCGCGCCCGCATTGCGATCCATCTTCTGCGTCTAGGCCTCGGACGTCTTGTGCAACGCTCGACACAACGCACGACATGCTCTCCCACCTGCGATTCCACCGGCGGGGGCCCTCAAACCCGACCTCGCCGGCCCCGGATCAATCCTCGCCTTCGTCTCTCAACAGCCATCAGCAGTCTCCCTTGAACCCCGACTCGGCATCTCCGCTTGACGCACATCTGTCGTCTTCCGCTTCCAACTCCTTGCCGCCGACCTTGCCGCCGATAACCCGCGTGACGTCAAGCGAACTTAATCTAGAGCCTCTTGGGGAGAAGCGGGATGTCGAGAAACAACCGCAGATTATCGAGAAGCAGCCGCAAACCGTCAGCCGCCCTCCGCAGCCCCAGAGATCGGGATACAGCACCGGCTCTGGATTTATCGGCGGTGTTGCTCTGCGGAATTATCAGCGGAATGTGGAAGCACAGCAAGTGGACGGCCATGCTCAAGCTTCCCACCCGACGCCCATGTCAAACAATGCCGACCTATCAAGGCCATTGCCGCAGACATCCGGTAGTTCAAAGGGCAATCTTCCCTACTCCTCCTCATCTAACCAGCGGCTCTCTGGTTCTCGACTGGCGGGCGAATCTCTGTCTTCGAGTAATGTATTAAATATTGAGCCCCAAAAGGGGAAGAAGGGATTGCCGTTCCTCAAGAACCCCATGTCAACGTTGCTGTTGAGGAGGAGAAACAATCAAAACCTTCCAAATGCATCGCCTCTGCCCCTAGACAGCCGTCTGGACGAGCCTACTTATGACCCCCGCATTAAAGGTACTAGGGTTCATGACTTTAGCGCACCGAGACGAAGGACGAATGCTCCTGCTAATGATACCGTGGCCATCCGCTCTGCATCCTTGGCCAATATCGCCCTGGAGTCGGGCGTTGGCCCTCATGACGGGGCGGAGACTCGTGGCCCGGTGGTGTTGGATGGGCAGCTACAGCGCCGCATGATGAGCAGTGCGTCGGATCCTGCTCGCCCGGAATCCGGGAGCACAAACTCGCACACCATTGCCCAATCATCTAGTGTGTCTTCTGTCAGAACGGGTTCCTCCACTGCAGAGCAAGCCTTTCCGTTGGACGACCATGTCGTTACTGGACTAACCATGAAGGGCAACGACCCAGCTCTTCAAAAGACCCCTTCAACAATTTCTCAGGCCACCACTCAGGAAATTGGTGATGCGGTTAGAAATACCGGCTCTATACGAACGACCAGGTCGAGAAACGTCTCCCTCTCGTCTATACCGAGGCACATGAAGAGTACTTCGTCACGATTTAGTTTCGACATGATTGGAGCCGCCAAGCAGGAAAAGCTCCTGGAAGAACGGCACCGACAGCGGGAGTTGGACAAGAAGGCTGCTGCACAAGACGAGCCGAGAGACTCTCGCTTTGACGATTTCGATGAAGATGCCTT